CGGCATATTAGGTGTGAAAATCTGCTGTTTTATGCATCATTTTTGTGTGTTGCAGGTGAAAAACATGGTGGAGGACTCATGGGTTGAAGAAGAGGTGTGGAGGATGGAGCTGTACGTCTCAGTAGGCATCCTGGCCCTGGGCCTGCTCTCTCTGCTGGCCGTCACTTCGCTGCCTTCTGTGTCAAACACCGTCAACTGGAGGGAGTTCAGCTTTATACAGGTATGCAGGAAGAAAACAGACACATATACATGCAGTAATGTGCATGACATATGTTCACGAGTGTTTCCACTCCCTTAAATGCCCTAGACTATGACTCAGTACACACATACATGCACTTCCTCCTTTTCCCCCCACTATGGTCTGGATTTCTCCAGGACATGACATGTGACCAGCCTTTGGTGCATTTTTTCCTTGATGTTTCTCTTAAATCTAATCCAGCAGCAGCCAGATTAGTCACGTCTGGCTGCTGTTGGACAGCCAGGGTTATTTCTGCTAGTTCTCCCAATAATCTATATTCAACATTCGAACCTGACACCTCTGTACTGTCTGTAGTCCACTTTAGGTTACTGCGCCTTGTTCATGGCCACCCTCCACACGCTGCTCTTCGGCTGGGACCGGGCTTTCGATCCTGCTCAGTACCATTTCAATCTGCCTCCTACGTTCATGCTGGTGCTGATTCTCCCCATCACGGTGCTGCTGGGCCGCATGGTTCTGTTCGCGCCGTGTATGTCCAGGCGGCTCAAGCAGATCCGCCGCGGCTGGGAGAAGAGCCGACACATCCGGTTCATCCTGCCAGAGGACAACGGCTACAGTGGACCAGAGGATATCAGTAACGTTTGATGAACGCTCTCTCGGAGAAAGGACAGCGTTGACTGTCCCATTAGCTGCCTTTCACTGAAGCTGTACGAGTGTGTAAGCTCTTAAAATCGGATTGATTTAATCCAGTTGCTAGAAAGAATTATCGCTTTTGCACTCCTGTTAGTTCAAGGTTTTGATGTTCCTCAGCTGACAGTAAAAGACTACTGAAAGAAAGCCTAATATCTTGTTGAAGTTGAGAGAGGAGAGTTTTTGCTGTTCTTCAGTGTTCTTATAGGTCTCTAATAGGGATGGGAATCGAGAACCGGTTCCAACTGGTTCAATCCATCGACACCATTTACATTTTTTCTTAACGATTCCCTTAACAATTCCTTTCTTCCGGGTGCGTTTAAAAACGGTCTCGCGAGTGCCACTCTACGTGAACGGGAACAGAGACAGAGAAAACAACATGGCGGACGGTACGAAAAGTAGGCAGAAACGAGCTAAGTGATAACAGGCAACGGTGGAAACAGCAGCAACATACTTAAGCATTAGTCAACGGAGCACAGCATCAAATATAAGGAGTCACATGTATTCAATGCTCTCCGCTGGTGTTATATCGTAATAATTCACCCCCTGCATCCCATCCAGATCCCATACTTGGGTATATAAACTCTACAGTAACCCGTCAAGGTAGAGAACATTATATAATGTTCTCTACCTTGACGGGTTACTGTAGAGTTTATATACCCAACAGCTAATATTCTGAATCAGAGAACTATTGTTTTCGGCTTATCTGAATAGCCTGAATAAAATCATAAAAGCCATACGCTTTTGAATCCACTCAATAGTAAAAAAAAACGTGGATTATTTTGCCTTTTATGTACTTTCAACCGCGCTCCCGTCAGGGGTGCATTCTACTGCACAACGCCTGTTAACAACAGCGGTTCATCAGCTGCTGCAGCTCCGTCCCAGCACAGCCTGGAAGGTACGTATGTCAGGTTGACCAAACGTCCTTTTTTTACCCTGACATGTCCTCTTCTGGGGGGTTGTCCGGGAGGAGTTTATAAAATCCTTCAAATGTCTGGAACATGTATTCATTCATTATAGAACAGTGCAGCGCATCAGTGCTCTCTGCACCTCTGTCCGATCACTTCCAAGCAAAGCCACCACTGACGCGACGCAGCATGTACTTCTGTCTTTGGGAATCCAGAATGATATGCATTTAACTGAGTTAGAAGCACGTAAAAACAATCGACCTTTTAGTAAAGAAAAAAAAAAAAAAATTCGCACTCAAGTCCACCCCTCGTAGTCTTCTTTTTGGGCATTCAGAATATGGTCACCCTAACGTATGTCCTGTGTTCACATCAGCACAATGCATGCAAGAAACGCTGTACAAAAAGCATTTTTGTTTGATTACTTTTAGACTCTCACTGAAGGTGGCACACATCTGTGTCTGGTATCAGAGACTTAATAAAATTTTGAGTAAACGGTGAAAACCTATAGTCTACTTTCTTTTTTTTTTTAATTAAAGAAAGGCATTGATAAGGGAATCATTAAAGAATTGAATCGATAAGCAGAATCGATAATGGCATCGATATTGATAAAATCTTATCAATTTCTATCCCTAGTCTCTAAGTTTTACAGTGCCTTACTCAAATACCATGAAAATTTTGAGCGTTTGAAATATTTTAGGTACTTGATAAAAACTCATTTGGCGGTTGAAGGAGGTGCAGCTTTAGTTTCACTGTAAACATTAATTATTTGTACAAAATTAGATAAAATTAGTACATTTGAATATAGGGCTGCTAAATCCCGAGCTACAGTTAGTCTCTATTTTATTTGTTTATAGTATTTTGCTTTTGCAGAGTTTTGTGTTCTTGCCAAAAATGATTCAATGTTTTTGTGATGATTTCTTAAAAAAAATGTCAAAAATAAATTCTGTGACCTGAAATCATAGCTTGCATACTTTTGTTTAATACCTGGAGTACTAATTTAAATTTGTACCTACTTATACCATGTGTTTAATGATTTGATTTAATGATATTTTATTGAGTTTCAAAGTTGCATTTATTAATGTTCAGTGCGTAGATGCCGCTATCTAGTGGTGACAAAATAAACTGCGGCTCATCTTTAAAAGTTCAATTGATTACTTTCTCCTCTTATCTTGAGGTAAAGCAGTCTTTAAAAAATGAATCGATCTTCTTTGCAAACTTAACGTTCAGCTGAGGCAGCATTTGTCTTAGTTTTGAGAACTATCTCCCTCCCACTTTCTTCAGCTCTGCCCAAACACGAGCGCAGGACGAGTTAGACAGGTAGTCAGGCTAAAACTGGGAAGTTAGTTCAGCAGCAAGGTGTGTCTGTCTTCTCAGGAGCCGTCATGTCTGTAAGTACTCTTCATTTTGAGTCTTAAAAATATGTGTAATTCAATCGGTCTGTAGAAGTTTTCTGTCAAAGTTGTGGACTTTTTCCAGATTTATAACCACATTTGTTAGTATAAATGTGAATTTACAGAGCAGGAATCCACATGTGCAGGCTCGTGTCTAAACCACCACAGAAGGACTCGAATCACACACTATGAAGTTGAAGTTCAGGCTCGTTTTCAGAAAAGTACTTTTTCTTACAGGAACAATTTCATAAAGCAGCGGAGGAGGTGAAGATCCTGAAAAATAAACCAGACAACCAACAGATAGCTGCTTTATACGGCTTATACAAGCAAGCCACTGTGGGGGATGTTGACGGAGGTGAGTCCATAGTTTTTATAGAGTTAATTTTTTGTTTGTTTTTTTATGTATTTATTGAAATTCTACTGTGAAATCTGAGTATTATGGGGACAGGAAAGACTTCTTTTGGGGCGGGGTGGAAAGAAATGAGGTCGAACAGGCTGTGGCATTTTCTGACAGATACCTAAACAGATATGTTCTTTTAAAGCGCTCACTGTTTCATAGCAACTCATTTAGCAAAAAACACTGATTTCAAATTAGGCAATATTACAGATATTTTAGTGGTGTCTTGTAAGCCCAGTCGGACTGGGCACTTCTTGTGCATGACACATTCATTAAAAATGTCATTCATTCATTCCTTGTAATCAAAGACTTCATTCAGAGTCATGCACATGCGCTCACAGTGTCTTTAAATCATTCAGACACTTAAATCTCTTCATAAAGTGCTGTATCAGAAATTAAAATTGAAATTTTGATTTAAACAGTTTTTTTAAACCACAAAGTTATTCTGAAATTTTTTTGACACAAAGACTGAATACTACTTTAAAAAGTAACTTAAAGCTCCTGTGAAGAGTCTTTGACGGGTTATGAAAAAGTCAGAAATTCGACAGTGATGTGACTCTATGATGTTGAAAAGCAAGTGAGACCATTGACAGGGTTTACAGCTCCTTCTATTTTCAATGCCAGTTTTTGCTGTGTTTTATCAAGCAGGATTATAACAGTATGATATATTTTGTGCATTACATGTTGAATTTTTTAAGGAATATTGCACCTAAATCAGGAGGGATTCTATATTTTATTTTATTTTATTTTATTTTATTTTATTTATTTTTTAGTATATTTTAACATTATTTGTTTATTTTCCTTTATTGTTTGATTTTAAAACAGTTTTATTATATAATATTTTATTATTATTATTATCATCATTGTTTTATTTCCTTTTATTTTTTATATCTTGTCATGGTTTTATCAGTTTAGCTTCAGCTCCAGTGTTTCCCCATTTTAGTTTAAGATAGCGTTTCCTAGGTCCTCTGTGGCGTTCTGTTGAGCCCTGACTTGGTGTCCCGATGGTCGTGAGAGTGTGTGTGTGTGTGTGTGTGTGGATGGGTGGGGATCTCTGTTAAATTTGGGCTTGGAGGATGGGTAGGGTTTTTGCACTTTGTATTCTATTTTGTTCTTTTTTTTATTTTGTGTCCCCTGTGTACAGCACTTTGTGATACAAGCCATGTATGAAAAGTGCTTTATAAAAAAAGTGATTCATTGATTGATATAGAGGATATGGAGAAAACTGCTCATGTTTGATATGAAATCATGTAAACACATAAATGTTGCAGATTGCTCAGCTATTCTTTGTCGCTTTTACATCCACAGCACGTCCGGGGTTTTTTGACTTTGTAGGACAAAGAAAGTGGGATGCATGGAATGCCAAGAAAGGTCAGTTTTTCCCCAAACTTGAAAATAAATGATCAAACAATTACAGATAAAAACACAAACAGATTTTTTTATTTCATTTTATACAACAACAGGTTTGTCCAAAGAAGATGCCATGACTGCATATGTGGTGGAGGAGCTGAAGAAATGTTGTAACTGAAATAAATTATTGAATGTTTCCTACGATTAAGGCGGTGAGGCATCTTTACTGCAGTCTTTAGAGTTCAATCTTCAGGTAATCTTCAAGTTTTTCTTCAGTCAACATTTGAGGCTTTTTCCCCACCATCCTCTCTCAGTTGTGAGGGATTTCTATCAGTGACAGAAAGTTGTTTCAGCCTGGCCATCACTCTTCTTCCCGTCTGATTAAACTCAGACCTACATTCTGTAGAGCTCCACCTGAGGGGATCCACCGGAAGCTTCGTCCCGGGCCTGTGACAGGACAACGTGGCGTTATTGTGGGAAAAATGACGACAACAATATTAGTGCGTCAGATTTTGTAGCGCTTTATATCAACGACCTACTGACACCATATACCCAAAACAAACAGTACAACTCATCTCGTCTCCAAGAAAAGAGCCAAATAATATCAAGTGGATACTTCAAATTTATATTATTTGTCATGAAGTTGTCATATATATATGTAAAATATTCTATGAACACTTGTTTGGAATTTAAATCTTGCTCATTCATCATGCCAGAAGAGCTACCTCATAGTCCCGCCTCCTGTCAAGTCAGCGCCAGAGCTTCCCCCGGACAAGAACACGGCTCTCACCATCTCTGGTGTCAACTGGATTCTGGGTTCTTCTTCACACCTACGCACAGAGAAAGACCAAACATAAGCATAAAAGACGCTTTCTATTTTGAATAAATCAATCATTATTAATGTCGCGCTCACAGTTCGTCGTGCATTCCTGGACTCCAATCACCAGCAGGGCCCGTCAGAAGAGGGGGAGGTTCCGTCAGTACGTCTGTGCTGCAGCTCACAGACCTGCAGAGACGACACAAGCAGCATTTTTCCCCCGATCCCAAAGAGCTGATAGTGGTTTGTTTTAAAAATACACGCTCAGTTACACCCCTGAGTAGAAGATATGAATGATACTGTCTGCTACAGTTTTGTTTACCTGCGTGGGGGACGACGACAGTTGAGTTTAGATCGTTTGGACAAACAGGTTGAGATAACCGGACTGAAATTACTCCATGTTTTGAGCACTCCTGAGTTTGCTTCCTTCTGTCAGCAAAGAAATGAGACGTACTTTAATGAATCTCTTCAAAATAGGACTCAAGTCATCAGAGATAAATACAACAGGCCACAATGTCAGAAAGTACAGCTAAATCTGGATGTGATACAACAAATTCAAATTAAATTTGATGTGTTTTTACCTTGAAATCCAAAAGTTTCTGAGTTTGTAAGGTTTGTGGACACGTTTTGCTCCCAGGGATCCTGTACCTGCACACACAGCACTTTCTCTCTGAGTATCTGGGTTTGGTTAGTGAACCAGCAGGTCTGTCTGCAGCCTGGATTCATCAAATGTCAGTGTCAGATGAGTGGATGTGTTAGTACCTCGGCACGGGGCAGAGATGGAAATCGAGGTCAGTTTCAAGGTATTTGGGGGTTGTTCTGAAGTTGTGCAGGCCTGGAGCTGGATTCTGAAACACAAGTAACCACAGTCCTTATGAGTCCGTCTTTTCCAGATTTAAATATTTGATCAATAAGAATGAATAAAAACCCTACAAAGATTCTGAGGGATTTTTCTGGAGGACGTCTGAGGAGAGTTTCAGGGAATTTGAAGCTGAGATTGGAAATCGCTAGCACATCCTCCTTTTCATCCCTCGCTTTGAGCTCCACTTCTGTGGGGAATTGAGCGCTGCGGTCGGTCTGAAATGGAAGGAGGGCGTAGTCGAAATTAGAACAGAAAAGTAAAAAGATAATTGCAGAATCTCAGTCTACGTGCTGCATTATTACCAGAGCGCCGGTGCGAAGTTGCTGCGTACAAGGACCACTGACGTAAGAATAAGAATCAAACGCCTCCCTCGCTGACACAGGACGGTAGCCCATCAACTTGAAATGCTGTGGAACCTAGATTTGAAAAAAGAAAATCAGTGCACTTTTAAATCTCCTCACTAGAGAGATCACTATTGCTGAGTGCTCATCTGTTGGAAAAAATGAGTCATGCGTTTAGGTAAGCTGAAAAAAAATGACCTACTTGAAGGATAAAGGAGGGTATTTGTGTCGTCACAGTCACATCAGGAGTTCCCACAGGCAGCGTGTCCCTGCTGGTCTAGACACACGAGGGGACAAAGAGATTTTTTTTCCGAGTGTGTGATCTGTTGTGAGTGAGATGTTTAACAGGCTGACACAAGTTAAAACTTGGACTTACCAGCAAATTACTTTCCCGACTAGAAGTATGGAAAGAAAATGGAAAAACACGGTCTGGAGAGATTTCTAGATCCTCATTCTTGTCCTGCTCACCTGAGAGAGATGTGACAATTGTTTGTTTGAATTTGATTTGTTAGAGGAAGTGAAACTCTATTTATATGGCACTTTTCATACAAAAAATGCAATTCAAAGTGCCTCACAGAGGCTAAAAACAAGAATAACGACAATAAAACCCGACCCTCCCACCCACAAACACACCCACGGACTCACACGCACACACTCACCCACATATACACACACAACCGCACACAGTGTGAGAATTTAAGATTTAAGAGAGATATGGCCTGACGTGAGGAAAGAGCTACTGTTGGGAAACACTGGAGATAAAAATGGTGAAAAGAGTAAAACCAGAAAATAATATTAAATTAACAGATAAGTAAGAGTTCTTTACCATATAAAAAAAGGATAAAAGAAGTAAAAACCTGTGACGGGAATTAAGAAAAAGACCAAGAACAGAGGTAATTAATAAAATGACATGAAATAATAAGAACTTCAATTAAAACGAACATTTGCAATAAGCGAAATATAAAAAGGCAGTTAGGAAAAAGCCTGGTTAAAAAGGTGAGTGGTTGAGACATGAATGAATTCAGCACCGCAAAAATTAAAGTTACAAGAATCTTATAATGACCGGAAGAGATTTTAACCCTTGATTACTTCTCAGTGAGGAGGTCACGGGATGATCAAAACTTGTCTCTGCCAAGAGTAAGCTCTTCATCCTATCTGACAAGTTCTTCAAACTGGTTGGTCTGTGGTTTATCTGGGACAGGAGAGAAGAGTGTTACGAGTTACTAATCTTACAGGCCATTGACATGCATTCCTTATCTGTATATTATGAATAAAAAAAAAAGGACTTGCTTCAATTTTAACCTCACTAAAACACAGTTTTCTCCAGCTACCTTTCCTTACAGCATCTTTCTCTGAAGAATACTAACAGGTTTTAACCACAGGGTGTCAGCACTGAGCTAAGATCCTGGAGCTCCATCAAGCTGTTACCTGTTGTTTACAGTTGTAAATTAAGTACTTACATCATGAAAAAGCACTCAAAGGCTTTAACTTGCAGTTTGTTTGTTTTTTGTTCGTGCACATTTACCACTGCTTAGACGTGCATACCTTGTGCGCTGCCTTCTGAAAGAGCGTGAGTCTTCTTTGTCCAAGCTCCCGGCGAAGACTGCTGAGAAAGCTGGAGGTTAGAACTCCCTCACAGGACTAGAAAAAGACACATGACAATAAGAATTCAAATTTTCAGTGGTTTTGACCGATTGTTTAATGAAAGGAAATGTAAAGTTCTGATACAACTCCAACTTTACCAAGTTTGAGATCAACGCTGCAGGCTCATGGCAAAGGCTGTGTGTATTTTAAACTGCAGCTTTACGTGAAACTGTTTAGTTAAACAAGCTGCTGTATAAATTGCAGTGGACCTATCATACCACGAAATTGGGAAGTGCAGTCTCTCCCTCCTCTATCTGCTTCCTCGTCCCCTCCAAAAGTGGGTAATCGCCAAGATGAGCACGCCTGAAAGAAACACAGCATCCCTCAGTGACAATGAAATCCTGAAAAGAAGTGATTAAAAGAAAGAAGACAATTCACTGTCAGCCAGAACAGAACCAAACTTAGAAAATATGTCATAAGAAAATACAGTCTTGGAAAAATTACTTGCAATAGATAGATTATATTTTTGTACCTGTGGGTTTCATTTTACATGAAAGCTGTTTGAATTTGAAGGATTTCTTTGCATTGAGGAATAAATGCAAGTTTTAAATGTATTTCTAATGAACTGATAAAATAGACAAATACAATAGGTGATGCTGTGATGAGGCCATCATCGTGTATCTGAGTGTGTAAGTTTGTCCTACCCTCTGAGCTGGGTGTCTTTCAGCTTCTCCTCGTTTAGTCGAAACTTTTTTAACAAGGCGTCACTCTTCGTCTTCTTGTTCAGAAGATCAACCAGACTGCCGCTGGACTTTGCTTTTGCAGAGGGGACGAAAAGACATAAGCAAACATTTTTTTAAACATAGATGAAATGCATTTACAAAGTGTGAAGTGATTGGGTGTCGTTTACCTCTCCCCAGGTCTTTAGAGCTGGAGTTGTCGCTGTCTGGAATGGACCCTGCATGTGTACAGACATCTACCGGGGGCTTCATTCCAAGAAAAACACAAGTTAGAGCTCTCATTGTCTTGAGGACAGATAATTAAATAAATAAATAATGAATAAACAGCTTCATATGATTAAAATGATGAATACGAAAAAAAAAAAAGTGACGCTCTTCTTGTCATGTTTTTAAAAGAAGAAAAGTTCAAATGAATTCATCAGTGTAAACAAGGATTCATTATAAGTACCAGAGATCGGCACAGGTCACTTTTTTCAAGTCTCAAGTCTTTGGTCACAAGCCTGAGTCAAGTCTGAAAATCCACGTTCCTTTGCAACTCAAGTCTAAGTCTCAAACTTGAGTCCTCGTCTCCTGTAGGTGCTGCTACTATCATGGTGAGACTAAATCGAAACAGTTTGAATTTGACTACTTTAAATGTCAACGAATATTACGTCTCTTTTATTTAAGACCTTGATGCTTTTGTCAAACTGTATAAAACTGCTTTCTACTTCAGACTTTGAGTTGAACTGAATTGTCACTGAAACAGATTCACTTCCTCACCTTCGATTTCTCTCTCAGTTTTGCCGATCTCTCTTTGGTTTGAAGTCGTTGCACTTTCGTAGATGTTACAACAGCTGCGTCTTCATTGCCAGCCTTTCTTCCACGCTCACTGTCAAGTAAGTAAGTAACGTGATGATCAGGATTCAGATTCATCGCTGAAAAACACAAACTTGCTGGTGCAGATTCAGCACAATTACTGAGTGAAGCCTTGTCGCGTTAGACATTGTTTATTTTGGCCGGTTAGTTTTGACACTTGAGTTCAAATTTCTATTTACCCGGAGGCCTGATTAGGAACAGACTTCCCCCTGATGGTGCAGAGGTGGGGTTTGGAGTTGAACTGTGAGATAATCAGCTGGATGGTGATCTGAGAAGTCTCATATTGGAAAGGACTAAAAGTCACAGTGATTTTCTCCTCGCCGTTTGTTGGTATAACACCTAGAAGAGTAAGAAAAACAAGGAGTGAATCATTATTTGTTACAGCTTGGACTGATTGAACTAGATCCCCAAAAGTGAGCGAGTTACTTGGATTGTTGAGACCTGATAAAGAGGAAAAGGAATCAATAGTTTGTTTAACAAATTTAGCTGCTAAAATATTTAGCAAAAATGATGGACATGAGTTTGAAATTGTCGATCTTTCAAGTGCACATGTGTTATTTTGTGGCTGTAGTTAAGATTGTTGAACTGTTTGTATTTATTCAACTGAACCAGTTCCCACCTGAAAGAGGATGGATGGAGAAGGCTTCGTGGGGTTGGAGGACGAGCACCTGAAACTCGAAGTCAATGGGACAGCTGCATCTCAGAGGGATAGCATGAGAGATGCTAGAGACAGATGGACGAAAATAGATGAGATTATATTTTTATGATGAAATGCAACAACTGAGCAGACCGTGGGTTGAATGATTGAAAAAAAAAAAAAAGAAAATGAGCTCATCCACCACCTTTGCCCAAGTGGCACTGCTGGCAGGTTGATCTGCGCAGGGATGTGCAGGTCATTGATAACTGGGTAGGCATAAATTGGAACTAGCAGGTTCTCTTCCCCCTTAGAAAAGAGATGTGAGGTTGGATAAATAAGACAAAGAGTGATGGCAGTGATCAAAAATAAATCAAAAAGGGAAAGGAAAACACCACTTAAGGCATGCTTCAAATGATCCCTGACACAGCACACACAGTGGGAGACACACTGTTGAACCCAAACCTTGCAATGGATCCGCACGCAGTCGTAGAAGTAACCCCACTCATCAGGACAGAACTTGATCTTTACAGTGTAGGCGAGGCCTGGAATAAGTCGATGCTAACAAGAGATAACCAAAATAATCATAATAATTTGTTCATAGTAATAATAATAATGTGACGAAACATTAATGGTAATGAAATAAAGTACCTTTTTGGTATAGGTTGTTTTGAAGTGCTTTGTTTGGGTTGGAATGATATGAACATCCGTAACTTCTGGTGAGATGTTCATTACTTTCTAAGAAAAGGGAGAAGAAAAGAGTTTAATTCAGCTTGAAATCAAACAGTAAAGGGGCAGATTTTATTATATTTATCCATCATGAAAGCTGAATGAGCTGGCATGTTGCTGCTATGTGGTTAAACATGCGGGCCTTTGGTGACTTTAGTCAGAAGGATGGAATTGGGCCCTGAAATTGGGCCCTTGAACTCCATTTTCAACTCAATCAGTGACTGTTAGCACACATTCAGCACTGGATTATAAGTTTTTTATATGCTTCTTTACCATTTTGCATGTCAGAAAATTATTACTGCTTTCACTCCACCTTGCCAGAACACCCTTGGTGTTCTCTCTTCAACAAGCCCTGCACTTTGCAGTCAGATTTCCCAACAAAAAGTACCTCTAAATGGAAAAACCATTACACTGTCCATCTCAAACCTCAAATATCTGATTCATGGAAAAGCAGGCTGTAGAATCTGCTCCTAGTAGAGAGCACAACTCAACTTTTAGCAACGTTCCAACGCAAAGCTTTGTATTTGTTCCATACATATGCAAGGAAAAGACTTTGGTCATCTTAATAGACAGGCCAAATGCTAAAATGTTGTAAAAACAATGCAGTCAGTGGATAAGCAAATCTATACTGCCTGTGAGTTGTAGAGTTCTGGAAAAATATATTTGGCAGTATACTTACAAGCATCTTTGTGTAATCCTTCTCCAGCTCAAACCCACTGAAGTGGAGATCCGGGGGCTCGACTTGGACCAGGCTGTTGCTTTTCAGTTTGACATACTTTTCTGTGGGGAGCAAAAAGATATGTTGCAACCTCTCTGTGCAATGAAACAGTAAGTGAATACATGTTTTTCATATATGTTGAAAGGTTTTCAATACATTTAAGAAAAAATTACATATATCTTCTTAGATTAATCCCCAATAATAGTTAAGTGAACAGAGAAGGTTCAGCACCTGAAATAAAAGCCTATAGTGAAACTGCAGCCACTGAGCAGGCCTCAGATGCCATGTTTGTACATACTCGTGTCCAGAAGATAGTTGGGAATGTTGGATTGACTCCTTCTCTCCTCCACCAGCTGAGGCAGTGGGGTACCACGCCTGGACTGCTCTGGGAGAATCTGTGCAGTGGAGAGGGGCATCTCCATCCTGGTTTAGCTCTTCCCTGCTCCATGAATAGTAGAAGAACAGCCATAGGAGCTGTATTGTGAGATTTATGTAATATTCATAAGAAGTACAGATTTTTCAAATAAACGCTATTGAGGTCATTTACTCCTCAGTAAAACATTCCTCTTCTGTAAAAATGAAACTGCAACAAAAATAACAGCAATATTGAACAGGAGGCTACATTATAAAGAGCTAAAAAAGCAATATCATTGAACGTCACACATTGGCCACATTACGTTACAAGCTTAAACGATTCCAGGTCTGTAAAAAGTTCACATTTGAACTTACGCAAGCTTCAAACAGCAGGTTTCACCAAGTTTTTCGACGGAGCAGCCGTATTATACTAATTTCTTCGAGTGAATTTCCGGTATTTTGATGTGAGACGCCACACCAGTGTACGCTTACGTTGCCATAGAGACGTGTGTGAGTTAAAAGCAGCAGCGCCCTCTGCTGTCCATAAAAATTATACTGCACTGTCAATTACATGAAGACTCCAGGGCTCAGTTTAAGCAGCTTTTCATGTTGAAATTGATCTAAGTGAAGCTCTTTTATGTTACAGTAAAATAAAACTTGACAATTTTGCTTTAGAAAAGAGCAAAAAGAGCAAAGACAAACATTGTAAACAATATCCATTTTATGTTTTTAGATATTTTTCCAGAAATATTCTGATATACTGTAATTTTATAGCACAAAGGAGACATAACCTGACACAGACACATTACATTTAAATGGATCTTAGATGGAACAGTTTAACGGCCCTCTGACTAAAAACATCTTATTAATTTAATATCATAAATATGTTATTTACAGCTCTGAGACTTTCTCACTGAAGCTGCTTTATTCTCTTCCCATGTACCCAAACATAAATGATATATTCACACACAGTCAAAGAAACTGTGCTGGAAAATGACGCAAAGCAGAGAAGCAAAACCACTCACGGTGCGAAAAAAGTAAATAAACGGCTGTGTGTTTGAATGAAATTATGAATGTGTTATATGTTTTTGTTTGGGGATGCATGTATGAATATATGCAGATACACGTTTAGTGAAGATTGCAACTTTTTTTAAAGCTTTATTCAGAGTTAACAAAACAACAGTTCTAAACATAGCAGAATCAGTTCAATACAGTAAATTCAATATTTAAATAACATACCAGTGAGAAATATAAAGTAAATAATGAACAAGCAAACAGAAACATAAAAGTAACTTAAATAAAACAATTTATGCTATGCAAAACTTTACAAGGGTTTTCTTTCTTTTTTAAAACATTTTTAGCTGTTCATATCAGTGGGAAAATTCTTTAAGTTATCATACAACTTTTGTTTCTTCAAACCAGTTAACGTTTTAAGAGATTTCAAATACATTTTAAATTTGTTTATGGATACAATAAATCTGGGGGATGATCTCATAACTTTATTCTTCAGGATGAAATATTTGGCAACAGAGTTCATCATTTTTGTTTGGTCGTAACATTCCAAAAGTAACATTATCTAAGTGACAGTCTTTGTGGATGTGCTTGTGTTTATCAGCTGTCTAACTTGGCTAACAGACTAGCTGTGAGTGAGACTAAGTACGTATTACAAAGTTGATCAATTTTACATCAGTTGGAGAGGCAGACATGCTCTTTCATTTCAACATAACTTAAATTGCACACAATTTCCAAACTGTTTGGTTTGTTAAAACATGTAAAATGGCAAAACAAGGCAGAAATTTATATTAAAAATAAATATTTATATATGTTTTTGCTATATGTTATTATAGTTATCCCTGTAATAGAAATATTACTGACATAACATACATGAAATAATTAAATGTTTTATACATAAATGATTTAATACAACTGCCTTGTGTGTGTAGGCCTATAGCTATTGCTGCTTAATGCTTATTTATGAAAATCCATGGTTAAAATTATTTTTTAGTATGCAGGCACATAACTAAAACTCTGAGGTTTGTTACAAACCAAACCGTTAGAACATCCGTTTAAAATTAAGCAATTTATGGTTATTTAAATGCTACATGCACCGTAGACTGTAATGTTATGAATGGGCGAGTTGCCTGAAGCAAGATGGCCGCCACGCGCCGACGTCGGATCGGTAGGTTTCGACTGCGCACGTGCGACACGTAGTACACGCCCCCACCACTGAGCCACTTCCGGTTGTAGCTCACCACAGCTGTGTTTTGCCAAACTTTTCATGAGAGGAGTACGCCGACAGCGAGTTTGTTTTCCGAGTCAAGCGAGGGAAAATAAGAAAAACTCTGAGAAGAGGTCGACGAGTGGCGAGCTAGTGCTCAGAATATCAAAGTGTACAGTCAACGCGCTCCGCTCCAGGTATGTTGTGGACCTTTGTGTCGTTTGTCAGTGTTTATATTTTGGCGCCGGCATAAAGTAGGTGGCTTATGGGTCATGTAGGCAGTAACGCGTCAAGAGTGGGTCTGTTTTGTTGGTGTGCATCGCAGCAGTTGTGTGTGCAGCAGTTTTGAATGAAGTATGTCTACAGGTCAGAATTACATACTATGGGATACTTAATAGTAAATTTGGGTCATGTTTTTGTCTGTGATTGTATCCTGACTATTAGCTAAACTAATTAATGTGTTTTTGCCACATAAACATGAGGTTTTCTACCTTTTTTTTTAAATAAGAAAAAACATTTCCTTTGCTGAATGTTCCAAACATAGACTGTATATGGTTCTAACCTGTGCAAAGTTTGTTATGCTGGCTATTAAACTGATCAAATAAATCACAATTTAAGCTGATAATAGTTTATAAAAACAATAATGATATTAAGTCCTAAATCTGTTTTACTTATTCAACTGTTTGATTCTTAGGTTAGTTTGGTCAAAATAGATATTTGACTTAAAATAGACAATATTTAAAGTTTTTTAAGTATACTCGAGAAAGATCAAAGGAGAGCGATCCAGATGGTAAAAGTGTGTAACTGTAAAAATCCTTAAAAGCACCTGTTCATATATGAACACAAGTAGACAAACAGTCCTTGTCTCTCATTTTGTACTAATCTTTTTAAACATTTTTTAGCTGTAATCCAGCTACAGTGAATTTTCAGTGGCTGAAGTTGCATTTTTAAACTTTATGTTAACTCAATGGAAAACACCCTTATGAGTTTAGTCTGTGGAAATATAGATATACACAGCTGGTTCCACACACAATTTTTCATAGATATTCATCATTACTGAACTGAAAAACCGCTGACCTGAGAGTGTGCCTAAATAAAAAGTTTTAAAATAACCAGAGAGCTGTCTCTCTGTTAAAGTTGTTTAAAGTTGTATTTTCACTCTTGCAGATCTGTGGGCATGATGGACGTCACGCTGGAAGAAGAAGGACAGAGCGGTCATCTTCCCTGAGCTGAAGCTCTAAGGTTAGAGGATTTTCTTTGTACCACAGCTGCAGTTTCATGTTTCAGCGCTGAGATTTAACAGCTGAGAGTTGAGCTGATTTTTAGGCTCCTTTGGTTCAAGTTTATCTATAGAGACAATTATCTGACTCTGTTACTCACAGAAACCTCTCTGCAGCCTCAGTTGTAGCACAATGAAGGTTTCAACATTATCTAAAGGAGCCAAAGCTCTGTGCTTATGTTTATGAATGTTAGATAAATTCTCTTTAGCTCCTCCAGGCTGAAAAAAAGGCTGTTTGATTGTATTAAAGATGTAATTAGCACAGTTTAACAGACATTAAAGTGACATTACTCTGTATTTCAACACAGTAGAGTTAAAAAGTGGAGAGAAGCTGAAAACTAGAAATCAGGTCTCAAATGGCAGATTTATCATTTTTAATGTTTTTGTTTTTCATTTAATGAAGTAATAGAAACAAAAATACCTGAAACAAAATTGCTAAACTTGAGTGAACTTTGTTCAGCTGTGGTATTATGACAACTCAACTTAACTTTATTTGTAAAGCACTTTAAAATATTTTACTGTACCAAAGTGCTGTACATAAACAGACAAAACAATGCAGATGTAAAAAAAACAATCAAAAAACAATTAAAACAATGGATAAATCAAAAGCAGAATTAAAAAGTAAAATGTAGTTTCAATGTTTTGAAAAACTAATTTAAAAACATAGAAACAAATAACTAAAAACAAACCATAAAACACTAAAACAGGAGCCGAGTCTCATGCAGGGTTAAAAGCCAATGAATAAAAATGGGTTTTAAAAATGGACAGTGTGGGGGCTTGTTTGATTTGAAGTGGTAGCTCATGGGGCCGCAACAGTAAAAGATTTATCCCCTCTGAGCTTCAGTTTGGACCTCAGTACCTCCAGGAGCAGCTGATCAGCTGACCTGAGGCACCGAGCAGGGGTGTAGGGGTGGAGAAGCTCAGAGAGGTAAGATGGAGTCAGATCATTTAAAGATTGAAAAACAAATAAAAGAATCTTACTAACTGGAGAAGTGAGAGGGAGGACTGGCTGACTCCAAAGTAAAGTGCGTTACAGTAATCCAGCCGAGATGTAACAAAGGCATGGATTACTGTTTCAAAGTGCTTACATGCAAGCATGCTAGCAAGCTGCCTAATATGATGAAAGCTAGATTTCACAACTGAGCTAATTTGCATGTCAAATTTAAAATCACTGGCTTTAAATAGTCTGCTAAAATACCCAGGTCTACAGGAGGGGATTCACAAGGGCCACTGGGACCAAAGACAAGATTTTTTTTTTAATTAAAATAAAAATAAAATAAGACAGGGGATAATAAAATAAAAAGGGAACAAAAATCAAAGTTCTGTCTAAAGCCATTAATGAAAGTCATATATTTATGTTAACATGATCCAGTGATTTGCTTTACATGATTATTAAATAATAAAGGAACTAGAGAAATACAGAGTTGTGTGATACACTTGAAAAAATATGTAAATATAAATAATCCATTTAATAGATAAATAAAAAACCACAGCAATTATCTGAAAATACCATCCATTCACCTGATTTTCAAGAATATGTTTTATTCTGTTTCAAAAGCAGCATTTACAGGAATATCAACATTCAACAGAACTGAAACAAGACTGCACATGATAGAAGATTAAAACATGTCTGAAGTGATGAGTACAAATAGATGTCAGATATGCTTCACCTTAAAAACCACAACTTTCTCTTGTTTGCTCCACCCACAATTTTTCATAGATATTCATCATGGAAAAGTCCTGAAAAATAGATATTTTTCAGGACTCTACACCGGACTGTCCCTGGAGTCGGGTGGACCACCATCTTCATGTGGCGGCCTTCCTCCATCGGCGTCCCGTTCAGGTAGAGGCGTTCAGCTGCTCCTGTGATGCTGTTCAGAGTCTGATTATCAGTCCATCTTTTCACTGACTGATCAGAGACTGAGAGTGAAGCTGAACTACCTCATTGATAACTCCTTAGGTGTCTCTAGTAATTAATCTTTAACATTTAACAATTTTTTTTATTAATGAATAAAGAGGAGTCTCAATTTATCTCCACAGCTTCACTCTCAGTCTCTGATCAGTCAGTGAAAAGACATGGGGGGAGATTTGTCTCAAAGTTATGCACAAATATGTATCCACAATTTCCACATGTGACTTTCAGATCCACAAATATATTTCCATGATTTTCACGTGTTTTTTAAATTTGTGTTTGTGCATTTATCATGATTCATCATTCGTAAATCATCAATTCTGCTATTGAATTGTTGAAAAATGTGTTTGTGGATAAACCGGCACGTGTGTTTATTTTTGAGACAAATATCACAGTTTTGAAGACACACACAAGTTGAGGATTTTCACCTGAGGAGAACACTGCCTCTCCCATCCACTGGGCAGCAGTGTTTCTCCCTCTGTTGAGAGCATAGACTGTGAATAAGATAGTTGACAGCTATCCACCTTAGAAGTGGGGAGAAGTTTCTCTGCTTCTATAGTGGATAGCTGTAAATAATCCCTTTCATAGTCTATGCCCTTAACAGAGAGACAGAGAGCTATTTACACAAATGTTGTAAAGTTTAACCCAAAATAAACTCAAATTCTGATGATTTATTTGTTGTATTTTATGGTACAGGTGCTCGCAGTTGGACTCGACATATTGGAAGAAGAGGAGGATCATCAAACAGAGCAGCGGATACTCTCAGGTGATGTTATCATCTGTGTTTTTAAAGTTCATCAGTGTTTAAGTCACTGGAAAATTAATCATTGCGTTGTAGATGAGACATGACTTTAAGAAAACGTAGAGCTTGAAACATCAGGGTTATGATTAAATTAATTTATTCACCAAAAATCACAAATCGGCTGATATTAATGTTTTTTTTTTGTTTTGTTTAATTTGCTGCATGAAAAAGAACAAGCAGAAGTATGATAAAATTTTCTGTAAATGTTTCTGTAAATTAAATCAGTCTAAGGTTTTTTGGTCATGACTTTAAAGTTACGATATGACTAAAGCAGCTGCTTTTTCTTTTGTTGGGTTAAAAGTGACAAACTAATTGTCTCTCTTCTTTTCTTTCAGGACCAACTGTGGAGTTTTTTCCTTTTGTGAATTGTTTTCCTTTGTTCTTGTTGTTACTTAGCATTTTTGGAGGAGTCTGACAGCTAAAACCCACAGAATCTGGAATGGCTGCACTCTTGATCCAGCACGCGGATCAAATACACAAGCATCATAATCAGTGTGCGTGATTCTACAGAGTCGGTCCACTGTCCGGCTCCACTGCAGATCGGCGGTTGGATTAGATACACAAGACTTCAATTTTTGACACCGCAGCACAGCGCAGCACAAGCAGCAGCGGAAGTTGTATGCGGTTACAGAGTAAAATACCTGGTTAATTTTCAAAATAAAGTCAACACATTGAACTGTTCTTCACTTAATAATAGTAGAAGCCAGGGTTGTGGGATGTGGGTGTTTTATATATACCGCTGTTTATATGCACTGATCGGCAGATCTCATTCAATGTCTCATGGTGAAACACGCGAGTTCTCATGAGACCTTGTCCAGTCTCGCGAGAAACATCGGTTATATCGTGAGCGCTTCTCCTTTGCTTGCTGCAGCAGATCAGATCCGGTGGGCGCTGTATGCTTGGGTATTTGATCCGCCTGCTGGTCTGGAGCGGAGTGGAACCGTTCTGGATCTTGTGGAATCCCCGGGTTACTGTGTGTTTATTTAGTTGGAATGTAGTTTAGTAAAGTTAGGTACAGGCAGTGAAGGTAGGAGTTTTATTTTATTTCTTTGAAACAAGAGAGATCTTGAGCTTCCCTTTTAGGTACTTGCTTCACTCTCTGATAGGTAGGTTGGAGATTGAGCTGCCTATAAAAGGAGAGCAGAATTACTCCCAAGGGAGGAAGATGTGCCCTTGTTTAATCTCATTTAAGACTCAATTTGTTTGATCTTGGGAGAAGCTTGTAGTTTTTAATGGAAACTTTATATGTGGACTTGACTGTAAATGAAAAAATATTCACTGCTAAGAAAACAGCAGTCTGTCAAGTTGTCTTCATGGGGGGACCAACAAGTTCATAAATAAAAAACACACAGACACACTGTGACTCTGTGTCTCATTATTTTAATCAGATCCAGGTCTAGTTGAATTTTAAACTCTAGTATCTAGAAAGGAGAGTGAAATAGGAAGAAACTGGAATTCTCCTGTGTGTCCACATTGCTCAGAGGATAAGAACACTGACTGGGACGCCTGAGGTTGTTGGTTCGATCCAAAGTAGCAAGATAAAAGAACGCCCAGCTCCTTCCCAAGTGTGGATCGTATCTTGTAGCATGTGTGTTAGTCAATTGGCTCTCAATGTGTGGACCCCGGTTCGATTCCCGCTAGTGACGGGGTAGTTCAAAGTAATGAAATGATGAAAATTTCCTTCTATACCGTAATCGGTATAGACTCCTGAAGAAGTGATGGTTCACTTCTAATGATGGCTAATTCTGATCGTTACTAATACTCTCCAGCCACGAGTTGATATCAAACCAGGCCCCATTGGGTGCCAATAGACTTCCATGCAGGCCATTAGATAGGATCCACACTAGGGCATGCGGAATGCCCGCTTTTATCATCTTACTTTGGCTAAAGGACTTTAAAATTTAACTAGATGTGGGTAAGGTTTGAACCCACGACCTCAAGAGTCTCAGGCAGTCTCCTTATCCTCTGGTCTATGTGAACACACAGGGTAATTCCGGGTTTGTCCTATTTCAGTCTCCTTACTAGACACTCGACTTTAAATTTCACTGCGAGTGTATAAGGCAAGGCTTGAACCCACAACCTCAGGAGTCCCAGTCAGTCTCCTTATCCTCTGAGCTATGTAGACATACAGGGCAATTCCGGGTTTGTCCTATTTCACTCTCCTTTCTAGACCCTAGACTTTAAATTTCACCACGCGTGTATAAGGCAAGGCTTGAACTCACAACCTCAGGAGTGCCAGTCAGTCTCCTTATGCTCTGAGCTACGTACGTACGTTTAGGTCTAGTTTTCAAAACCTGTAAATTTAAGGTAAGGCTTGAACCAACAACCTCAGGAGTCCCAGTCAGTCTCCTTATCCTCTGAGCTACGTAGACACACAGGGGAGTTCCGGGTTTTTCCTATTTCACTCTCTTTTCTCAACACTAGACTTTAAATTTCACTGCGAGTGTATAAGGCAAGGCTTGAACCCACAACCTCAGGAGTCCCAGTCAGTCTCCTTATCCTCTGAGCTATGTAGACACACAGGGCAATTCCGGGTTTGTCCTATTTCACTCTCTTTTCTCAACACTGGACTTTAAATTTCACTGCGAGTGTATAAGGCAAGGTTTGAACCCACAACCTCAGGAGTCCCAGTCAGTCTCCTTATCCTCTGAGCTAAGTAGACACACAGGGCAATTCCGGGTTTGTCCTATTTCACTCTTCTTTCTAGACCCTAGACTTTAAATTTCACCACGAGTGTATAAGGTAAGGCTTGAACCAACAACCTCAGGAGTCCCAGTCAGTCTCCTTATCCTCTGAGCTACGTAGACACACAGGCGAGTTCCGGGTTTTTCCTATTTCACTCTCTTTTCTCAACACTGGACTTTAAATTTCACTGCGAGTGTATAAGGCAAGGCTTGAACCCACAACCTCAGGAGTCCCAGTCAGTCTCCTTATCCTCTGAGCTACGTAGACACACAGGGCAATTCCGGGTTTGTCCTATTTCACTCTTCTTTCTAGACCCTAGACTTTAAATTTCACCACGAGTGTATAAGGTAAGGCTTGAACCAACAACCTCAGGAGTCCCAGTCAGTCTCCTTATCCTCTGAGCTACGTAGACACACAGGCGAGTTCCGGGTTTTTCCTATTTCACTCTCTTTTCTCAACACTAGACTTTAAATTTCACTGCGAGTGTATAAGGCAAGGCTTGAACCCACAACCTCAGGAGTCCCAGTCAGTCTCCTTATCCTCTGAGCTATGTAGACACACAGGGCAATTCCGGGTTTTTCCTATTTCACTCTCTTTTCTCAACACTAGACTTTAAATTTCACTGCAAGTGTATAAGGCAAGGCTTGAACCCACAACCTCAGGAGTCCCAATCAGTCTCCTTATCCTCTGAGCCACGTAGACACACAGGGGAGTTCCAGGTTTTTCCTATTTCACTCTCTTTTCTCAACACTAGACTTTAAATTTCACTGCGAGTGTATAAGGTAAGGCTTGAACCCACAACCTCAGGAGTCCCAGTCAGTCTCCTTATCCTCTGAGCTACGTAGACACACAGGGCAATTCTGGGTTTGTCCTATTTCACTCTCTTTTCTCAACACTAGACTTGAAATTTCACTGCGAGTGTATAAGGCAAGGCTTGAACCCACAACCTCAGGAGTCCCAGTCAGTCTCCTTATCCTTTATTGATGTAATTAACATAAGAATAACAACACTTCACACAGCCAAAGGTTTGATTATTCTGCCAATAGTCTTCTTTTCTTTCAGGACCAACTGTGGGGTTTTTCCTTTTCTGAATTGTTTTTCTTTGTTCATATTTAGCATTTTTAGGGTGACCAAAATTTCAGATTTTAGGGTGAAAAAAAAATTCAGATTTTAGGATGAGAAAACATGCCATAGTATTGTCTGTTCAAATTGCCATAGTATAGGATGTTATAAATTTCCTATTTTAGCGGGAAAATGAAAAAATCATATTTTGGTTGGGAAAAAAAAAAAAAGACATAGTATACTATGACCAAAATTTCAGATTTTAGGGTGAGAAAAAAATTCAGATTTTAGGATGAAAAAACATGCCATCGTATTGTCTGATCAAATTGCCATAGAATAGGATGTTAAAAATGTCATATTTTAGCAGGAAAATGAAAAAAATCATATTTTGGTCTGAAAAAAAAAAAAGACATAGTATACTATGACCAAAATTTCAGATTTTAGAATGAAAAAACATGCCATAGTATTGTCTAATCAAATTGCCATAGAATAGGATGTTAAAAAATGTCATATTTTAGTGGGAGAATTAAAAATTCATATTTTGGTCTGAAAAAAATAATGACATCTATGACCAAAATTTCAGATTTTAGGGTGAAAAAAAAATTCAGATTTTAGGATGAGAAAACATGCCATAGTATTGTCTGATCAAATTGCCATAGAATAGGATGTTAAAAATGTCCTATTTTAGCGGGAAAATGAAAAAATCATATTTTGGTCTGAAAAAAAAAAGACATAGTATACTATGACCAAAATTTCAGATTTTAGGGTGAAAAAAAAATTTAAGATTTTAGGATGAAAAAACATGCCATCGTATTGTCTGATCAAATTGCCATAGAATAGGATGTTAAAAATGTCATATTTTAGCGTGGGGGAAAAATTCGTCTTTTAGTCCCAAAAAAAAAACAAAAAACGTCATAGTATTTGTCATGACTGTAGTCATTTAAGTGGTTTGGTTAGTTCATTTGTTGACTGACAGCTCTCTTTTTTCCCCCCTTGTCTGCAGTGGAAATCAGCCTTTGTGTGAGAGATGAGCTGCAGGTGTGCGTGTGCTGCTATTTGCGATGTGACATGATTGCTGCATGCTGATTGGCTGGCTGAGGACTATTTAAACCACTTGATGCCATCCTCCAGCCCCCTTCTGGCCCTTGCCATTTCCAACCACCAGTCCATGCAGTCAATGTGAATTATTTCTGGTTAGCCTTGGGAATACAAAGATAATTTAATTGTGAATATTTTACTTTAGGATTTAGTGGCAGACACAGGAGGGAGAAGCCATTTTGTTTTCTATCTTGTTTTCTCCTGTTTCTTGGTTAGGAGTTAGGTTATCTGTTGTCTTTTGTTTTACATTTATTTTACTACAGGTAAGTTAGGGTCCTTGATTTAGCGGTTTTGTTTGATGTGTTGGCATCACTGCTCTCTGAAGTGAATAAAAACTGCCTTGTCTGTGAATCTACAAACTCATCATTGGCTGGTTCTTGGGAGTGGGAAGAGCGGGGCACTTAATAATATACAGCCCTGGTTCCCCTTGGCCAGGGCCATAGAATATACTATGAACAAAATTTCAGATTTGAGGATAGGAAAAAAACATGCCATAGCGTTGTCTGATCAAAATGCCATAGAATAGGATGTTAAAAATGTCATATTTTAGTGGGAAAATGAAAAATTCATATTTTGGTCTGAAAAAAAAAACGACATAGTATACTATGACCAAAATTTCAGATTTTAGGGTGAAAAAAAAATTCAGATTTTAGGATGAGAAAACATGCCATAGTATTGTCTGATCAAATTGCCATAGAAAAGGATGTTAAAAATGTCATATTTTAGCAGGAAAATTAAAAATTCATATTTTGGTCCAAAGAAAAAAACGACATAGTGTAATATGACCAAAATTTCAGATTTTAGAGTGAAAATAAAATTCTGTTTTTGGGATGAAAAAACATGCCAAAGTATTGTCTGATCAAAATGCCATAGAATAGGATGTTAAAAATGTAATATTTTAGTGGGAAAATGAAAAATTCATATTTTGGTCCGAAAAAAAAAACGACATAGTATACTATGACCAAAATTCCAGATTTTAGGGTGAAAAAAGATTTCAGATTTTAGGATGAAAAAACATGCTATGGTATTGTCTGATCAAATTGCTATAGAAAAGGGTGTTAAAAATGTCATATTTTAGCAGGAAAATTAAAAATTCATATTTTGGTCTGATAAAAAAATTCAGATTTTAGGATGAAAAAACATGCCATAGTATTGTCTGATCAAATTGCCATAGAAAAGGGTGTTAAAAATGTCCAATTTAAGCGGGAAAATGAAAAAATCATATTTTGGTCTGAAAAAAAACCCGACATAGTATACTATGACCAAAATTTCAGATTTTAGGGTGAAAATAAAATTCTGATTTTAGGATGAAAAAACTTGCCATAGTATTGTTGGATCAAATTGCCATAGAAAAGGATGTTAAAAATGTCATATTTTAGCGGGTAAATGAAAAATTAATACTTTGGTCTGAAAAAAAAATTCAGATTTTAGGATGAAAAAACATGCCATAGTATTGTCTGATCAAATTGCCATAGAATAGGATGTTAAAAATGTCATATTTTAGTGGGAAAATGAAAAATTCATATTTTGGTCTGAAAAAAAAAACGACATAGTATACTATGACCAAAATTTCAGATTTTAGGGTGAAAAAAAAATTCAGATTTTAGGATGAGAAAACATGCCATAGTATTGTCTGATCAAATTGCCATAGAAAAGGATGTTAAAAATGTCATATTTTAGCAGGAAAATGAAAAATTCATATTTTGGTCTGAAAAAAAAACGACATAGTATACTATGACCAAAATTTCAGATTTTAGGGTGAAAAAAAAAAATTCTGATTTTAGGATGAGAAAACATGCCATAGTATTGTCTGTTCAAATTGCCATAAGAGAGGATGTTAAAAATGTCATATTTTAGCAGGAAAATGAAAATTTCATATTTTGGTCAGAAAAAAACCCGACATAGTATACTATGACCAAAATTTCAGATTTTAGGGTGAAAATAAAATTCTGATTTTAGGATGAAAAAACATGCCATAGTATTGTCTGATCAAAATGCCATAGTACAGGATGTTATAAATATCATAATTTAGTGGGGAAAAAAAAATCATATTTTATTCTGAAAAAAAAAAAAGACATAGTATACCATGACCAAAATTTTAGATTTTAGGGTAAAAAATTTTTTTCAGATTTTAGGATGAGAAAACATGCCATAGTATTGTCGGATCAAAATGCCATAGTACAGGATGTTATTAATATCATAATTTAGTGGGTGGAAAAAAAAATCATATTTTATTCTGAAAAAAAAAAAAGACATAGTATACTATGACCAAAATTTCAGATTTTAGGGTTAAAATAAAATTCTGTTATTGGGATGAAAAAACATGCCATAGCATTGTCGGATCAAAATGCCACTGTAAAGGGTTTTAAAAATGTTATATCCTAGCACAAAAAAACTAAATCATATTGAAGTCTGAAAAAAAACGACAGAGTATACTATGACCAAAATTTCAGAATTATGGTGAAAAAAATATTCTGTTTTTGGGATGACAAAACATGCCATAGTATTGTCTGATCAAATTGTCATAGAAAAGGATGTTTAAGATGTCATATTTTAGTAGGAAAATGAAAAATTCATATTTTGGTCTGAAAAAAAAAACGACATAGTATACTATGACCAAAATTTCAGATTTTAGGGTGAAAATAAAACTCTGTTTTTAGGATGAAAAACATGCCATAGTATTGTCTGATCACAATGCCACTGTATAGGATGTTAAAATTTTCATATTTTAGCAGGAAAATTAAAAAATCATATTTTGGTCTGAAAAAAAAACGACATAGTATACTATGACCAAAATTTCAGTTTTTAGGGTAAAAAAAAAATTTCAGATTTTAGGATGAAAAAACATGCCATAGTATTGTCTGATCAAAATGCCATAGTACAGGATGTTATAAATATCATAATTTAGTGGGGAAAAAAAATCATATTTTATTCTGAAAAAAAAAAAAGACATAGTATACCATGACCAAAATTTTAGATTTTTGGGTAAAAAAAATTTTTCAGATTTTAGGATGAAAAAACATGCTATAGTATTGTCTGATCAAAATGCCATAGTACAGGATGTTATTAATATCATAATATAGTGGGGGAAAAAAAAAATCATATTTTATTCTGAAAAAAAAAAAAAAGACATAGTATACTATGACCAAAATTTCAGATTTTAGGGTTAAAATAAAATTCTGTTATTGGGATGAAAAAACATGCCATAGCATTGTCTGATCAAAATGCCACAGTAAAGGGTGTTAAAAATGTTATATCCTAGCACAAAAAAACTAAATCATATTGAAGTCTGAAAAAAAACGACATAGTATACTATGACCAAAATTTCAGAATTATGGTGAAAAATAATTCTGATTTTGGGATGAAAAAACATGCCTTAGTATTGTCTGATCAAAATGCCATAGTATAGGATGTTAAAAATTTCATATTTTTAGCAGGAAAAAAAAAAAATCATATTTCAATAAAAAAAAAAATCATAGTATACCATGACCAAAATTTTAGATTTTAGGGTAAAAAAAAAAATTCAGATTTTAGGATGAAAAAACATGCCATAGTATTGTCTGATCAAAATGCCATAGTACAGGATGTTATAAATATCATAATTTAGTGGGGGAAAAAAAAATCATATTTTATTCTGAAAAAAAAAAAAAGACATAGTATACCATGACCAAAATTTTAGATTTTAGGGTAAAAAAAAAATTTCAGATTTTAGGATGAGAAAACATGCCATAGTATTGTCGGATCAAAATGCCATAGTACAGGATGTTATTAATATCATAATTTAGTGGGGGGAAAAAAAATCATATTTTATTCTGAAAAAAAAAACGACAGAGTATACCATGACCAAAATTTCAGAATTATGGTGAAAAAAATATTCTGTTTTTGGGATGACAAAACATGCCATAGTATTGTCTGACCAAAATGCCATAGTATAGGATGTTAAAAATTTCATATTTTTAGCAGGAAAAAAAAAATCATATTTCAATAAAAAAAAAAATCATAGTATACCATGACCAAAATTTCAGATTTTAGGGTAAAAAAAATTCAGATTTTTGGGATGAAAAACATGCCATAGTATTGTCTGATCAAAATGCCATAGTACAGGATGTTATAAATATCATAATTTAGTGGGGGAAAAAAAAATCATATTTTATTCTGAAAAAAAAAAAAAGACATAGTATACCATGACGAAAATTTTAGATTTTAGGGTAAAAAAAAAATTTCAGATTTTAGGATGAGAAAACATGCCATAGTATTGTCGGATCAAAATGCCATAGTACAGGATGTTATTAATATCATAATTTAGTGGGGGGAAAAAAAATCATATTTTATTCTGAAAAAAAAAAAAGACATAGTATACTATGACCAAAATTTCAGATTTTAGGGTTAAAATAAAATTCTGTTATTGGGATGAAAAAACATGCCATAGCATTGTCTGATCAAAATGCCACAGTAAAGGGTGTTAAAAATGTTATATCCTAGCACAAAAAACCAAATCATATTTAAGTCTGAAAAAAAACGACATAGTATACTATGACCAAAATTTCAGAATTATGGTGAAAAAAATATTCTGTTTTTGGGATGACAAAACATGCCATAGTATTGTCTGACCAAAATGCCATAGTATAGGATGTTAAAAATTTCATATTTTTAGCAGGAAAAAAAAAAAATCATATTTCAATAAAAAAAAAAATCATAGTATACCATGACCAAAATTTTAGATTTTAGGGTAAAAAAAAATTCAGATTTTAGGTTGAAAAAACATGCTATAGTATTGTCTGATCAAAATGCCATAGTACAGGATGTTATAAATATCATAATTTAGTGGGGGAAAAAAATCATATTTTATTCTGAAAAAAAAAAAAAGACATAGTATACCATGACCAAAATTTTAGATTTTAGGGTAAAAAAAAAATTTCAGATTTTAGGATGAAAAAACATGCTATAGTATTGTCTGATCAAAATGCCATAGTACAGGATGTTATAAATATCATAATTTAGTGGGGGGAAAAAAATCATATTTTATTCTGAAAAAAAAAAAGACATAGTATACTATGACCAAAATTTTAGATTTTAGGGTTAAAATAAAATTCTGTTATTGGGATGAAAAAACATGCCATAGCATTGTCTGATCAAAATGCCACAGTAAAGGGTGTTAAAAATGTTATATCCTAGCACAAAAAAACCAAATCATATTTAAGTCTGAAAAAAAAAACGACAGAGTATACTATGACCAAAATTTCAGATTTTATGGTGAAAAAAATATTCTGTTTTTGGGATGACAAAACATGCCATAGTATTGTCTGATCAAATTGTCATAGAAAAGGATGTTTAAAATGTCATATTTTAGTAGGAAAATGAAAAATTCATATTTTGGTCCAAAAAAAAAACGACATAGTATACTATGACCAAAATTTCAGATTTTAGGGTGAAAATAAAACTCTGTTTTTGGGATGAAAAACATGCCATAGTATTGTCTGATCACAATGCCACTGTATAGGATGTTAAAATTGTCATATTTCAGCAGGAAAATGAAAAATTCATATTTTGGTCCGAAAAAAAAACCAACAAAGTATACTATGACCAAAATTTCAGTTTTTAGGGTAAAAAAAAAATTTCAGATTTTAGGATGAAAAAACATGCCATAGTATTGTCTGATCAAAATGCCATAGTACAGGATGTTATAAATATCATAATTTAGTGGGGAAAAAAAAAATCATATTTTATTCTGAAAAAAAAAAAAAAGACATAGTATACCATGACCAAAATTTTAGATTTTAGGGTAAAAAAAAAATTTCAGATTTTAGGATGAAAAAACATGCTATAGTATTGTCTGATCAAAATGCCATAGTACAGGATGTTATAAATATCATAATTTAGTGGGGGGAAAAAAAATCATATTTTATTCTGAAAAAAAAAAAAAAGACATAGTATACTATGACCAAAATTTCAGATTTTAGGGTTAAAATAAAATTCTGTTATTGGGATGAAAAAACATGCCATAGCATTGTCTGATCAAAATGCCACAGTAAAGGGTGTTAAAAATGTTATATCCTAGCACAAAAAAACTAAATCATATTTAAGTCTGAAAAAAAACGACAGAGTATACTATGACCAAAATTTCAGAATTATGGTGAAAAAAATATTCTGTTTTTGGGATGACAAAACATGCCATAGTATTGTCTGACCAAAATGCCATAGTATAGGATGTTAAAAATTTCATATTTTTAGCAGGAAAAAAAAAATCATATTTCAATAAAAAAAAAAATCATAGTATACCATGACCAAAATTTTAGATTTTAGGGTAAAAAAAAAAATTCAGATTTTAGGTTGAAAAAACATGCTATAGTATTGTCTGATCAAAATGCCATAGTACAGGATGTTATAAATATCATAATTTAGTGGGGGAAAAAAAATCATATTTTATTCTGAAAAAAAAAAAAAGACATAGTATACTATGACCAAAATTTCAGATTTTAGGGTTAAAATAAAATTCTGTTATTGGGATGAAAAAACATGCCATAGCATTGTCTGATCAAAATGCCACAGTAAAGGATGTTAAAAATGTTATATCCTAGCACAAAAAAACTAAATCATGGCCTTTATTGTGACATACTTTACTAAAACATCTCATATCATAATATACTATGACATTTTGATCAAACTATACAAAGGCCTTTTTTTGTGTCAAACTTTGCTGTGACATTTAATATAATACTGTACTATAACATTTTTTATCATACTATACTATGACATGCTTATCATTCTATACTGACATTTTTTTTGTGTCAAACTATGCTATGACATTTTATATCATACTTTACAATGGCCTTTTTGTATCATACTTTACTATGACATTTTTAATCATACCATACTTTGACATTTTGATCATACTACACCATTACATTTTTTATGTCATATTATACTATGACATTTTATATCATATTATACTGTAACATTTTTATCATATTATACTATGACATTTTATATCATACTATACTAGTACATTTTTATCATACTATACTATGACATTTTTACCATACTAAACTGACTTTTTTTTTATCACACTATACAATGACTTTTTTTGTATTATACTATACTCTTACTTTTGTATTGGGCAGTTAATCTAAAATAGTTCAGATTAGTTCAGGAATGGAGTCGCCTCGCCATAATGTTGTAGTCCCTCATTGCGCCATCCTTGGCCTCCTTCGGGGCGTTCTCCAGAGCTTTGATAACAAAGATGTTGGATCCTTTCGGAAACCTAGACCTATACCTGAGAGTGAAAGGGGACACTGCACTTAAAAATTCAACGAGAAATGGGTCAGGTCGTCACTGGGTCAGTGAGCGCAGTGACGCACAAAATTCAGATAGGGATCAGGAAGTTAACACCATAGACACCATAGAGACATAGATACTGTCTAAGAAGTCCTTAAATATTTTGGTTCAGATCCTTACATTATGAAGAGGAGCTATTTTTAACAGAGCAACAGCTGTAAATGATCAATTCCCGACGTATACAGTATATTTATATCTGCCCTCTCCCTATCTATTTAGCTTGTGTTTGTGAGTTGAAAAAATGTATCTAGATATCCACACGTATATGAATGAATAGTTTATTAATATAACAATGTTCCACACGACTACAAAAGTAGCCTGTTTCGTCATGGAGCCTTTATTTTTACAATCTCGTTTCAACAAGGAGTACTGATCCAAAATCAGGGTTTTTGTGGATTGAGGACCAGTTTTGGTATCATTTTTGATACTGGAGTTCCTAATATTCGCCATTGCCGATCCTGGGTTAGTACTCAGATAAAAAAACAGGCTGTACAAATACAGGTTCCAGTCATTTCAGACAAACAGGTGATTTTCATTCAGAGATATAAAACTGTGATATCTGTTTAATTGAAGTATATCAATAGACTAAGACACTTATAAAGTGTAGTAGAAATATTAGAGGTGAGTTTACTGCAGTGTCAGCCAAGCTCTGTTCAGTTCAGTCAGATCACTGAAGGAAATTTTGTGATGGTATATAAATCGAACGTTGAATTCTTCATAAAATACAAGTCAAACACCTTTCGCTATCCTTCCTATTACTATAGGCTACATGATGTGTCATTGCAAACCTCAAGAAGTCAAGAAACCTCAAGACTTTGTATTCATTAATCACATTTCCACCTGTAGAAATCCAGCCAATAAACTCATTTTAATGGTGAAGTGACTGAACTGGAAACAGGTTGACTCTGGCCTGCTAATGGCCTTACTTACATTCCATATATAACTGTATGAAAATAGAAACATTAATAAGATACAACTAACATAAAAAGCCTTTTCTTCCACACACACAAATACTGGGGAGAGTGTGTATGTGAGTTGAATTGTTCCACAAAGTCAAAAAGCTGCAAAAAACACATGAAAAACAAACAAAAAAAATTTATGTTCTAGCCCCCCCCCCCTCCATCCCCTTCCCCCAAATCTTAAATGTCAATTTTACAAAGCCGAGGAGTCATCAACAATGATCCGTTATATATGTTACAACAATGCTCTTCGCACAATAAGTGTATAAATGTCGACTCATTTTGCAGAACCTTTGATCACAGCCATCTGCATTGTGTTAGGCATCAGAAACTATCATCAGAACTATCATTTTGTTTGTTTCAGAGTTTCTAAAAGTTGGGAATATCTCCCTTTCTGTTCACATGCCAGTATCTTGGAAATGGTTCAACGTAAAGCCATTCCGGCTTGTGTAACGGTAGACCACTGAAGGCTGAAATAACCATGTAAATAATGGCTATTAACACCTGTCCAGACAGAAAGCACCGCTCACTTTATTATGAAAGAAAACTCTACATTTTATTGGTTTTGTGGGATTAATAAAGACATTTTTTGGCACAAATTGTAGCCTCAAGTATTTGAAGCTTAACATTTCTTTTCAGTCGACTACCAGACCTCACAATGGCCATTTTTTTCCTACTTATTTTCCTTCTGTGTGCTGTGTTGCTAAGTTTTTAATTTCTCAAAGCTCCATCTAACGTAACAGTCTTTAAAAAAGTCCTGGTAAACATTTGAAATCTTTTGGAAAAAGAAAGTTCTCTGGGTTAGCTCTTTCTTGTCTTTGTGCTTAGTTGTGTTCCCAGCTTCTTGTAGAAGACATTATGATTTTTTTTCTACTGATAAATAAGGAAATTCTGTTAATACTCATATAAAAGATGGTGAAACTACTTCTGGAATATGGTTAGGGTATATCAGGGTAGAAGTAAACGCAGAGAAACTCTTGATTTTGAATTACTGCAGAAGAGAGAAAGAAAACGTGGAGCCTGATCTCTTTTATGAGTTTGGTCTACATTCAGACCAGTGCCAATGCTTAAACCTCTGTTTACAAATTTATTTTCTACAAAATCTTTTCTTTAGGTTACAAAAATCCAAAGGCCCCAAGTAATGAAAGAAAAAAACGGTCTGAGAGGAATGAATGTGAAACCATAGATGTAACCAAAATCAAGCCATTTGTGGAGAGCAATTTTTCAGAATATAACCTCGTATTTATTTAAAACACCAAAATATCTAAACTATTTACTGTTTGCAACATTGCTCGCTCATAAAAAGCATCATGAAAAGTTTGAACATTTCACCAATTGGACATTTCGCAATTAACCATGGATGTGTGAGCTTTTTGACTCACTGTGAAAACAGAACTAATCTAAAATATGCAGAAAAAAGAGGAGTTGCAAATTAGCTGAAAAGTATCATTTGTTCTAGGTTTGAACTGCTGCTACAAAACGAGTGGTACTGGTTTTAAAAAATCTACAGTGGTGGTGTTCTGGGTTTGTTCCATAAAAGAAGAAACGGATCTGCATGCGGCAGACGAGGTAATAAACACAACAGGGGGAAACTCTGAGGCTGCTTCTCTCTGTGCTGCACTCTGTTAAAAGAAGGCACTATGAGTGCTTTGCCATCCCAGTGATCAAGATTCAGTATGGCACACTCTTCCAAGAACATCTCTGGAGTCTGCTGTTAGTTTTCTTCAGATTAATAAAAGGGAGGAATCCATTTGTGGGTTTGATGCTCGCTCTTAGACCGCTGAGTGTTCCCTTCTTTGGAGATGCCACTGCGAAAAGTTATGGCTTACACTCTGAACCACAGCGCTCTGTACTCATATCATCCTAGAGGCAGCACACCCTTTCAAATTCTCATCGAGCAGATCCGACTAAGTTCCTCCTCCACGCTTCTATTCGATCAGCCTGAAGTGCAGAGTGGCGGTGACTCTGGCTGTTTCAGCGGGGTGTAGACAGACTACAGGTAGAGGTAACTGACCCAGTAGACTATGTTGAAGAGCAAGAAGGAGGTGGGAAAGAAAACCCGGGAGTAGGAGTCAAGCTCACGGATGTTGACGTGAATCCGCCCTTTCTTCCAGCCGCCTTCTTTACACTCCTCATAACAGCAGAAGAAGCTCGCGCAGTCTTTCCCTTCCAGGCACTCATGCAGGCAGTTGTCGTCGTAGTTGTGCCATAGCAGGGAGTTGCCCATGGACAGCATAGGCTGACGGGTGTGACCCATGTGGAAGGATGAGTAGGTCTGGAAGACACAGAGAGGTTATTTCAGAGGGTCGCCTCCATAGACAGTATCTACCATGGACAACTTGGCTCTACCCTCCACCAGTATACGGATTTTAAGCCGAAAAGCTCTATCAGTCTGTATCAGGTGTCAATCATAGAAAACATGAACCCCCTCATAACTTTTAAAAATGGAGCTGTACAGAAAAAAAAGAGGACTTGAACACAAACCAGTGTTACAATAACTACATGTCAACATCCCAAACAGGAGGGAAAAAATGTATATTCTGTGTAATGAATTTCCAAAGTTTGTCCACAGTCCCTAAGCTTTGCTGGCGGAGGCGGGATATATGACCTATACTGTAGCCCGTCACCAGAGGGTGCTGTTCTTGGAGTGGCTTCAACCAGCAAGAAGGCAGACGACGTCAATTCTATATAGAGTCTATGGTCTCCTCTGTCCAGTGCTAGATTAGGAAAATACTTGGGGAATCCACCACTGTTTGCTGTTGTATTGTGCCGCAATGACACATCATGGCCACTTGATGGCAGTGTGACCACATGGAAAATAAGGTGTTATTATTCTACCACCAATTGCACCCATTCATTGGGGAGAGAAAGATTGGCTGACAGAAATGCTTCAACTACTGAACCACTCGAAAATGATTTTCTCTAAATCCAAATTCAATTCTGAGTATTGCCAAATTTGTGACAATAGGCCTCTTGTTTGGAAACAAAGTTAATCCCGGTTTTGGAGAGGACGTTATGGAGAAGTTTCTTTGAAAAGTGTCCTTATGGTACCTACAGACAGAAAGCCAGGCAGGTTTATAATAAGAGTGTGGTCTCCAGTGATTTATACAGTAAAAAGTGAGCAGAGTTTATCGTCAACTATGCCATAATGGATTTTTCTGATTCCAGAGCCATACTGCCAAATATAACAAGTGATCAATTCTTTTGATAAAAGTGGTCCTGAGTGAATTATTGTTGTTCATATTTTAGTTCAAAATGAGGGTTTGACTCACTAAACCGAGCCAAAAAGTTATTGTGTAATTCACAGAGCAGAAAGGGTTAAAAACTCCACAAACTGAGCAAAACCAGACTCATGTTAGACAGTCATCTGCTAAGACTGCAGAGAGGGGATAGAGAGAGATGGATAGAGGCGGTAAAACATCCACAGCAGAGATCCAGAGGAATCAACAGCTTGATGGAGGTCAGGGACTCCCAGAAAAGACTGTATTTTTTACTCTAAAGGTCCTTACACACCGGGAGCATTTTTGTCGTGCGATTATTTCAGACGTCAATATTTTTTTTCGAACCCGTATCCTGTCAATACAAGTGTTCACATCAGCGACATTTTCCAATCCTGCGATATTACAGCTTTTTTTTTTTGCATCACGGCCGATTTTTAGATGGCGCAGCGACCTCATGACAATCTTCATCCACTAACTACCTCACAGCACAGCAGGGTGACAGATCTTGAAGCAGGCAGCTCAGGGACGCACGGAGGAGAGCGGTCCACCTCAACGGAAAATTAACAGCTTGTGAAATACACAATAAGTCAACAAGTTTCAGTTCAACCCACTCCCGCTGTGCTGGTCTCGGTCACGCCGAGTTAACGGTGAAGCACCATGTAATATGCGAGCTAAAGTTAGAGTTAGCCACCTGCTATTGGCCTTGCTACACTGTTAGCCGTTCCAGTAACAGTAGAATTAAACAACAGTACACATTATATGATCGAGCTACTTGTCTTACTGAGGCAGCTGCATGTCTCCAGATGAGAGCGGACCAGTAATGTGTAACGTGAGTTTGGACGCGGAGGGGGTAGTAGTTGAAAACGCTTTTCTGGTCCGAGTTTGATCAGCCGGTCTTCCTGTTGGTGTAAAGAGCAGTAGCCTATTTACAGTATATATATATTTTTATAGACTTCATAAAAAATTTAAAAAATCGCCCCCCCCCCCCCCCCCCCAATAATCTGTATTGGCATCGTCCCCAAAAAATCCATATCGGTCGGGCCCTAGTTTATGGATTATAGTTTAATGTGCTTATCTGGTACTGACTCTGTACATGCTACCATGACAGACAGCCATCTCAACACCAGTGTAATAAAACATAATAATTCAAAGTTCATGACAAACAGAAAGGGAATGGAGGAGGAGGGAAATGTGCTCAATATGTCAGAAAACTCAAAACTGGGAGAAAATAAAACAGAGTGGTCATCTGCAGAGAGGGAAATGACAGGCAGTGCTGACTCAGTCTGGGTGGATGTACACTGGCAGCATTAAAGCTCTCATGGCGGGAGCTGCCTTGAAAACACCCACCGGTTTGTGTCGAAAACATGAAGAATGTTTGCTGACCGTGAATTTACCATTTTGTGTGTCTTCGGCATGGGTTTGCGTACACTGTAGGAACAGTAGTTCAGCATGGCGTACTCGATCATAGCAGCGAAGACGAACAGGAAGCAGACGGTGACGAACAGATCCATAGCTGTCACGTAAGACACTCTAGGTAGGGAGTTCCTGGCGACGGTGCTGAGGGTGGTCATGGTCAGCACTGTTGTGATACCTGTAAAAGGTAATATGGAGTTAAGGAGGAGGAGTACTTTTCAAAGAGATCTCACAGGGAACACACGATGAGTAGCTTGCCAGGGCTGGGTTGACTCAGTTGGTATTTATATGTGGGCGGAGGATTATCAATCACCTTTGAAAATGCAAATGGAGTATATTAGGAGGGTTTAAGGAATATTACATGACTACAGCCTTCAACTGAATGTCTGTAATTCAATTTGAAAAATCTTTTTTCTTCTTTGTAAAATCATAACATAGCCTACTAATACACTAACCTGACATGACTCGTCTAGAAAAAGGCTCAAACAGTCGCATTAGCATATAAAAGCGGGCATGGGACAAAAGTCTGACCTTGTATTTTCTGATCTCTGACATAGGGAACTTTTTACAATCGCATTTCTACGGTAGCGTTTGAAACCGTTCAGCCTCTATCAGCTGATAATATTTTGATAAGTTGATCATTTAACTTTATAAAAAGGGAAACTTCAAGATGGCTGGCCAATCAGCATGATCAGCAAACAATGTGGAAGTGATTTCGGCGCCCCCCCGATCGTCACAGACTTTGTTGGGGTTTCTATGGTTTCCGGCACTGATTGGTCAGCTTTTAAAGGCTCATTTGAGATCATTTGAATCGCGTGTCAGATCACCCCAGTCTTCTCGTCTCAGATCAGAATTCCGTGTTCCCCTGATGAAATGACATCGATTCCCTTAAGAAGAGATAAACCCGGCGCCATCACTGCCCACTAAGGACAGTGATATTCTACCGTGGCACACACACACACAACAACACACGTGTCATTCTTGCCGTTATCTTCTCACATCCTCTCCCATGCTTTTACATGCCATATCTCACTCCTCCTCTCCCTCTTTGTTCCTTTCACTCTCACTCTCTTTTTCAGTCTCTTTCATCCTCATCTCCCACATGTCTTTCATAGCAGAGTGTGTCACTGTTTTTGCCTGTGGTTTCCATAGAGACGAGTTGCTCCCTTCTATTTCAAGCCACCTCCTCTGGTCTAGTGCTCATCTAGACTCTCTTTTCCCCATGCTCATAAGATTTTTAGCGTATAATTAGATGAATGAACAACTCTCAGCTCCTTGGACCTCAAAGCTCTTTTTTCTTTTTATCCTGCACCGTAAACGGTGAGATCTTTGTTCTTTCTTTGACCAGAAGCAACCGCTCGCTGTTCAGGCTGTTGTTTCAAATCAAGGTTGTGGCTTTCCTCTGTCATGGTTTAAATTATTCTGTGGGAATGATACCATAGCAACCAGGTCCCCTCTTGTCAGTGCGGGGAATCTGAACATCACTAAGTCTGACTGTGTCAAAACACAACAGGTAAGAGAGGCTTCATTAAAACCTCTCGGAAGGCAATTGTGCAAGAGACATCTTAAAGGGGAACTCTGGGATTTTTTCACCCGGGTTCCTTTTGTCCCATGTGTTTGTGTGGGCTTGACAGATAAAGAGAACAGTTTTTTGGAATTGATCAGGTATTGAGGGAGAGCGGAGCATCCAGTAGCCGTTAAATGAGCTAAAGCGTAGTTTGATCGGGCGATTGTACATCGTCAAACTGCATTCAAGATATATATTTGATAAAATACTGTAAAAAAAAAAAGAGTGCAGGTATTGAATAAGAAATAAAATAATAATATTAACAGAGTGCTCCGCTGTATTTAGGCTCTGACTGTATCTGTGAAGCCCTCAGATTTTGGCTGCAAAAACATACTGAGCTGCTAAAGGAGCTGCTGGTCCATCACCCAGGAGGACCGACAGCTGCTCCTCAGGGGGTAAGGTCACGAAATTTGGGTTTCAGTTAGTCTGTTTTTTGAAATAGTGCTCTCTTTGGGCCTAATCTATTGAAAATCAAGTGCAAATAAGCACACATTGTCTTTCTAGTGTTTATTGAGCACGTCTGCCATTGATGAAGGGATGGATGGATTTTGATGACATGTTTGAATAAGCCACACAGTAAGGGCCTGTTCACATACGCAACTTTGCGTCGCATAATGGGGCACTCACACCAAGCGGAAGTAAAATCATCTGCTCGTTTGAAGGTCCTTTCACACCGGGACCGTGTTTATCGTGTGATTATTTCGGACGTCAACATTTTTTTCCAACCCATATCCTGTCAATACAAGTGTTCACATCAGCGACGTTTTCTCATCCTGCGATATTGCGGAATTTATTTTTTCGGATCACGGTCGATTTTTCTTAAGTTTCACATACTGTGTGTCCACTTCTGACCAATCAGATTGCGTATTGTTGCGACGTCTGATTCACCACTATATCCAACATGGCCGAAGTAACTTGAGCTCGTAAGCAAACCTGTTCAGATACAACATACCATATGTATTTTCACTGTCTCAAACTCAATGGCGTTGCTGTCACAGCACCATTAGGTCTCGGTTGTTACCTTACGTTTATGGATTATAGTTTAATGTTCTTATCTGGTACTGGCCCCGACTCAGTACATGCTATCATGACAGACAGACATCTCAACACTAGAGTCTAATCAGAACTGAAAAACAGGCAGTCTGCTGTTGTGTCAGTCTTTGCGTTTCCACCTGGGACGCGTCCCCCCCCCGCGAAAAGTCGTACAATCGCATTGGGCTAGATGTGTATAGTCAGGTGCGTCAGAATTCACCTCTGAATATTTTGTGATTTCGTGTCGTATATTTGCGTTGGTCCCGGTGTGTAAGGACCTTTATTCGCGAATCTAGACGTGAGAATGAATAGTATTTACTCATTTCATTCGCTCGTCAAGAGTAATTTCAATGGTAATCCCTGTCAATTTGACCGGCTGGATCAAGTGATAGACAAAGGTTTTCTACAATTTACCAGGTAATCCGACCTCCTCACTTACTTGCCTCCGGGCGGGCTTCTTTTCATTCCGGTTTCGGTAATTGAAAGAAAAGGTATCATATAATTCAGAGCAACCACACACCAATACGATCAGTTTGTTCTCGGCCACCATAGTTTGTCCTCCATTTTAGATACCAGTGAACAACCGTCCGTTTTCATTTGTTACCGAGCAATCCTTGTGCTGAGTAGTTATCGCAAAGGAAATCTCTACTCAAGTTGAGATTCGCCCAATTTGCCTAATTGCGTCTTAACATTAACTTAACATGAAACTCATTTGCACGAATGATCTTCCTCGGTGTGCGGTGACAGTAAGGATGAGTGTTACTACCAAGTTTGATTATTTCTGTGCCGCGCTTCCTTCATACATTCTCCAGCTCTTTATTCTCAGTTTAAGCCTCGAGGCCAGTTTATTTCAACCGTGTGTATATTTGTCAAGATCTATCTGGGACGCAGAAATTGAGGTCTAATGGGAATCAACCTGAGCTCAGCTCCTCTTCCACTATTCAAACTCCCTGCTGAAGGGGTAATATGTGAGTGACAGCTCATCCAAAATGCCACTCAGAACATGTTAGCAGCTTGTATACGCATATTGCCTTGAGGGGTGGGTGAGGGGCAGCAGCATTGGTGGCTTTTTTCTAGTATTTCAGCTAATCCATGATGGAACCGGTCCTCTTCACTTCTCTGACAGTTCTTCTCGCAGCTATGTGCCAGAGGCTTTCACTCTGCTTTACACCCTTGTTTTGCTCCTCTCTTGTGACAAGCCTTTCTTCCTCCTGCCTTTCCTCTCTTTTTTTTCCCGCCTTGGGATCAAGTATCAGGCCAACCTGAAATCGAGGGCAATGTACTAGAAAAGAGAGTCTAAATGCCTTTTTTTTTTTTTGGGTTGGGCTGAATGTGCAAGCCATTCATACTTTTGGTCATGTACCATCCTCACATGCTGCAAGCTTTGACCGGCTGTGATAGTCTATTCCAAGCAAACAGGATGGGGATTTTGTGTGTTGGTATAGTATCATACCATCGACGGCTGGTATTGTTTTGTCATGTTAATTGCAAATGTGAAACAAAGTTTTTAGTTTTACTTTAAATACAAAAAAAATCAACTGCTTATCTTTTTTTTTCTAAAATAACTCAAAACAATGAACTATGCTATTAAAACTCCTGTGGGGAGTTTTTTGAAATTCATACAGATGCAAAAATGAGTGTCAGAGGGATTTCCAATTATAAATGTAAGAGCAGGGTGAGACTGAGTCCAGAGCATATCTGCCAATACTCCTGTTTTTCAACACTCCTGGACTCTCCAGTATCTCAGACCTCTCTCACGCTCACCTCCCGTATTGTCATTTCTCCCGGGAATCCCCTGTAGTTTGCATGGTGCACGTTCATTCATGAATCAGATCACTATATTTGTCTAAAGCTGTCAGGTTTCCAGACAAGGAAGATTGTCCTGTGTTTCTGCTGAGCCTCACAGACACTAGATTAATACTTTTACTTAATAATTTGGGATTATTCAGGTCGGTTTAAGCTGTAAACTATATTTAAGCAGTATATGTTGCAAAATGAACACTTTAATAAAAGGGAAAAAAATGTGATATGTGATATTTCCGTTGATAGTCTCGCACTGTCTCGGACTGATGCGTTCAGGGCAGCCTCAGATAAAAGAGTGCTGTTTGGCACGCACAGATGTTCAGAGAGCCTCATATGGGAGAGCATGAAAAACACATGAGGACTTTGACACTAATATTAGTGGACTAAAGAAGTTCAAGGCATATCGTAGCTATTATTTAAAAAAATTAAAATTTTGTTAAAACAAAACAAAAAAGTGTGCAGCTTCACTTAGACTTATTTGGATGAGTAATCTAATTACAAATACTCTCATAATTAGCTCATATCCACCATACAAGATAACCCTAAAACTGCCTGGCGTGCGCCACAAAAATCTCAGATTTTATAACCCTAATGTTGGCAGAGACTTGAGGGTGCAGGCTGCAGCATGTCTATAGAAATCACCGTAACCCAGAACTGAAAGAAAGACTGCTTTAATAATACTTTCTTGACAAGTTGGAGGAAATTGGATCTGACTGCATAGAAGAATTTCTGTTTCTTTTAAATTTACAGATGAGGTTTTCAATACAAGTTCGAAATATAATTTATTTGTCAAGCTCTCAATATATTTCTCAATATCTCTTGCCATGGAGAAAAGCATTATTTAATTTTGCATTTTTTTTTTTCATAAAATTATCTTACCATTTATTTATTCTGTATCATTTAGTTATCCATTTCTTTTTTTTCTTTTACTATTGTTTATCCTGTTTGTTTTTCCTTATTATTACAATGTGTAATGGATATTTGATATACATCTGCATCATATGCAGCAATACGTAGATATGTTTTTTTTTTTCTCCACCACTAATCTTGTCTCAGATACTGTTCAATGTTTAAGTAAAAACTCTAAATAAAAAGTTAAAAAAATATATAGTTTTACGTATGTTAAAGAAAGTTTAATGGTAAGCTGTAAAGAGTCAACAGAACAACACAGACCAGTATCATCTGCGTAAAGACTGATTTTGAAGGGTTGGATCCTGATACACAGGCCCAATAAACACATCCACTGCTGAAAGTCTCACTATGTATTTAAACAGTTCCCAGCACAGTGAACAGTGAAGCCGCATACCTAGAGCCGTTCTGGCTGGCGTTGCGTCGCTCTTGATCCAAAAGGAGACCCAGGAGAGCACAACAGTCAGGATGCAGGGTATGTAGGTCTGAATGGTGAAATATCCCATTCGTCTGCTGAGATCGAAGTACACCGTCATTAATACGTAGTCTCCTGTTGAAAAGGAAAAATGTCTTGTAACATACAAGCGTCGTTCAATTTTTTGGTTGATCACTAAATACCAGGATGACGACATATTTTAATCGCATTGCTGTTTTATTTTCACTCCATACTGAGAATCTGGGAAAATCCTGACAAATCCTGGAAAAGAAGATCACGTCTGTCCAACTTCAGTGGCATAGTTACTGTTCAGGTCCTTACACACCGGGAGCGTTTTTTTTGTGTGATTATTTCGGACATCAATATTTTTTTACGAACCCGTATCCTGTCAATACAAGCGTTCACATCAGCGACGTTTTCGCGTCCTGCGATATTGTGGCATTTATTTTTTCGTATCACGGTCGAATTTTCTAAAGTTTCGCATACTGTGTTTGTCCACTTCTGACCAATCAGATTTCGTGTTGTTCCGATATCAGATTCACCGGTATATCCAACATGGCTGACCGGCTAGTTGTTTACGTGTCGGAGAACAGAGTGCTTTTTGATAAAACACACAAACATTACAAAGATAACGACCTGAAGGACAACTTGTGGAGAGTCATAGCGTCAGATTTCTCATATGACGATGGTTTGTGTGCTTTAACATTTTGCTAAATGTCTTTGTTTTAACTTTCATCTGTGCTAAGTAACTTTAGCTCGTAAGCTAACCTGTTCAGATACAACATACCATATGTATTTTCACTGCCTCAAACTCAATCACGTTGCTGTCACAGCACCATTAGGTCTCGGTTGTTACCTTACGTTTATGGATTATAGTTTAATGTGTTTATCTGGTACTGGCCCCGACTCAGTACATGCTATCATGACAGACAGACATCTCAACACTAGTGTCTAACCAGAACTGAAAAACACTCAGTCTGCTGTTGTGTCAGTCTTCTCGCTTCCACCCGGGACACAGCTTTTTTTCCCCCCGAAAAGTCGCAAAATCACATTGCGCTTGATGTGTATAGTCAAGTGCATCAAAATTTGCCTCTGAATATTAAGTAATTTCGCGTCGTATATTTGCGTCGTTCCCAGTGTTTAAGGACCTTTAATTGGAAGGTAGAGATTCTTGACTGTTGCAAAAGTGACTAAAAAATGCACTTGTCACTTGACTTGTAAACAACTGGAATGAAAGCGAGTCGGTGTGAAAAGGAAAAAGGGAGCACAGCAGCATTTTACAGTGCAGCTGCAGTAAAATCACAGCACAGGCTTTCCTGTGGGAAAATGTGACGGGGTGGTAAAATGAAACTCCCAGGTGTTTGGAATCCTGCTCAGGGGAGAATTGTCGACAATGGCAGGAGGGAGATTACCTAGCGGTGCTGTAGCCGGGCATGTTTTCACTATATCCTTGATAAAACAGCCCCCTTGCCTAATGCGTTTATGAGGGATGAAGGGTAACGCCGGGAGAGGGAGACAGAGAGTGGGAAACAGAGAAAGAGGGGAGAGAATGAAAGGAGGAGAAACACTGCACTTTCAAAGTTTTTCATGATGTTTATTAATGATGGGTATTTTTAGCTGGGGGAATCTAATCATCATGCATGTGGAGTCAGTGCTCCAGCGAGTGAAACGGGGGGAAAAAGAAAAGAGTTGATTAACAGGAAAACAGCTCGTTTTCTTGAACAGCATGAGGTAAATGTGTAGGTTTGCCTCGTCTTAGGAGCATCTCAGCAGAAAGTTGGGCTGTTTTGACAATACAGCAGGAGTCAAACAAAACACGGAATTCAGACGAGCTTCGATGTGTTTTCAGACGCTCATCAGTCACTCTCTCTGAGATTAGAGCCAAAGATAGCACGCTGGTTTGTCTCTTGGCATACACATACACTTCATCAGTATTCGAAATGAGTGAAACTGTTGATTTGATCTGATAAATACACAAATTTCCCTTTCGATCTCTACCTTCACCCTTGATTACCCCGCTTCAACTAACCTCTGACCTCCTGCTCACCTGCTGTTGTCTTGAGCACGTCTGTGGTGTTTCTCAGCCCCATGAAGTCAAACTGGTAAAGCCTCCAGTATCTCTGATCAGACGTCTGCACTGAGGTTCTGTCCCACTTGTAAATGATCTCATCTCGCGGGTAGCCGTCTGGAAACATCGCAGAGAGTGAAGTCAGGGTGTGATTGGGAGAGAGGAAGAACAGATATTTAAGAAGAAGGTGGTTACGCAGTATCAGACATGACAAATTCATTTCATTTCAACCTTCCTTACCACAGCATCGCTCCATTTACTGTAATTTTCGGTTCATGTTTCTGAGTGTTTGTGTCAAAGGTTTGATTGCTCAGTGGTCTGTTGGTAATGCCTCGAGAATCCAGTAGGGGGCCTCATGTTTTGTTTTCCTCATTCTCATATCACCCCTTTTTTTCTCTTGTTTAAGGGAACGACATGAGCATCTTCCTGTGTAGCTGAATGCACATTTTAAAATACAAGCAACACAGCGTGTTTCTGTGAGACTGCTTCCATCAACGATGTCGCGAAAAAGACAGTGGGAGTCTTGCTGTGCCCTGTTGTGAAAATGGAGTAATTTGGAGTCTCGCCATTGATTACTGAGAAAGCAGCAGCCATGATGGATCATAAGACAAGTCAGGGATGAGTTTCTTTAAAGCATTAGTATAGATGTGAGATAAAACAGACATTATATTTCCTTTTTGGTCAGTTATTACAATTATCTTAACAGCTAACATTACGGGGTAAACAGCGTGTCTTTGACAGCAGAAACATGTTGGACATAAACCTTGATTTTCTGATTTTTACCATCTCTTGTTTGTGTCTGTTGACCAATCAAGGAGCTAAGACATGACCACAGTTTCATGAATATTAAAGATGGGGTAGGCAGGAGTCCATTAAAGAAGAATCCTTTTTTTGTGGTGTATATACAAAACAGCTTTCAATATCATGCAATAGATATCAGTTATTGATGACATTTGGTAATATAACGATATCGCTGTGTTTTGTTATGTTTGTGTGGTCAACATTTTAAATTTCCTTGAGCAGCTCACTCTTTCTGACTGTAAACAAAGTCATTCTCCGCCTCCCCCAACTTGATTGTTTGTGAGGCAGACGCTGCTCCCTCGTGTTGTGAGGCATGCTTCACATCCTCCAATAACATACACAAGCCCAAACAAAGTTAGCGTGCTACAACATCGGACAGTAGAAACCAACCAGAAAGTACGGAAAACACAAGCAATAAAACAAAGTAAATACCGGAGACTCTGACGAAATAACAGGCGCTTAAACCGGAGGAACACTGCACTAAAAAGCCGCGTCAACATCAGCATAAATGATCAGGGACGCTTCGGGATCTTATGGACCCTGTAACCTTTCTGCTGGACAGGTAATCCGCTTTAACAAAGTAAGCCAAGTGTAATAGAAGTGTTTCTTGTCTAACGGACCTGTTGCGTGTTGTAGCGCCGCTAAACTGTTGACCTCGGGTCCTGGACTATGTCACTTTATCCTACTTGTAGAAGTCCTGCAAACATTGTGTTTGTTGGTAGTCTGTTGGCATCTACAGTAGCACCAATGCTTTTTACTTTCACGTTGACTGGGCCCCATTTGTAATTATCTGAAGTATTTATCTGTATTATATCTGAATTGAATTGGAACGATACAAGCCAGGACTAGCGTCTGTTTGTGGGCGGGGCTTGCTGGAGCAGAGATGGAGGGAAGAGGAGGAGCTGAGGGGAAAACTGGTTGGGAGGGGTAGAGTTTACATTCAAGATTTCTCCCCAAAACTGGCACTTCCTCAGATCCTGCCTACTCCACCTTTAACCAGCTAAAAAACCTTGATTACAAAAATAGTGCATGATAACAATACATCAGCATCTCTAGGAGATATGACTTGAGCTGCCAGCGTTAGGATACAACCTAACATACAACCATGAATGTGTGGAATGTCGTGCATGCAAACGCCGATATTTACAGCTGGAGAAGACAAGTGGACAGGAGTGTTCGTCCATTGGGAAATTGTGGAGCTGCAGCTGGCACTCAGCATTGATGGTCATCCTACAGGAGCAAAGACACAATAAGAAAGACAAAAGTACTCGGCCCATGAAGCATACATTCATAGTTGGTATATCCATCTCTCTCTATCTCCTCTATAAACTCTATAATGTTCAAATTCTGTTCGTTTTACCTCAGCGTGTAAAGTATTTTCCCGTTGGTCTTGATTCTCAGCAGCTGATTGGGCGTCGTTATCCAATGAGAATCAGCGTTCTTGGAGTTTCTGAAGATGGTGTCGGGCAGCCAGATCAAGCCGACCATATTGCTAGTTAAACGAAAGGACGGACAAAGAGACAGAAGGTTGATAAATATATATAAATGTATTTCCGCTCCGTGTTATTTCTGTGAGTTGAGAAGAAAATAAAACCGCCCGACTGCATCCCGTCAGTCAATTTGTTCCATTAATTACAGCCCTCTTCCCAAGACATGTCAGAATATTGTTCTCAACTGAGATATAAACAGCTTGAACACAAGAGTCGCAACAGAAGACATTATGATGAGGCGAATAATAGAGCAGCCCTCGTACCCTCAGCTCTGGATCTGGTTCCCCTGAACTTGGGAACGGGCTTGCTGGCCCCTCCTCCATGACCCTGAGTTACGTGAGCGTTTTCACTCAAGCCTTCGCCTACTCCACAGTTCAAAGACACTGGCTCTCCACCAAATGTCTCTCTCTGTCTGCTCGAGCGGGCCGGGAAGCTCGCCCCCGGCTTCATTAGACATTTCATCTCTCTAAAGTTGTTAATCCTGTGTCTGTGAGAGTCAGACTTTCCCCGAGTCGTGTTAGTACACCCTATTCGACATCAGTAAAAGAGAGCGCTCTGGTTTCATCGATGTCGGACCTGTTTAGGAAGTCCTGTGTGGTCGCAGGGAGGGACTGGAGAAGACTAATGGACCGGGAGCAGAGCCGCCCAGTGAAACAACCCCGGGTCTCCTCCCTGACACCATGTGAGACTCTAATCGGGACCATCCTGATGAATCTTGGTCATTGAGGGGGAAGTTTTCACTCCCCCTGGATAGTTTGGATGATTTATTTCCTTCCCTCTTGTGTTTCCTATTTCATTTTCCACTTACTCTTGTCTTTTGTATCAGATCACTCCCCTCTCTGCCCTTTTGTGTTTCATGCAATTGTCTCATCTTTGAGAGTGTAAAGCCTCAGTGTTTCTTTTTATGATGATTCTCGTTCTACCTAAGTATTCTACCTATGCATTAAAAGAAGGTTTTCCCGTTCTATTTCTGGAAACTTACATTATATTAAACTTTATACCTGTTGAGAGTCAGCGTTCTCATGGTGCTGCTGTTAAACTGCAGACGAGTGTCCACCCAGGTCTGAGCAAAGATGATGTCAATCTGGTACTCCTGTGGAAAGAAATGTAGAGTTAATACACTGATTTAATGAACGACGCGAGGACAAATGTTAACCTCAGTGCATTTTTTTAACCTCAGTGATGACTCTCAGGCGGTGGTGCCACCCATTTTGTGAACCCTCATGTCTGAAAAAATGATACAAATGTCCCATCTTACAGTGAAAAATGTCCCTCTAGTCTACAAAACATGAAAAAGTCCTCTGTGAGTGCACTTGTGATAATTACAATAAAAAAACAGTAACCTACTGATACTGATCTAGTGTCTTTTCTATAATGTTGAACTTCACACAATTGAATTTATGCAGATTTCTCACTCTTTATTTCTTTTCCTGGACGTGACATTTGAACACATCGTGATAATGTATCATCCACTTTCACCTAATTCTCATCTCACTGAACTGACCTTAAACACCTCATAGTGAATGCTTTAACAATATTTGTAACAGTGACCTTCTATTAATATTTTTATCGGACAAAACTGTAAATTTTACAACTTTTTCACTGTAAAAAATGCAAAAATTGACCATACAAAAAAAAGCAGGAAAATACTGTAAATAAATTACCGGCAAGTGCTGTAATTTTTGCATCATAAATCAGTAGAAAAATAATAGAAAGGTAAAAATAAAATCCCGTAAATCTGAGTCACTTAAACAGACAAATGTTGTAAGATTCAAAAAGAAAATTCTACTAAATTTCATGGAAATAAACACTGTAAATTGTTTATGGGTCAATGACGTGACGCGTAAATATTCTGCCTGGCTGTATTTTTTTTTAAGTTAAAAAAGGTTGAAATGCACAAAAATATACTTTCTATATGTAGTATCTCTCTCATATATGTAATCACTTCAACTTTTCAAAAATCAGGTCTTATTTGTAATTTTTCGGAACTTCAAAATGTCAAAATATCATGTGGTGCGACCAATAATAACATTAATTGTATTAAATACAAACTAAAATATCTCGTTTCTGTAACTGAAACATTAATACAATATGCTTAAGTGAAAGGTAGTTTTAAATTTTTTTTATCAGTATTATGCAATTTAAAGAAAAAATAAGTCAGTTAACTACATTTAATACTGTGACTGTGACATTATAGAGCTAAAATGTGAGATCCTTATTTACAAAAACTCAATTGAGATGCAAACACTTTGTTTCGATCTTCTTGATATTACTGACAATTTGTAAAAAACCGATTAAGTATGTAAAAAAAAAAAAGTAATAATTTTGGGATAAATGATGGTCGCACCACATGTCATTTTTTAAGGCCATGGGCAATTCATCTATATGAAAAAACACTAAAATTGCCAAATAAAAAAAAATAAGATTAATTTTTGTATACACGACATCCTTAGTGTTTGAACTTTTGCAAAATACACATATAACAGTATTTAACTGTAAAATCGGAAATAACAATTTGACGGTATACTTTTTCTTTATTTGAACACAGTATTTGTTCTTAAAGCGGACTTAGACTCCTTCTTCTTCACTGCTTTTCTCGCTCATGCGGGTTTTCAAAATAAAGTTACCAAAAAGTCACTTCAGCACACCATAAATATTTCACCATTACTAACTCATAATGGACTCCTCTGCTCTGCTTGCTGATTAAGTAGAATTCAGTGAGTTTAAAATACTGTCTTGCACTTTATTATTATATTATGCTTTGCAGTGAAGGGAATCTCCCGCTTAGGCACAGATCACTGACTAATGTATTTCTTCAGGCAAAACTGATGCTGCATATTTGTATAAATATTTATAAGGGAAATATTTATATCACACAGACTTTGGGAAATTGGTCGTTAGTCTACATTTTTAATCCCTCAAGAAAAGGATGAAAAACACAGAGGAAGTTTGATTTTTCGGAGTCATGTTAATTTCTCCTCCGGTTGCTGAAAAATGAACGATGAACGTCACCACGACTGGTACTTCAATATGCAGTTTTATCCGCCCCGCCCGCCCCTCACTAAATAAACAAACTCAGCCAGAATGCACCAGTTTCTTTGTCCCGCAGGCACCTCACAGTAATGCTGCCTGTGTGTGACAGCCAGAAATAACAGTAAACACGACGACTCAACCGCTGCTCAGGGGTGACGATGAACTTCTGTCACATTACTGGTAGATAAAACCATCTGGATATGGGTGGCATTTCTAAAAGTAATGTGCATATGTGTGTTTGTATATGATGGTGATGGTGAGAGGAAAAAGAAACGCAATCAGAGAAATTACCCAAATCTGAGGATCACTTTGTATCCACTTGTGTGTCTTTGTCCTTATCCATTAATTCCATGTACCATATATGTCGTACAAGCTCATAAGAATACTTTACAATACTAAGAAAAAGTCAGAGATCGCCTAAATCATTCTGAGAAATAAAAATAAATTTCTAGACATGATTTATCAAAGTTAGAGAGCCATATTGGAAGGTGATACTCGTGAGAATGAAATCCAATTTTGGGACATTTTTCAGTCTGAAAGCCACGACTTTGGATAAATCTGCGCCTTTCTCTTAACAAAATAAAGTGATTTGCCATTACTATTTAATGCTTTTATGCCACATGTACAGCCACAAGGCTCAGGAATGCTCTATAAAAACGATGCCACTCATGACTAATTTATGTGCACAGTCTCCCTCCAAATACTACATATTTTTTTATGAATTGCTCGCGAAGGAAAACAAGCAGTCGGGGGAAGAAGGTAAATAAGGGGAATAGGATAAAAGAGGAGAGAGCGAGAGATAATCAAATAATGAGGAGCAACAGATTCGAGGGGAGGGTGGGAGGACTTGCTGGAAGTGAAGGGGACAGAACAAACAGAAAAGAGCGATCTGGCAGTTCTGGCCTTGTCAGCAAACTCAATCAAAACACGAGTCAAATTTAATCAAAACAGGGAGGCAGAGTCATGCTCTGACACAGCAGCAGCAGCAGCAGTGCTCTGTGATGATTTATGATTATCATACACATCCAGCACAACTATTGAGCACCTTCCCTTCCTTCTACATCCTCTTTCTGTCCGTGTTATTAACTTTGAATCATCAGGTCCCATTAGAGTCACTAATACACAGTTATAACTGGGAGTACCTGAGCTCCATCATGCCGTAAGCTCCTCTGGATCGCTGCTCTAGATGTTTGGCTTTTCAGCTGCTTCAACTACGTGTATCTGTCTTGACGAACCCTTAGTTTAATGGGAAGAAACCTACAAGTTTAGCATTTCCCAGTATCTCATCATTTATTTTCAGGATATTGCACCCTTTTTTTCTGTTTCTGTGGACGGCTGAGCCTTCGATTGCTGCTTGTTTATTTGTGTGCACACGGATTCACGCATGATACATAAACAAATGCATGGATAAGCAGATGAACGCTGTGTTTTTGTGTTGGTGAATCCGTCTGTTCTTGTTTGTGTGCCATGCCAGTAAGTGTCCATACCGCAAAAATAGCATGTTCCGACTCTTTTTAGAGTGGAGGTTCAGGATGTCCTTCAATCTCGGTACACTCAATTATTCAGTTTTCCCATCCTCTGTTTCTTTTTCATCAAGGGCACTTCCTTTAAGTTTAAGTGCTCGTGCGGGTTGAGGTTGTTTTGTTGGAGGGGGAAAAAAAAAAAAACTAAATTACAGTACATGTATGAATCAACATGCATGTCTCATCAGCCCATATTTAGAAAGGACAGAAGGAGAGAAGAGGTTGATAAGTAGAGGATAGAGGCTCCTAAGGAGAGGAAATGGTCGAAGATGAAAGAATAGAGGAGGAGAAAGTATCTGAAATCATTCACAGAGTGTAACAGTAAGCATGCAGACTTCTTTGTTCTTGACATAGATTGCAGGAAGAAAAAAAAAATACAGACTTTAACATCACAAAGCCCAGAAATACACTGCAAACTAACACAGCTGCTCTTGAATATTGCATGGTGCGAAAGGGCCGGCTGTATCAGCTTTGCTTCTTTCTTGGAAACGATAAATTACAAATTTCAGGCTTTCAACATGCAAAAAAAAATCATGAAATTTGGCATGCACATCAAGCCTGATGAAAAATGTGATATTTTATTAATCTCATGGCAAATATTACAAAAATTTGCTCCACAGGGACCCTTAAAATTTTCAAAAAGCCCCTCTTGAACAGAGACATTATACACATAGACGCCTCATTACGTGCTGGAGTGTAATCCAGCATCGCCGCCATATTGGATAGGTCTCCCCACTCCAGGTTCGCTCAAGAGCCAAACGAGGTCAATGGAGAACGAGCAACTATGCCCGTTTTTTTGCACTCTATGGTTGAAAAATCCGACACAGTATTGAAACCAGATCTCGTAGGATTAAATTTCACAAATAGGAGAGGTAGTTAGTGGACATTGTCCTGTAAGACATCCCTGCCGTTGTAACAAACCAAATTTGGCAGAGATTCAGAGAGTTATTATTAATATGGTTGGGGAAAAATAACGATTACCGATTAATCGGCCAACTCAGACCAGAAAACTGTTTTCACCACCCCCACCGATCGGTGCCTCCATGTCTTAACTCACGTTGCTCATTTCCAGTCCGGTCTCATCTGGAGACGTGCAGCTGCCTCAGTAAGAGAAGTAGCTCGATCACGTAATGTGTACTGTTGTTTATTCTACCGTTACTGGCACGGCTAAAAGTGTATCGAGGCTAATAGAAGGTGGCTAACTGTAACTTTAGCTTGCATATTACATGGTGCTTCACCGTTAACTCTGCGTGACCGAGACCAGCACAGCGGGGAACATCGTGAAGTGTGTTGAACTAAAACTTGTTGACTTATTGTGTATTTCACAAACTGGTTTGTTTACCGTTGAGGCGGACCACTCTCCTCTGTGCGTCCCTGAGCTGCCTGCTTTAGATCCGTCACTCTGCTGTGCTGTGAGGTAGTTAGTGGATGAAGATTGTCATGAGGTCGCTGCGCCATCTACAGGATAAGTTGGGGAACTTTTCAAATGGCGGAACATTTTCCAAGTGAAACCAAATCTTATTGTCCGCATTTTATTTCTGAAAATATCGGCGAAAATTGGCGAGTTTTGGTCGATTACCGATGAGTCTCAAACGAGCTAAAACTGGCTGATTTAATCGGCTTGCCGATAAATCGGTTGGGCCCTAATTCCTACCTACCTTAATGCAATGGAGGCGCATGGGGTACCCATCCAAGCCAGCGGCCGCACTGATACGTGAGCTCCAATAGGCAGCGTCAGGCTTTGAGGCGTCTACATATATTATGTCTATGCTCTTGAAGCCCTACAGGAAAATCTAGCACCCATACCACACATAAGAAGGGTCCAGACCTGAACACATTCATATGGCAGCATCTCATCCCAGTCAAAGTGCCGCCTAGTGGCAGCAGGAAATGTTTGCAAGATCACCTTACATCAAGATAAGCTTTAAGACGTGTATGACATTTACCACCAACCCTCTAAGCGTGCTTCATTAACTGTGACACTCTTGCACGAAGAAGAGAGGGATCGAGGTGAATTGTCTTTCGAGTAGGAAAGAGTCTTTGTCCAGTTTTCACTCTGAATGCGATTAAAAGCAGAGCTGAGGCACAAGTCTCACGGGGCTACAAACAGCAGTCTTACACCTCCGGATAGGTGAAAATGATCTGATTTGACACTTCATGCAGATGTCAGCATTGACGAGTTCTCGCTGGTGTGAAGGAGTGTTTTTTTTTTTCCCTCTTCAAACCAACGCATCAAAGTCTGTCCAATTAATGCAGCCAAAATAACACTGTGATGATACATATGCTCCTTAATATGACGTTTATTTCACGACACAGTTTCAACAGCAAACAATCCCTGCCAACAAAGCTGGCAAACTCATGGAGAGTCAGTGTAGGGAGATTTCCCAGATACCCAGAGATGCAAGTATCTCTGCACACACCAGTGCCTCCTGAACATGTGTATTCTGCCGCTGGACTGATTGTGACCCAGTTGCGCTCCTGACTGAAACCTGACTATGCGGGCATGCTTAAATTTCTCATCAAGAACAAATAAGCTGAAAACCGGACACTGTGAGCTGATCAGTTCTCTTTGAGCATCATTTCCGCGTTCAGACGTCTGTGAGGATGGTTTTTATGAGCTTGTTGACATCCAGTGTGTGAATATTTTCCTCTTTTGCTTCTCAGCTGGGTTTAGTTGTAAGTAGGAGATGGTTTCCAGTTGGATTCCTGCAATCTCTTTCATGACACAGCAGGTAGTCCTCATAAATACTATTCCTGGGTAATACGCAATGACAGGCTCAATGGCAGATCATCAAATTCAAGGTGCCACTCACTTCCTGGTTCCAGCAGAGGCTCAGTGTCAATGTCACAGTGCATCTATCTCTGTCTTGAAATTTAACAAGCTGTGCTATTGGACTCTCCCAGCACCAGCTGTGAAAAACCAGCTCGTTTGCTTGACTTGCATGCCTCTAATGCTATTTGATCCCTCAAGCGTTCATTGCGGTACGTCCTGAAAACCGTCAGCTTGATTTCACATCACGTAACGCCAACTGATGCCATTTAAACAAATGAGAAAAAATACTGTTTTGTCCAGAGGCGGGAGTGAGGTTTCTCTGGAGATAGATGCTGTATATGTGCCATCGATATGGATTATGCATGTAGTGTACCCGAGGGATTCGACCTGGTTTTTCCATGCTGTTCACACATACAGAAGTATAATGGAATACAACCCCGTGGAGATGCAAACACTCAGAGTGGAGGTCTCTAGTCGTTTGATGATGCACAAGAGAAAGAGTGCATTACTACGCTGGTGTGGAGCTCTGAAGAAAGAAACAAATTCAGGGTGAGGTCAAAGCATGCCAGGCCATGCTGAAGAAATCTTTTACTTTGCTCCGACACGGCTCCAAAGAAATGGATGGAAAGAGTTATGACTCTGCGCTAATTTTAAGACCAGTCAATCCAGAGGACGGGAAAAGGGTTTACGTTCCACTGACCGGCATCGTTCGGCCCTGACAGGGTGAATCCAGTCAGTGCTTGCGTAGGAAGAAAAGCGTTGGAACGTCACAGCAGGATGGCGTTCTCCACTGAAACAAAGTTAGCTGACCTTAGTCATGCCCCACTGACCGACTACAGACTCTACAGACAACTGCATGAGTAGTTGGCCTATTTCAAACAGGCACATTATCCTCTATTGAACTTCTATAGACAATGATTTTTACTTACAGTCGAATGGGTAAAGATGTACAACCCCAGTTCAAAGTTAGGGTTGTATATCTGCACTTATAGAAGTATTTTAAAGACCCACTCCGATGAAAAATCGCGTTTTTTTTTGTTTTTTACATGTTCATATGGCATTTTTCTGATGCTACAGGACATATCATAAGAAAACTACACTGTGACTCTCTGGCAGGCCCAAACTGCAGGTTAAGAAACAGTGAGATTTCATATGTAACCAATCCAAGCTCCGCCCCCGGAGCTCTGCTATGCAAGCCACACTCTGCATAGAGAGGTGAAATAGAGAGGACAATCGCAGAACGAGCGTGTGCATTAGCGGATTGCAATGATCGCGAGAAAGCTAATTATGATTTCAGCTTTCATCGTGTCCCTTAAGACATTAGTGTCCGAGAGTTGAATAGCTCCTATGTTACCTGCGTCTTCTACAAGCTAACATGAAGACAAGTGTGCAGAGCAGCGCGGTCTCTGCCCACGACTCAGAGGCGAATTGCTAATGATCTACTGGAGTTCTGCCAAAGAAACGCCCTTAAAAATGACACAGGTAACTCAACTTTTGGTAAAAACTTCGTAATCACAATTTAAAAAAAATTTCCCCCATGGGGGATCAATAAAGGAATAAGGAAAAGGAATATTCTATTCTATTCTATTCTTCTTAAAGACCACTGAGAACACTTTAAGTAGTAGTTAAAAAAAAAAAAAAGGAAAGGATTGGAGTGGGACTTAAAAGTCATGAGATGCGTTTGCAAAGCTAGCTTCAGGTGCAAATGGGAAATAAGGCAATCTGCTGGGTAATTCTTCCCTTATATTCAAGAACACAGGGACAGCATGTCTCCATTCTCACCGAATGATACTTCAAAAAGAGCATTTTTCTCTACTTTTGGAGTAAAAAAATGACTGATTTTTCATTACTTTCCCTAAAACCCTCCTGTTTCACTTGCACAGCCAGCTCCTTCTCGCAGATTAATTCCACTCCTGTTTAACTACATGCTTGCAATCAGTTATGTTGATAGTTGCACAGATTTCTTGCAGATCAGTCTAAACCCTTCAGGCTACAGCTATGAGTTTGTGTAACATCAGATTTCAGGCAACTGCTGTGCACTGTTTTTTGTGTGCGAGAGCTCCATCCAAAACCTCCTGCCTTCAGAACGCCAGGTGTAGTGTTGACCATTAAAATTATTCCAGTCGGCCATTGTGGGTACATTTGCTCTATTTTTAGTTGGCCATGTCCAGGCAACTAGACTGTAACACGGTTTATCCACTTCCAGCCTCCACAGCTTTTATAAAATACATATTGCCTTCTTTATTTTTTTTTTGAAAATAAATGGACAGCTAAGGGCTATCTTTACTCAAAAGCCTGATATTTTAGTTACAGCATGACTTATTAATATTGTTGCTCGCACAGATTCCCGGTGCTCCGTCTTCAGCTCGTCTTCTGGCACTCATGCAGCCTCTGTGTGTGGTCTGCTCTCTGATTTCTCTCGCTTTTATTCTTCATGCAAAATTCTTTTTAAGTTGTCCAGACTTCTAATAATGTGAGGCTCTGAAAAACAAGTTTATCATAAACTTTAAAAAGAAAAAAAAACACATTATTTAATAAAAAAATATGCAAAAACACCTGAAGGAACAACTGCCAACTTACTGGATTAATTTGCTGATAAACTAAAATAAGCTAAAAGAAAAATAGTTCTTGGGTATTTGAGGTCCAAATATAACAAGGACAAGGCAAGCGCTAAAATACCTTTCGGAGATGTAGCCATCTTGTTTCCACCTCCGATTTTGATTTTTCCGACTTGATAACTGAAACGCTGCTAACTCTGGGTGTGATGTCATTTTCAGCTCCGATATCTGACTTCTGAGGTAACTCGAACGCAGCAAAAGCCTTCTCACAATTCATGTCTGACAGTTGCTTTGCTGTTTTACATCTGCTTTACTTGTTCATGTGTTCGTTTTAATCGGCTTTTCCACCTGGACGGTCGCGAGAGGCTCAGTCGAGCAGACACAGACAAAAGCGCTTTATAGATGGATCTGTAAAGTTGATTAATGTCGATTAATGATCAATTTGTAATACATCATCAAAAGATAAGAGAATAAAAGACCAGTCAAATGTTTTTGCTAAACTTAACGGAAGATCTAAGAAGGGTTTACGGGAATGGATGCCGTGTTTAGTTTAATGTGAGTGGTAATACAAAGTTATGTCATTTTTTAGAGGCCTAATGCCGCATTCCAGTTGTTTCCGAGTCGGAAATTCATCTGGAACGCCCCCCCCGAACTTGGATTTCCGACTCGGAAAGTCCGATGATACTTGCCCACCCCGACACCAACCCCTTGACGACAACGTCATAATTCAAGATGGCAGCGCAGTGCATCAACAGTAAAGAGAAACAGTGAAAGCTCTTGTAAGGTATTATTTATTAGCACTTCTGTTTTGTTTTTGTGAAATTAAATAAGTGGTATACGTTGTACTGCCCAACGGCTAACTGTGAACACGGTGCTATGGTGTTTGTAAGAGTAAAATACTGTGTTGTGCGTGTTTTACAACTGGTATAGCTAACAACAACTAACAACAGGGTCTAGCTGTAGGCGTCCATCTTGGTTTTCTGACTTGTTAACTGGAACACCGTCAACTCAGGTGGAATGTCATTCCCAGCTCTGACATCCAACTTCCGAGGTAACTGGAACTAGCCTAATTTTTTGACACCAATAAAATCACATCATCTATATAGACATTAGATATCTATTTCATACATGAGCTAATGTACAGAGATCAAGCTCCTCTAAGGGGTCTTGTAAAGCGAGTCCCCGAGTTCCTTCATGCCGTAGCTTCCTCTGGATCGCTGCTGCAGATGTGTTGCTGCCGTAGACCTGCCTCTTTTCTGTCTGCATCTCCTCCCTAAACCCGATGCAGTCTCATCTGATGACTGTCTAAGATGACTCTGGTCCTGCTCTGGTTTCTGCCTGCTGTAGTGAGCCATCCATTGTATATAACCTCATCATTAGTAACCTACTAGGTCATTGTGGCTGCTCAAAACCTAACATACTAAAAACTGGCTGTTTATCAAATTAAATTTTCTTTATTCAAAATGTGGGAAATGACTTTTGAGCAATGTTCTTGTAAAAAACTGATCGATAACTATCAAGCGTGCGTGTGCATAAAAATCAGTGTTGCAAACTAGTTTTTGGAAGTTTATTTTTGGTGAAGAAGATGTAGTCCTTCACATTGAAAATGCAGACCATTGCTCCAGTGTAAACAGCTTTATTGCTCATATACCTGAAGATTTTTAGTGTTGCCAAGCAACAGTGCAAACTTCACATCTGATTTTAAAGTAAGCTCAGTGGTAAAATGCATTTAATACCATCTTCAGCTCTTCAAAAGACATATATTTGCGGTGTCTTGAGAGAGACTCTTCATCTAGAAAAATCAATATCACATTTGAGTGTATCAACAGCTATTGGACAGAACGGGCCTGATGCATTATACCTGGCAAAATATACATTATAAAGTTAACTGCGCAATATTCAAAGCTAATGCTCTGAGTCAGACAATCAGTCAGGAAAGTGTTTAATGTTTAGAGCTGATAATCCACCAAAGACAGACAAAAGCGGGACAGCAGGAGGAATATAACACTGTAGTAGGCCCCGTCCTGCTGTGTATGTGTGGTGATCCTTGACGAAATCATTCTTTTGTGGATCATATGAGCATATGAGTGATGTTAAATAACCTAGACATGGACAAATCGTCCACACTTGGCTTCTCGGCTGTCTTTCTCAACAAGCACAAACCTTCAAATACAGTGGGGAATGGTAGCATTCATGCATGATGATGCTAGCAGTGTTGGAGAAATGACAAATGCATGTGGACATGAACAGGGAGCATTCCAACTCACCATATCCATGGATGACACAGGCCCGATGCTGTTGACATATATGCCCACATCAACAACTGTTGGTTTCACTGCAAGAGTCAGAGAAAAAAACACTCACTGATGTAAGCTGCACATGTTGTAGGTGGGCAATGTGAGATTTATATATGCAATCATTCTCTTGCATTTGTCATCTGACAGTGTCTCGTCCTGTGGCCAAAATATCAGATGTGTAATCAAGTTTAAACAACGGTAACATTAGTCACTGCCACTCTGACAAATAAACAAGTCGAGGTCTAAATGCAGAGCTATCCATGCAGAGAGGAAAGCCTTGAAATCAGAAAAGCTCCACAGTGGCTCCTGAAGCAGTTGCTCTGTTACCATGGCAATTAATAGCATTTCCAGTCAGTATGTAGGATGTTGGTTAATTTTTCTTGGCAACAACATTTAGGTTGGTTCTAGGAAGCACAGATTCGAGCATCAGAAATACAGACTGTACAAAACGCTGCAGCTTGGATTGTTGTGTTTGGTAAGTGTGGAGCAGAAAAAAGGGCATCTTTTATGAGATACTCCTCTAGGTCTCTTAATAACATACACAAACACACACACGCACACACACAAACCAATGACACAAGGCTTGAGCACTGACATCTTCAGATGAAGCTGAGCTCTGTCCGTGGATGTCAGTGTCTGTGTGTTTGTCAGGTGAAACTCTGTCTTAAAAACAATCAGAGTGAACACAAACGTCTCTACGGAGGACTCAGCTTCTGATGAAAACATACATGAGCTGATTGTGTTACTGGGTCAATTCTGATTACCCTTGCTGTATACATGACGGCATTGTCTAGGAATGTTAGTCTGACTATGACAAGTTTGATTAAGTCAGACTTGTGCGTTTACATGCATCTTAAAAGCCCAGTTTCAGTCAGACAATCTTTTTGAAATGCATGTCAGGTCGACTTTCCACAAATACTAGCACAGAAATGAGAAAAGATATGAACCATAACATTACATCTATTAAACATCGCCATGTTGGTAATGGTATTGGTATTTTGCGCTGATATGCATGCTGATGCTCAAGATCAAAACAGGTTAGCAAACTAAACCTTGACTCTATTAAGACCAAAAAATTGCAATAAATAGGCGACACACTGATGAAATGATGGAAATCACAAGCATTTCAGTGCCATCAAGGCAGCTAAAAACATTAAGAATAACAAGAAAGAAATGTGGAAAGCACCTGTAATATAATTGGCTATCAGCTAAACTGCACAGAGACATTGGTGCCACTTTAACAATCCTACCATGGGCAGTTTTTTTTTAATGTTAATAAAATAACTTGAAATTTACATTCATGCCTCCAAAAGCAAACAAGATCATCCGGGGCAAGACTGACAATTTAAACATCATAATTATGATTATGTTATGATTTCCATCATAAATGCTCACAGTGAATTAAATGAAACTACTTAAGCACTCAAAGAATTACTGTTGTGTCCACAGGGGGCGCCAAATTCAGCACAAACCAACAGTTCCTACAGGAGCTTTAATCTGTGGCTGGCATCCTAATAGTAACTCTTCATCTCTCCAATTGACTAGCACACTCTGACCTGATTGCACACGCCTATTGATTTGCACTATAAATGTTTGTTTTGCATATATGTTATTTATATTATATCGTCTGTTTTATTATCTTGTCTGTTTTACTGTTTGTGCACCGACTGGGCAGCTCTTCAGGTCCTTACATACCGGGAGCGTTTTTTCGTGCAATTATTTTTATTATTATTATTATCAATTTTTTTTTACGAACCCGTATCCTGTCAATACAAGCGTTCACATCAGCGACGTTTTCCCGTTCTGCGATATTGCGGTATTTATTTTTTAATATCAGTCGAATTTTCCAAAGTTTTGCATACTGTGTGTCCACTTCTGACCAATCAGATTTCGTGTTGTTGCGACGTCAGATTCACCGGTATATCCAACATGGCCGACCGGCTGATTGTTTACGTGTCAGAGAACAGAGTGCTTTTTGATAAAAAACACAAATATTACAAAGATAACGACCTGAAGGAGAACTTGTGGAGAGTCATAGCGCCGGATTTCTCATATGACGATGGTTTGTGTGCTTTAACAGTTTGCTAAATGTCTTTGTTTTAACTTTCATCTGTGCTAAGTAACTTTAGCTCGTAAGCTAACCTGTTCAGATACAACATACCATATGTATTTTCACTGTCTCAGACTCAATCACGTTGCTGTCACAGCACCATTAGGTCTTGGTTGTTACCTTATATGTATGGATTACAGTTTAATGTGCTTATCTGGTACTGGCCCCGACTCAGTACATGCTATCATGACAGACAGTCATCTCAACACTAGTGTCTAATCAGAACTGAAAAACCGTCAGTCTGCTGTTGTGTCAGTCTTCTCGCTTCCAACTTGGACACATCTTTTTTCCCCCTGGAAAGTCGCAAAATCGCATCGCGCTTGATGTGTATATCCGGGCGCATCAAAATTCGCTTCCGAATATTTTGTAATTTTGCGTCATATATTTGCGTCGTTCCTGGTGTGTATGGACCTTTAATCTTGTCTCATCTGTATGATGACAATAAAGTGTTTCAAGTTTCAAGTCCAAGATTATGAGAGCACATCCTCAATCCGTTTAAAAGACCTCACCTAAATTTTAAATTTCACGGTACGCACCTTTAATTAAAACAGTTTTTATGGCATTTTCTAAAACAGTCAAAAATTTGCAGCTTTCTGCTTTTTTCCTCTCTAAACTCTGATCCATGTTACGTTTATTTTAACGGGTTATTATGGTGCATTGAAATTCCAGACAATAAATAGGTCAGATGTTAATTTACAGCATGTACATTCACTGTTATGTGATTGAGTATGCTTTGTGAAGATGTAAATCCCCAACTTGAAGTGTGCGATGATGTGCTCATGAGCTCGCATCTGCATGTTATGTCCTCGGGGACCTGCTGTGCTGGACCACTGATGCAAACACTCACTTTTGGTTAGTGACGGCCTTCTGGGAGGCATTGATTCAATTCCAAAAGCATGTTCTGCTCCAGTGACGAGACAATGAGGAACACTGACACAGTTGCTCTTCATAAATCAGTTCTTTGTTCATGATTCATACAGCACTGTGCCGAGCAATAGGTGATAGAACAAAAGAGAGAAAATCCATGCTTCGTTTTGGCCGGAACAGACTTGCATTGATTGGTCTAGTTTGCTTTTGCAGATCAAATTGGCAACCTTAAGGCTCCCACCACAATGTTGGCAATGAAGACCTGTCCGACTCATCTGTATGCGTTTGGATTTTGGGTCACAGACACCTTGAGAGAACCTGAACTAACAACAAAAACCAAAAGTGAAAACCCCTAGGAGGAAAAGCACGGTGTATAAAGCTGATTTGCTGCAGCTTAGCAGGTCAGCAGCATCTTAAAACTGTAACAACCTGAAGGGAGTCGTCCTTAATTTACACCAAAGTGTGTAATTGAGGTAGAGATACTAAAAACTGGAAAACCTTTCTACAGACAGAAGGCAGATTCGCTTTATAGTCCATCTTAAAGGAGAACACAACCCACTGATTCCAGCCAAGGTTTAATCTTTTCTTTGGACGTGTGGGGGAGCCCTTGAATAAACAAAACCCCCACAGATGCTGAGCTGACCTGACATATGACCTAATAACACATGGCAAATTCATGATGCATAGGTAATAATAACCCCTGTGAAAAGGAGAATATTCAGGGCGCGTTTTTTTTTTTCCTTCTTTGCAGCTGTTTGTGTCTTTTATACATCGGAGGGTAGCTTCTTTTGCTTTTTCATTAGAAAACAATCAAACAGCCTCTAATCACCATGTGAAGAAACTTAATCAATATATCAAACAAGACGATCCAATCCAAGCCGAATGGCTAGGAGCAGATTTAATGATCATTCAACTGAAGGATGATTACAGGCAATTCAGTTTGGTCTAATTTGATTTTGTGAGTTGAATCCCAACAGGGATGTCAACGTCATATATCTATCGAGCTTCAGGAGGAGGAGGAAGAGGAGAAGAGGCAGGGTCTCTGCAGGTTTCAATGTCAAGTCAAATTTCAAGAGTTTTTTTAAGACCCAAATGTATATAATTTTAGACCCATTTTACATTCATAGTGGCAAAAAAAGTACAAAAGACACGAAAGGAAATCGAAACTTTTTCCATTACTTCATATCAATCAATTTTTAAGACCTTTCAGAATCGTATTTGAGGCATTTTATGAGATTTTAAGAGAATTTTAGACATTTAAAAGGCCTTAATTCAAATGATTGGATTTTAGATGTTTTAAGACTTTTTAAGACTCCAAAGATACCCTATAGAGGGTGACCAACCTACGAAAACGAAAGTTCACTGACTTTTTTTTAACCCAATACCAGCAAGACCAACACCTATCATTTTTTTCTAATTTTACAAGTACAGAACTGGTGTCGACCTCTGAAGGCTTATCATGTCCACATGACTTGATTCCTGTGATGAAGACTCTAACTGACGTTGTTGCGTCTCCCCCATGAGCTAACGGATGCACAGGCACTTAACCATCGCTCTTATAAAAGGTTAAGGGTCAATATTCAAGTCTCAAAGCATCAGAGCGCTCAGTAAACCAGACCACAACTTCGAAACTGGACCATCCGCCAGTTTGAAAGACAAGTTTCAAGATGCTGCAGAGCGGTGCAGCTGGATCAGTGTATCTTTGCATCCCTGGTATCTCGCCATACTTGAATTCAATAACCCAATTTTACTCTTCCTGTGGAGGAACCATGATCCACAGAGGCCAAATGAATCTTTATTTCTCGTCTTTATGTTTCTCATCCTCCTCCTCATTGCCTTGCTTTTTAAAAAAGCATGACAGGCCCCATCTGTATTACCACATCACCCAGTGGGCCTCGATTAAAATGAAAAGGCTTCTATGCCCGCTTGGCTTGGCTGGCATGACAAATGCATTACGCATTGTCAGACCTGGAAAACACACACACACACTCACACACACTCATGAAGACATACAGATCCCAGATGACCGCTCAATTCCCATATGTTTAAGGAGGAGTGCAGGCCTCAGCGGTCAGATGCTATTCTGAAGATCAGCCTCACATCTCTATTCCAGCTTTCACAGTAAGTGTACTGTATAATAATGGATAACATTTTGAGCTACAACGAACATTACTTTATGAAAGTAGAACAAAATATGACAATTTTCTGTGAGCCAGCATAAGAACGTTAACTATAAAACTATCTTCTTGACTTATACACTCAAATCTTTCATTTACAGGAAAATACCGTAAAATAACGGATTACATTTTAAGTTACAACAAACATCGCTTCATAAAAGGAGAGCAAAATACGACAATTTCCTGTGAGCAAGCATGAAAACTTTTACCATAAAACTATCTTATTAACTTATATATTCAATTCTTTTATTTACAGGAAAATACTGTAAAAGATGGATAACGTTTTGAGCCGCAACGAACATTGCCAAATGACAGTAGAACAAAATATGACACTTTTCTGTGAGCCAGCATTCAAACCTCAACTACAAAACTAACACTTTAACTTATACAATCAAAATTTCATTTACAGGAAAATACTGTAAAACATCGAATTACATTTTGAGCTACAATGAACATTGTTTTATAAGAGTAGAACAAATTATGACAATTTTCTGTGAGCCAGCATTAAAACTTTAACTGTAAAACTAACACCTCATCATCAACACTCAAAATTTCATTTACAGGAAAATACTGTAAAATATTGATTAACATTTTAAGCTACAATGAACATCCCTTTATAAAAGGAGAACAAAATATGACAATTTTCTGTGAGCAAGCATAAAATCTTTAACTATAAAACTATCTTATTAACTTATTTACTCGATTCTTTCATTTACAGGAAAATACTGTAAAAATTAATGCCTCACTTTTCGACCATGCACAGTGTCTTTCACAAGAGCAAATATGATGTTGATTGAAACTTAGTCATTGTCAGGGTTCAAAGATAATATCAAGCTATTTGAGGATGAAACTCCTTTTGTCTTTATGAATGCTGAAAGGCTGTTAATCTCAATGAAAAGACTTTCCCATCAGACTGATATTGACTGGTTGTGTAGGTGTATTTACTGAGCTGCTGTGTTTGTGTTTGTGCATGGAGGTGTGTGAGTAGCCAGACGAGCACATACTGTACTGTTCCAGCTTGTATTCAGCTTTCTGAATCCAATATAAAAGATCTGGGGAGGGAAGGTGTTTCTCCTGCCTGTGAGGTTTAATAAGAACTCGGCAAAGGGAAAGGTCTTGCCGCTTATGAATCGCCACTGGGCAATCACACGGCTTACGCCAAGCAATAACCCTGCAAAATAGGGGTGGGGATAGGGGGATGCTTGTTGCGCGCAAACACATGTTTATGCATGAAGTTAAGAGGACATATTGCAAATTAAATCAGCATTTGATTATCCAGGACATTTACAAAATCTAACGACTGCTCTTAAGCGTTGGATGCATGCTATCAAAGAAGTTGCTGCTTAAATATCCTTGATGGGAAAAAAGATAGAGTATCAGGTGGCCTTTTACCCCTACACACTCCCACTTTTGAGATCCAGACACAATCTTTTAACTAGGAGACAAAAAAGTTTCCCCTAACTCTTGATGAACCCAGATTCTTGGCTAACCAACAGTACTTTAGCAGAAGTGGGATAGAAATGAGAGACACAGATGGAAATCGATTAAATGGTTAGACCTCACAGGGATGGGAAATGTGTCAGCCATGATCTGGACCCAGCTTGGTCTTATTATCACCTAATGCACCGCTCTTCGCTATCAGCCGTCCAGTTCAGGGCTCTACGTGATTGCTTGGCCTCTCCATTGTGGTTTCTCATTATCTTGGGAATGCTGACGGAGGGGAAGCTCTATAACTTGTTTTTTTTTTTTTGATTGGGAATAAACTTATAAAAGCACACATTTACTGTAAAACAGCACATGTCTGAAAATATATTCAGTCTTATCTTTCTTAGCACGCTTAACACACACACTCACACACACTCATACACACAAAGGACATTTGCATCATAGAGCGCTTAAAAGGTTACTCCATCCACCAGCTTGCATGCGTGTGCACCTGAGAGTGTGCGCCACTGTGTGAACCCCCCACACCTTCTTCCCCCGGGTGATTGTCAGCTCTCCTAACCCCCCTACCCATGATGTGAGGAGAATCATTTGCCAGGACTTAAACTCCTCTTCATCTAATAAAATGTCACTGGACGTGAAATATTGAAGAGGCCCAGCTGAGAATTGTCCTTTCAGCCGGTGAGGTGTCACTGCTGTGCCAAATGTCAGCTCTTTGAGGATCAAGGAGGGGAGACCTGCCGGGGTCAAGTCAGCCTCAAAGCCAGGGGTGGAAAAGTTAAGGTTTGTCTTTTACCCTGCTTCAGAAAAGTTTAATTCTACATAGTAGGGGTGGGAGAAAAAATCGACACAGCATAGTATCACAATATTTTGTCTGGTGATATATCCATAGACTGTAAATACTATGGACAACTTGGTTCAGCCTCCCGTCAGTATATGGATTTGAAGCTGAAACGCTCTCGGTATTTCTGTGATTTTTCTTCATTTCCTGAAACCAACATTGCGCGGTAGCGTGGTACGCATTCGGCGGGAGAGTCACCGAGAGTCGCTGTGAGGACGCTCGGCTCAAACAACGTATCCCCGGGGTGAGCTACACAATCTTCGTACGCCCATAGGCTGTATCAGGTGTCAATCGTAGAAAACAAGAACCCCCTAATAACTTTTAAAAATGGAGCTGTACAGAAAAAAAGAGGACTTGAGCACAAACCATTCTTACAGTAACTACATGTCAACACCGCCCCTAAGCTTTGCTGGCGGAGGCAGGATTTATGACCTATACTGCAGCCCGTCAACAGAGGGTGGTGTTCTCTGAGTGGCTTCACCCAGTGAGGAGGTAGACGGCGTCTATTCTATAAACAGTCTATGGATATATCATATTGTCTCATTGACCCGGAATTTTTTATTTAAATCAAATCTATGATAATGGAAAATCATATAGCAAGAGAAAGTTAGACCTATATATATATATATATATATATATGTATATAAGGTTTGCAATTAGTGCTACATGAAAATAAAGTACTGTGTAAATAAGACAAACATAAAGTAAAAACAAAATGCTAAATAAGTTAAACAGTTGAAAAAATTGTATAAATCACAATATATTGTATCGCAATACTCACTGTATTGCAAAATGTTAAAATTCGCAATAATATCATATCGTGGCCAAAGTATTGTGATGATATCACGAGGGATTCCCACCCCTACTACACAGATCACACACTTAAGCGGGATACACACATAAAGATAATTGGGCTGTTTTTGTCCCGATTTTCCCCCTCCCGACCAAGGATGACAATCGGAAGATTATCTTATGTCTTCTAGGATGATCCAATAAGATCATTCTGTGGTCTGAGGTGCATGAAGAGTGAATTTGTCCCGATAATTGGGTCTGACACGGGTCGGGCCAACAATCATAAATATTTAACTTTTTCAATATTTACAACCAAAAAGCTTCACGTGTGTGGGGAAAGCCGACGACTCCCGAGTCATGACTCGGTGAATTGTCACGTGAAACAGAATGTAGCCAATCAAGAAGCGAGCTGACTGAGGAACAAGGAACCAAATAAAGCGAACAAAAATAAAGCACGGCCTACGGTAGTACGAGATTTAGTACGGGATTTTTCTGTCAAAAATACTCCCAAAACCACCATCATTCGCTCCTCTTGTGTGTGCTCTTCCATGTTGCGTCTTGTGTTTCCCAGTTGTTGCTATGTTTCTTCTTCTTTGTTTTTGTTCGATCACGTTTATCATGCCAGATTTCTGTCTTGGAGGACTAGATTCTAGATCAGTATGGAACAGGATCGTTTTGTGTGTGGTGTGCTGTGCTGAGTACGATCAAAACTGTTCAATGCCTGATTTATTATCTTCATGTGTGAGGTCTGTAACAGATGAAAAATCTCTTTAGATTTAAAAAATCCTTATGTGTGTGCCCCGCTTTAAGTACTATCCTCTTGTCCTGGGAGCTGATGTGACCTCCTAACAGCAGTCTAAATGTTTTCAAAAAGCCAATTTCTGTGGATCAACTGAATCAAAACCTCAAAATAACAAGTCTGGTGATGATTTTGGATCAAAATGACTTTTATAACTGTTTCAAACCTGACTTTTATAACTGTTTTCAAACCTCTCTCTCTCTCTCTCTCTCTCTCTCTCATGCACACACACACGCCGCACAGGCCGCTCAGCCGGGCGGGTGATCACGGACTGTTGTCCCTGGCTTTACAGTTCTGCAGTTTATCTGTGAATTAAAATGACTCCACCGCAGCCTGGAGTCTCAGATTAGAGTGAAAAAATAAAGCGAACAACAAAGATTGATGTTTTTTATCACGCAGATCCACATGATGTCTCATAACTGCGCTGCATTGATAAATTCTGAGAAGAGGGGGTGGAGGCATTGATCATGCTTAAAGCAGGGTTTGCAGTAAAACACAAAACAGTTCACGCCAGAGACAGACAGACACATCTGATGGTTGCCTCCCACGCAACATGAAACAAAACAAGAAAAGCGTGATTGTGGCTGAATCAGTTTCAACTGATATTTGCCATCAGCTGAGCGTTCAGCTGGCGTTAGGATCAGCTGATTTACTCCACCGTTGCTATGCTCATGGAGGTACAAAACTGTCCCACTTTGGCCTTCGCAGTGTGCAGTTATTTCAGCAGATCCTCATGCGCAAAAAATACACATTAGCTAGATAGTTGAGCAGATTAGCTTCATTAGATTCATTCGAAAAGGTGCACTGACTGAGTGCATGAAATTTAGGACTGTACAAGGATATGAAAAGCATTCACTGAAACCAAAATGCTGCGGTGCTTACATCCCATCCTCCGCTCTCATGCTTCCACTGGAGTAATTGAATCTGACAAGACTTCAGAAACAAATATATGAGATTTTGATATAGGATGCAAAGTGGGTCAGACCTCCACTTGGATTCCAAATCTGGACCACAAATACTGATGTGAATTATGTGGCAAGCCAGTAATTCATAGTAAGCAAGGAGGCGGGGGACGGGAGGGGGGACGGGAGATGGATCACGAGGGGATGGAGACACAGAGGCGCGAGGTGATGGAGGGAGTGAGTGAGAAAACGGATGGAAAGAGAGCAAGGCGATGATGTCTGACTGAGCAGGTCTCTGGTTCTATTTCTGACACGCAGCTGGCTTTCATGGAAATCAAAGACCCCTCTCTCTTTAGTGACACCACCACACGTCTGAATAATGCACACTTCATTTGTGTATTAAAGTGCGTAAGGCGAGTCAAACAGAGAAATCCTGTGAATAAACAAGGGCAATGAACGCATTTAGATGCAGATAACAACTTCAAACAATCGCTGCTTGTTACGCACACAAATAAACACACACCTCTTATTTATATGCACACATAGCCTTTCCTTTCTCACTCCCACCCACAGACTTAATTGTCAGCACCAGACACTTTCAGGGAGTCAATAATAGCAGATATGATTGCAGCAACCCCGGTCAGTCAGTTTAGATCAATAGCATGTTAGTTACGGACAATTACAGCCCTCGGTGAGTGTCTGCCGCTGCGATCGCACACATGGGGCAACTGGATTAGCAACCTGGCCACACAGAAAAACCATCGGCTTGACTGGATTTGCAGCCTAATCAGAAGAGAAAAGAGCGTCTGAGCGGCTAAACGTAAGATTTTTAACTAACGGGACTCTCTGAAGTCTGGTTGCTTTAGGTGAAGAGGAGGATGGCAGCTCAGCAGCAGTTGATATTTTCTAAAAACTCCAAGTGCTTGTGGGCACACAGGCTGGAACTTTTCCCAAATTTATAGTCCTTCATAATTTTTGAGAGAATGGTGTATTTTTAGGTTTGAGCTCAGATCCAATTAATTGAACTCCCTAAATCATCCCTGGCTGTAAAATCTATGTGCGTGGCTGAAGAGGCCTCACAGCACGCAAAGCCCTCCATCTCGACCGGGCTTTGTCCTCAATTCCCAGCTGAGCGTGCGCACAAACACATGCACGCACGTCTTCCTGCTGTACATGAGGATCGCACTGATCACAGACGCCGATCAAAGACGCTGATCACATTCTGTACCCAAAGGAAAGTGACACAATAGGGACACAAAAACATCTCATCCTCATCTAATACAAACTGATTGTTATTGGTTAAGGTGGGGCTCAACACTTGATCTCCTCTGGGAGAATATGGATTGCTTTTTCATAAGTGGACCAGCACCCCACTTTACATGTAAATCATACTTGGTGCAGACTTCGCAAGAACTGGAAGAGACAGAAGAAAAACAAGAAAGAGGAACCTAGGGCTGGGCGATAAAATGATAACGATATATATCAAAAATCCATTTCCATCAATATAAAACATGGTCAATATCCTTTTCCATAGACGGCATTCTGCCATGTTTGGGTAGACTATATGAATAGTCAATGAAAAGGGGAGTTCTTTTAAACCAATCATGTGCTGAATTAGAACCAAGTAGCAAACAACTGCGTAGTAGCAGGCTGAAGCTACACGCAACCATTGCACTTCAACACGTGAGGCCGACAGCACTGTTGCAGATTTCGTGTTGTTGTGACGTCTGATTCACCGGTATATCCAACATGGCCGACCGGCTGATTGTTTACGTGTCAGAAAACAGAGTGCTTTTTGATTAAAGACACAAATATTACAAAGCTAATGACCTGAAGGACAACTTGTGGAGAGTCATAGCGTCGGATTTCTCATATGACGATGGTTTGTGTGCTTTAACAGTTTGCTAAACGTCTTTGTTTTAACTTTCATCTGTGCCAAGTAACTTTAGCTCGTAAGCTAACCTGTTCAGATACAACATACCAAATGTATTTTCACTGTCTCAAACTCAATTGCGTTGCTGTCACAGCACCATTAGGTCTTGGTTGTTACCTTATGTTTATGGATTATAGTTTAATGAGCTTATCTGGTACTGGCCCCGACTCAGTAAATGCTATCATGACAGACAGACATCTCAACACTAGTGTCTAACCAGAAATGAAAAAAACTCAGTCTGCTGTTGTGTCAGTCTTCTCTCTTCCACCTGGGCTGTGTCTTTTTTTCCCCCCGGAAAATCGCAAAATCGCACCTGATGTGTATAGTCAGGCGCGTCAAAATTCGCCTCCAAATATTTTGTAATTTTGCGTTGTATATTTGCGTTTTTCCCCGGTGTGTAAGGACCTTAAGTCTGGGAATACCTCAAATCTTTTACACCACCTGAAGCAGTGCCACGCAGCAGAGCACGCACAATGCAAAAAATTACAAACCCCAAGTGGAGCGAGGAGCCCGTGGCGCCTGTGCAGCTGAAACAGCCGACCATTCCGCTTTCGCAACACCTTACGACAAAACATCAAGGAGACACGAAGACCTCACGGATGCAGTAGCTTATTGTGTTGCAAAAGACATGCTACCAATAAGTACTGTTAAATTTCATTTTTTATAACATGATATATATATCGATGTCCACTTGTATGAAAAAATATATATTGTGATAAACTTTTTCCCATATCGCCCAGCCCTATAGGAACCACACCAATTACCCTGTTATGTTGAACAGAGGCTACGTATATTAAACAAAAACCTTGACTCTAAGGCTTCAGAGGATCATGAGATGATTGTAACAGAGGAAATTCTCAACAACACACATCTGGAATTGAGTTTCGGCGCAGGATTGCCGGCATCTTGCTCATCATATTAAATCCCTGCACAGATTCAATTCATAGCGGAAGACGTCACATCAGTCTGAATCACTCATCTCTGTCTCCTGCACAGTCTTGCACATCTGGGAGCTGATGGGAGGAGCTACACATATCATCAGCTGACAAACAACTGCATGCTTCAAGTCTGTCTTGTTTGTTAAATAGCTGTTCTGGATGTCATTTCTACCGGGGTACCTCCCCTCCTCCTGCTCCTCTCCCTGCTCTCCTTTCTCCACCTGTTGCTTCTTCATGGTTGTACCACAGACTTACTGCTTCAAAGTACTAACAAGGAAGACTATCCCAGTGTTTTGTTGTTAAATTTCAGCTTGTTTTAAACAGCATAGCTATCCTTTAATACTTTGTGAGTTGTGTTTATTCTTAATGAGTACCTGAGCGCATAAAGAGGATGAGTTTGATTTATTTAAGCTCCTGGTGTACGTCAAAAATGAGCCACACAGCGCTGACTTCAGTAGTTGGCTGCCTGTGTGAGTGTAATTGTTTTTTATGTGTGTGTGTGTGTGTGTGTGTGTGTGTGTGTGTGTGTGTGTGTGTGTGTGAGTGTGTATTAAGATGATAAGATGATTCTACAATGACTTAAATGTCCCAGATCTGTCTTTGACTCAGCGTTATCCTCAAGTGTGTTCATCCGAATGTGTACACACACAAACACTGTGTTTTTTTGCTACCTCTCAGAACCTGCGCGGGTATTAACATTTCATGGAAACGCTGAGGTTTGTCAACTAAGTCTCATCAAAATTTCATCCCTAATTGGGTAAGCAGAGCTTGAGGGAGTTTCCCTGACAGTGAGATGAGCTGCCAACCTGAACCAAGTCAAGCTCGGTGCCAGTGGGGGTAAAAAGAAAAAAAAAAAAGTTAATTCCCATGTCAATGACTTGCTTGGCCAGTTTAAACACCCTGAGAACACAATAAACACTCTTTAATGATCTAAAGATAAGTGTATGTACCGGAGACGCTCCACAAAGTCTATTTTAAGCAGGATCTGGAGCGTGACATTTCGAAAATTCTCACTTCACATATGAAGGCTGCTCAGACTCGACGATAGGAACTCCAGGATACAAAGTGAAGTTTTATACTCAGAGCTAAAAGAGATATAAAGATATTAAAGAGCTTCAAATCCTAAATCCTGCCTCTGAACAATATTCCTCTAAGCCAGGGTGTTAAAAGTCCCCCTATCTGCATCAGCCTCAATTCATGATCACTGAACTGGTCCAGAGCAGCCTGACTTAGCAGAAATTTCAAACAAACTGGTTGATGGTCTGGTTTTTTAGTTGTGATCCAGTTGATCGAGGTTCTGAAACACCTACACACACAAGAGCAGAAGTTCAGCAGCCTCCAAGTCTGAAGATCACCATAGAGGGGATCATCTATATCCAAAAAACTAACCAGATCTCTCTGTATGTCTCTGAGCCCCCCAGTCTCCAAGGTTCCTCTGGACTGATTCTACAGACGGTTGGCTGCTGTGGACCTGCCTGACCTCAGGCCCTGAGCTCCTTCTTCTCTCTGGACTGTTGCTGCAGACATGAACATCAACCTCACATTAATAACATAAAACTAGAGTTCACTACTATTACTGCTGACTGTAATCACATTAAATTTAACATAGTCTATAATTACTTATATCCTGATCCCGTTAACTGAATCCATATTGTTTCATCTTTCTTGCTCTGCATGAGCTGTTGCTGTTGTTGTTACTGTTGTTTTAATGTTGCTGCTGTCCCCTGTCTCTCTCCCTCCCTCTCCATTACTCATTCTCTCTCTCCTTCCCTCTATCTTGTTATCTTTCTCTCCCCCTGCCCTCTCTCTCTCTCCCTCTCTCTCTCTCTCTCTCTCTCTCTCTCTCTCTCTCTCCCTTCCTATCTCTCTGTATTCCTCCCTAATCCAGCAGCGGCTTGGTGGCTGTCTAGAATGAGTCTGGTCCTTCCCAAGGGTTCTGCCTGTTAAAAGGAAGTTATTCCTTGCCACTGTGACTCATGTTAAATGAGATGGGCCAAATCTGTCCCATTTTAGGTTTGGTCTTGATAATTTATCAAACAATGAGCGAGGTCTAGATCTGAAGACTCCTAAATCAGAATTCTGACTTTTTTCACAGATTAATAATTAAAAATGTGAATACAAGTCTATTTTTTCAGTGGCCCTAATCCTCTAACGCAAAACGTGAGAAGTAAAAAAAAACATGTCTTTCTTGGTACCTAGTCAGCGGCAGCAAACCGTGGTAATCTCTCCGGTGTCTTCCGCCTCTCTCACCCGCAGGCAGCGCCTTCTCAGCCGGTGTAATCGTCACTGTAGCCGCCGCGGCGCCACTCTCCGCGGCTCCAACACTTGCGTTAGGTTATTCCGCTGCAGGGTTTACGGTTTTGTCATCGGCATATATCCAGTAAACTCGGAGGTTAGTCATATTGTTCATGCCTCGGTGTAAATCCGGCAACCGTTTCGGACTTTTACCAAGACGTTTCTCACTCTTTTCGCAAATTGCCATCTTTAGACAACACCTGTGTGTGTCCGGTATGAACAACTCATTCATTGGAGGAAGAAGTCACGTTGATATCACGCTGACCAATCACAGTGGCTCTAATATGTCCCACCCACTTTCCGGGGCCCAATACACACTCATACCGACAATGAAAAAGCTTACTGGAGATAAACAAAACGTGGCATGGAGTTTGATTGAGTTTGGAGTTTTACCTAAGAGAAAGTGGATTGGATTCAGTTGTAAGTGCGTTGCTGTGAAAATAGCGCAGTGACAGCCCTTTAATGCCTAACGCCACAAATCATGACGAGAAAATTACACTTTTTGGAGCTGAAATGTTAATTTCACTTACTACTGAAAAAAAAATGTCCTTAAAATTTAACAAATATATTTATTTATCTCATTGAGACACATTAGATGTTTTCGGGAACTAATAAACTACAAGTGGACATTTTTATCATTTATTGGATTGTATTCAGGTGGTTTTTTTTAGTAATTTGTTGATCGTATTGATTTGATACAAGTATATAAAAGCATGTATCAAAAGTACATATATATATATATAAACACACAAAAAACAAGGCTAAAATAAGATAAAGGACACCCAACTGACTGTCAGTGCTTTACAGATGTTTTTTGATTTGCTAATTTTTTTTGTTTTTGTCTCAAAACCACTCAATGACTATTTTTTATATTTAATAAACAAGTAAATTAATTAAAAATATTTATTACGAAAAAACAACAACAAAAAAACATTTCGGTGAGTTGCATGTTAAAGTAATCGCTTTTATTCAGAATACCCAAACACAGCAGACCTGCCCTTTCCAATATGGCCGGCACCCTGATGTTTCACAGCAGCACAGCCAATGTGGCACATATGATAAATCTATGATAACCAGAGTGCTAAAGTGAAGTCCACCCATTTAAAAGGAAGATCGGTCTTTGCACAACTGAGACAGAGCAATCAATAATGTTATGTTCAGACCACCACAGCAACAGCATAAAAGGAAAACTCTGATTGGCTAAAAAATGGCTCCTTTCATTGAACACTCCATATTCCAATATAAAATTGAAAAATGGGTAGAAATATTTCTTCTTTGTTTAATCAAATAATGAAAAAATGAAACAAAGAGTCTCCTCACTCAAACCTTCTGCGTAAGGATACATTGGCATTGCAAGTTAAATAAACCCTTCCTGCTCAGTACTCAAGTTTTGAAAAGGCTCACTGTGATCTTTGTGATCAGCTAATGCTACCTCTGGATGCTGGCCAGTGAGGTGAGCCTTTGTGAATAGTAAATCGCTTAAGTTTTTTTTTTTTTTTTATGCGTAACTTGGTTTTAAATATGAGATCCAGGTATCTCCAAGATGAGATCCCCGATATGGGGTTACAGCAGCTCAGTGGTTTAGGGTGTTTTCATGATGCACTAAATGTATGTGATGGGAAATAAAGTTGGGGCTATGGGTTTAGCTCCCAGAGTAGACTCGTCTACTACAGAGCCATGCTATTATAGTATGTGCAGAATCTGATTTGGCATTGTCTTGTTGACAAATGAAGAAGGCACAAACCCAGTGGAACCATTTCCAGATCTTGTTTGTGTCCTCTTAGCATGTTATAGTTTGTACCTGCCTTTATCAACTAGTAGTGTGTCGTTCGCATACGATTCGTTCAAAAGAACCAAATCTTTTAAGCGAACATACTGAACGGAATCAATCCCTCGAGTGATTTGTTCGTTTCTCACTTCAGTTGAGCTGAAATGAGAAACAGCATTGCCAGGCCAGCAGCCGGCGAACGAGGGACCGCATGCACCGACGCCTGAATCACCTGGTGAACAAATCAGGCATTGAACTACACTCTCTGGAATCATTTTTGTTGGAGAAAACTACCCTTTGTTTTCACTGGTAAATTACCACCACAACAACTTGCATACAACAGGACACAGCATGTAACAAGTAGTGCATTAAACCCGCAGTATCCTATCATTGCAGCGGTGAACGAATCACTCACTGACCCCAACTTATTAAGCAGACCTAATAAATAGCATACCATAGGACAGCACACTGAAAACATCATGACTTATAAACAAGTTAATTTCAAGTGAATCCTGAACTGTTCAGCTGTGTATCAGTTCAGGAGGTTGGAGTCGCAGGCTGATTCGGCGATTTGGTGAACGAATCTTTTGAACGAATCTTTTTAGTGAACTGATTCTAGTGATTCAGTACATCAGTGCAAGAACTGCTGTGCCCATCACTATTATCAACACAGTCAGATACTGTAGTTACAGATAATTAAGAGTTGATTTTGAGGCCATGCGGTGATTTTAATTAATCTTGTTTTTTTTTATTGTTGGTTGTATCAAGCGGCACAGAAATGATTTTGAGCTCAGCGTCATCTACCAACTCAACAAGACACCACACAGAATGATCGCACAGAGACACACAACATACGCCCTGTATTCAAAGTATTAAGTTTGACCTGACAGACAACAACTCATTGGAGACCAGGAGCAAGCTGATAATCAGTCTAGACACAGTTTAGTGACTTCCAATACCTCCAAGCATCATCAGCATCAGCACCATGGACAGCACCAACAACACTGCTCCTCATTGAGTTATAAACCCATTTACTCCATATCATGCAATCTTACTTCCAATGTCTGGTCGCAGCGTCTTGTCATATTCCTTGAGCAGATTGTTGAGTATAAATGTGGCGTCTTCCTGGTGTGACCTGGGCACCAGCATTGGATTGACAGCGGTATGATGGTGATCTTCATCGTCGCCATAATCCAGTAGATCGCAACTGGAGGGCAGAGATAAAAAGGAGGAATTAGGTCGTTTAAATTTTAATATATTACTTAAGAGCTCCTGCAATAAGCACACCAGGGTTTACTCTATCGCAGCCGCAAAAATAGGACGTAGCCTATCTCCTATCCCTTGGGCTGCACTTAAATGTAGTGACTTTAAATGTATCATGTGAATGATATTCAGTCTAGAGCTGTTTGGGTACAGCAATGATTGCTGTCAATTTCTCTCTGTATTCGTGTGTGTGCGTGCGTGCTCGTGTGTGTGCACGCGCGGGGAAAGCCCCTTTTAAAAAAAGAAAAAAAACATGCGTTTTCAGCCAAACTCATTCACACAAAATGCGCAGTTTCCAAACCGACTCTCATGTGAACTTTTGAAGCCTCGAAAGAATACACTTCTCAGCTGAACTTAATGAGGAGAACAGACTTACCTAGCACCTTGAAAGAGAAGTATGAAGAGGGTAATAGCAGCTGTGACTGTCATGGTCATCATTTATAGTATTGATGGACGCAGATCCAGGAGTTGTGTCGCTGCCGCTGCTGCGCTAAGTGCCAGTACAGTAGGTGTGTGCCCATCAATCCTCGCTCTGAACTTCCTCATCCACCCACACACTTTCATCTGCGTGCCATCCGCGACCACGCTACGGTCTTTTCCCACCCCGCCCCCTTCGATCCGCCGTGCACGTCGAATGGGGGGGATCTTCCGGGACGCACCCCGACGATCAATCAGTCTGATCAGACTGAAGGAGGGGAGCCGAAACGACTTGATCCAGCAGCGCCCTCCTCCCCTCAGACGCTTGTGCAGGCAACAGAGTGGTGGTGGTGGGTGGGTGGATGGGGGGGACTATGTCTGCTGCTGCTGCTACTGGTGGCGAACCTTTTACATCTTGCATGACTCATACAGCGTGTGCACGTTACACACTGTACCTGGAATTGCGCTAAATTGCGTCGTTAATAGGCTTTTAGGATTCGCCACGGTTCATTATATTTTTCTGCCTATTTAAACGATTTAAGGCGTTTTTCAAATCGTGGTAATTATGATATCTTAAATCAAAAACTGTGCATTCATTACGCACACAAGGTTACTCTGCGTCATGGTTAAATTGCGTCTTAACTGATATTATTGTTTGTGTTTTCGTCCAGACATCAGGTGCACACAGCTGCAGACTTCTCCAAACTTCTATGAAGTCATTTCTGCTCAGTAGACCTGTCCGCTTTGGTCCATGCAAAAACACGCCATGTGAGTTAAGAGGCTTCACTGCCCCCTAGTGGCAAAGCATGCAGAAATTAAGCTATATTTACACAGTTGCATTGCATTTTTTTAATTGCTGTTTTTGTGCCCTCTCTGTTGCCCTTTAAGTAGAAAACACATAAAAAGATCGCTACCTTAACTGCCCTTCTAGTGATGAAATGTAAAAAAAGGTAACCTTTGAATGCCTTTTTGGAGAAGACAAAATAGTGCCCTAGGTCGCTTGACCCTGTTACATTTGTTTTGTTGTTATGCAACCTTTCTGAGATTGCTTCACCATCCCAGAAAGTCTTTCTTTTCTTCATCCTAATGGGTTTAAGTAGGATGAAGTAAAAATCTACACCTCTCTAAACCCAGCAGCAACACGAGTCTGGTTCTGTTCAAGGTTTCTGCCTGTTAAGGTTGTCAAACAAAGCGCCTGCTTAGGGCCCTGCGGCTAATAGGGGACCCCCAAGAGCAATGAAAAAAATAAACAAATATTTTGTATTTTTTGAGTGATGCTTTCTGTATGATCAAATATATATTATTGTAAAAATAAAATAAAGTAAAAACATTTCAGTGCTGCTGCTGATGTAGGCCTATGATTCTTACTACCGATATGTCAAAGCTCCGCTACGGTTATGTGCCTTTTGCTGTGCAATGTCCACTGACCATCCAAAGCGCAGGTAGTTGTGGGGCAAAACAATGTCGCATAAAAAAGACATATCCTTCAGGAGCAGAGAAAAGAAAGAGGAAGAAAGAGAAGGAAGGGAAAAAAACGCCAAGATAAAGGTATGTTTGAATGTCATGGAATGTTAAAGAGATTTGTGAAGGTGTGTGAATGATCAACAATCAATATTATTGGCAGAAATAGAGGGCCCCGAAATAAAATTTTGCTTAGGGCCCCATTGAGGCTTGGCTTGTCCATCTATAAAACTTTCGACAGGCTAAAATTCAGCCTGTTGGAGGCTGCTGGAGCCTATCCCAGCTGTCAGCAGGCAAGATGCGGGGTACACCCTGAATCAGTCGCCATTCAACTGCAGGGCCACATAGAGAGACAGACAACCTCTCACACTTAAACTCATACCTAAGGACAATTTAGAGTGACCAATTAGCCTAATAAGCATGTTTCTGGTCTGAGGGAGGAAGCCGTAGTGCCCTGAGAGAACCCACACATGCACAGGAAGAATATGCAAACTACACACAGAAAGGCCCTGCCCAACCCGAAGATAGAATCGATGACTTTCTTGCTGTGAGGGATGTGCGCTACCTTCTGCTCCACCGTGCCGCTCATGTATAAAACAGTATTTAACAGTATTTCACAATAATTAACTTGATCGCCAACTCTATGTTAATCATTTTTATTTCATTATTTTCAATATAATACATAAAACAAATATGACACATAACACAAAGAATGAATAACAAATACTTTGATAAGCCAGGCTGTAGCTACAATGGCTTTGCTTCATTTTTGCTGAGTCTTAACAGTGGTCTCTGTCTTTAACACATCTCAAAATGCCGCAATTTTCTTCCTTGAGGCTCAAAAAAAGAGAAACTCCATGTGTGAGTCAGCTGTTGTTGCGCTACAGCTTAAGTTGCCGACTGTATTTGCGCTACAATTCCAAGATGAAAAAACTTAAAGCTCCTGTAAGGATTTTTGTAACATTAATGAAACAGACTGAAATTTATATTGAGGCTTTTTTATGGTATCCAACAGCAAACAAGACCATCAGGAACAAAATTAGACTTGTACATTATCATTTTTAATGCCTTAAACCGATACGAGGGGGTAGGTGTTAGCTGAGCAGCTTAAGAAATAGTCCTGTTTGGACAATTTCATGTAAAAAAACCAACACAATAAACAACAAATTTGACAGTCAAAAGTCACCAGGATGAGATTTTTGTCAATAGACTTTAGTCAAGACTTGCAATGACTGCTATGTCCACAGAGGGCGCCAAATTTGACACATAGTGAAAGTTGTTCACAGGAGCTTTAAATTTTTTCCACCAATTATAACCTAGCGCTGAATGAGGTACATACAATTAATCCAACCCACACTAGTCACAGGCATCTGTCACTGACTGGGCTATCTGGAGCTTTAACTGGAGTGAGGCACGGGCCTGAAAAGAACTTAAGCGGAACAAAACTCCTTTTGTAACAGGCGTATGGCAGATGAATCTGTCACAGTGGCTGAAGAAAAGAGGACAGGACCTTTAAAGGTGATGATGGCTAGCTGGCTAGATAAATAGGCCCCTGTGACCTCTGTAAAATAAAGGCTGCTGTGCATTAAGTGATTATTCTCTCCTATGAATTCCCTGTCAGCATGCTAAAGATAATGCTAATCTTAAGATGCTCAGTGGGTTAAATATTGAACCTTGTTCAACATTTCTGATCACCGTGTTGGCATGCTGAAATTTACAAATTAGCTCTAAACCAGGACATAAAGGCTAAAGGGAGTCAGACAAAATAGTTTCAGCTTGCTGATAATCAAAGTAGTGAAGACTTTGAGGTGATCAAGGCGCTAGAGGCAGAGTTAAGGGGTCAGCACAGTGATTAAAATGTATCGAAAAGAAAGCATAGATGTGTTAAAAGGTAACTGGATCCCATAGTTAATCTACTTTTATTGGAAACAGGCTGCAGACAGTCATGCCAAAGGTCCATTATTCTCACATGTTAAACTATCATAAGTTTTCTACAATTTCTTCATAACTGACCTAAAAAATGTAGCTTTGGCCGAACAACTAAAGCAGTGCTGGAGCAGCTGTGATTTCTTACAGAAAGAAAATAAAATCATTATCCCAGCCTTTGTAGAGGACCCAGCCTCTGCAGGTGTCACCACAAACAAAGCAAAATGAGCACTTTTTTTTCTTTATAATGTGCATAAGCAGCAGAGTCAAAAACAAACAAGGACAGGCGGGACAAACACAGAGGTAGGAAGGGGATGTCTGGTCTGTCCTGCCATGGAGCAGCAAATATATAGATCGCCTTTCAACTGGTGCCCCCTTTTTGGTGCTAAAAATGCACTTAAACACGGTCTTAGCAGATATAGCAACACCTCTGATTGACAGTAAATTGAGTTTTATCTTTATCAGTAACCGGCACAGTACATTTAAGGGTATTATGGCACTCACACAAAAAGTACTTCAACGATAATGCTCACTGTAGGTCCCAGTTTCACAAAGCAAATCACGTAAAGTAGAAGTCATCTATTCATGTGTTTTTTTTTCTATCAACATCTATTGAGCGTCAAAAAGCTTTCAAGGACAATGCTCCCAAGCAGTAAGTGACAAATTTAACAAGACTGTTTCAATGTGGTTCAGAGGCAACTGTTCTGTCCTTTTGTTCCTGAGTATATCTCACCATAGACCACATACGCTGTGCTCTGATGGGCTAATACCAAAACGCCCCCACGTGTGCTCAGTGCTTCCAATTGAAAGAAGTCGTTTTGGAAAGAAATGGATAAAAATTCAAGATGAATCCGTGGAGTTTGATCAGAAGCTCTCCAAGAGGAAAATAATCCCACACGTTCTTACAAAGTGACAGAATACCTCAAGAGACAAAAATAAACTCTTAACAAAGTCGAGATTAAATTTGGCTTTTTTCTTCATACTGTTCTGAAGGCATTAAAGATGTTTTAATATATTATATAAGAGAGGGGTGAAGTTGAAAACCAAAACTCTTTACTTGAGCTTGTTGAAGACTTCGCCTTATTTCCCAAAATCTTGGTGGCTCAAAAGTATTCAATTTAAGTATTTTAATGAAGGCTGAATAAATGAGCACTGACTTTTCATCCTAAACAAACTAAAGCTCCTATAACGAGTTTTTGGACCTTGATGAAATAGGCTGAAATTCATATTGATGCCTTATTAAGATACCCAAAAGCAAACAAGACCGCCAGGAATATGAGTGGAAATTTGTTTATCGTCATTTTTATGCAGCTGGAGAAACAGCCATGTTTACACAATTTCCAGTTAAATTAACACAATAAAGAAGATTGATAATTTTGATATGCTGTTTTCTCTTTTTGACAAAAGCGACATTGTCTGCAAATGTCAAATGAATGCGGGTTGATAATATTCAAAATAAAATCATGCCCCACCTCTGTCCATCTCTCTCTTTCTGCATCTCTTTCTATATCCCCTCTAAACCAAATGCAGTCTCAACAGATGACTGTCATACATCAGTCTGGTCCTGCCCGAGGTTTCTGCCTGTTTAAAGAAGTTTTCCTCTCAAACTTTGGAAGTACTAAATTTAGGTACTTACAGTGTTTTCTGTTCTTTCTGCATCTCCTTCTATCTCCTCTCTTAACCAAATGCAGTCTCAACAGATGACTGTCTTACATCGGTCTGGTCATACCCGAGGTTTCTGCCTGGTTAAATAAGTTTTCCTCTCAAACTTTGGAAATACTGAATTTAGGTACTTACAGTGTTTTCTATTCTTTCTGCATCTCCTTCTATTTCCCCTCTAAACCAAATGCGGTCTCAGCAGATGACTGTCTTACATCAGTCTGGTCCTGCCCGAGGTTTCTGCCTGGTTAAAGAAGTTTTCCTCTCAAACTTTGGAAGTACTAAATTTAGGTACTTACAGTCTTTTCTGTTCTTTCTGCATCTTCTTCTATCTCCTCTCTGAACCAAGTGCAGTCTCAACAGATGACTGTCTTACATCAGTTTGGTCCTGCTCGAGGTTTCTGCCTGTTAAAGGAGTTTTTCCTCTCAAACCCTGTAAGTACTAAATTTAGGTACTTACAGTGTTCTCTGTTCTTTCTATTCCTCTCAAGGGGACACATGAAGTGAAAGTCGATGAGGGTCTATTGCAGGGACAACAAACATAACAAATAATCTCAAAGAAAAGAGAAGAAATGCTTTGCACCAGAGTTAACTGCTTGCTAACTTTTTCTGATGTCCTCTGAAGAATGTGAGGGTGTATTTTGAAAGTTTATGTTTAACACACCGGTGGGGTTGTACCAATATTCTTGCTGTGAAGCTGCTATAGGATAACTTTTCATTTTTTTATAAAACTTCCACTTTGGTTTATCTTACGACTGCCAAAGCTTTTGGGAAATCAGGCAGAAACACCGAAGTCTTTGAATCTTCAAGTAAAGATAAACCAAGAGCACCTACTGCAGAAGAAAAGAGAAGCTTGTAAAGGCGTTTCAGAACAAAAGAGATATAAAGTAAATTATTAATGAATTGCAGCATCAATATTAAGATATGTAATTTACACAGTGTTGAAAGGAAGAGTTTAAAAATCAAGTCTTTCTAAACTAAATACAGGTCCTATTGCACATTGTTTTTTTTAAACTTATAAGCTCAGTGCATTTTGATCCTGAAGGGCTTTCATTTTGGCAAATATCATTTTTTAAAATCTAAATCTAAAACCCTACCTCAAGTAGTATCAATGAATAATCCTCCCATACAACGAGCAGTGATTGGCATAAATAGAGTCAGTATTCAAGACAAAGAGGAGTCCCTTGTTTCCATTTGAGAAGAGCATCATGCAAACTGCAGCAGGACGGATGAAAAGGAAGCAAAAGCACTCACTCTCATGGTGACAGTGTTGGCAGCAGTTTCTTTGATTTTTAGGCATTAAATCAGGACATATTTGCAGACTTGGATTCGTTTAAAGCGCTTGAATTTGTAAGCTGGGTATAGTTTGTTTCTGATCTTCAAGCGCAGAGCTTGTTTGTTCGTTTTTTCTTCTTTTTTTTTTTTGAGAACTCACAACAACCACCTTTCATTTTAGTCCGCCAGCTTCAAATCGAAACTTCTCTCTCTTTATGCGAACTCTCTGTCCCTAGAAAACAGGAGGAAAAAAAAAGAAAAAGATTATGTCGAGGTGACCACTCCTTTCACCACCGGTTCTCTGTTCAGGTACGTCGCCCAGTAGACGAGGTTGAAGGTTCCAAAGAGAACAGGAAACACTATCCGAGACATCTTGTCGATCTTGCTGACACTGTTGTAGGTCTTCTTTGGGTCCACCATCTTGGTCTCAGTGGCCCGGAGTTGAACTGACGTGGTGTTGGAGATTGTGGATATGGACACATCCTTAGTGAGGTTGGGCGTGTAGTTCACACCTGCTGAGCAAACGTTGTTGGGCTTCTTGGACAGCATCATGGGGTCTCTTTTCTAAATCAGGACAGATTACATTAAATACTAGATTAGTTTTACACCATTAACTCAGACTCAGATAATATGCAGTGATCAATTAATTTTACCTTGAATAATTAGTTATTCTTTGTTATAATTCATGACTTTGGGGTGTTAAATATCACAAATAATTCAGATATATACATTTGAGTGCTACAGTTAACAGATGCATCATATTAAAGGTACAGTGGGTAGTTTTTCATAGAAATTGGCAGAAGAAACCTGGTAACATAATGCTTAAATAAGTGTATCATAACTTGAATTTTGCAACCTCAATGTCAAAAAAGTTGGGACACAGTGAAAAAAGTAGATAAAAGGGGAATTTGTTGGTTTGCAATTCATTTAAATCAACCATTTAGTTGGAATCAGTGCAAACACAACATCAAACTCTTGTCAGTCCATGTAAAATATGCTAATTTTAAATGGATGTCACTTAATCCACTAGTAGCACGAAGCCAATAATAATAATAATAATAATGATTTAAAAAAAAACACTTGTAGGAACATCTTGACCCAGAGCAAAAGTACTTCACAGCAGTTTCAAGTAACAATTCCAAAAATCTCCACTAGATGGCTACGATCTAAAGGCCATTACATTAAAGGGATATTCTGGCGTAAAATTAATTTAGGGTAAAACACACCATAACACTGAGTTAGACACCCTCTCAAGACATCAAAGTTCTCTAGTTATACCAACTTTAGTAACCACCGCACAATAGCAATATACAGCGGTCTATGAATCCACGCGCAAACCTCAACCAAAACGCCACTCTATAACCACAAATAATGCTCAGAACAGCACCTAACTTTATCAACAGTACATATAGGGTCCTAGCCACAGCACTAGCCACTTAACATCTTTTTAACTTTGCCTGAGTTCTTTAGCAAAGAGACTAAACACAACTCACCTACTCTCTTCCAGCAGCCGCTTGTTTGTAGCAAGGAATTGGGCCAGTCCATTATGGACTACAGCAGGGTAACACAGCTCAAAGAAGAACATTTATGATTATTTCTTAATGGAAATGCAATCAGACCGAGACGCTAAGGCAGAAGAACTACCGTGTCTGCAGTGCAAAATAACTATGCACTAATAAATATGATGACAATTACTTCAAAGAAATGATAAAGAAATGATTATAAATGTTCTTCCTTGAGCTGCGCTCCCCCTGCCTCAGTCGATGATGGACTGGGCTGAGGTCTCACTACAAATAAGTGGCTGCTGGAAGAGAGTAGGTGAGTTGTGTTTAGTCTCTTTGCTAAAGAAACTAGGCAAAGCTAAAAAGATGTTTGGTGGCTCATACTATGGCTTGGACCCTATATGTACTGTTGATGAAGTTAGGTGCTGTTCTGAGCATTATTTGTGGCTATAGAGTGGCATTTTGGTTGAGGTTTGTTTATGGCTTCTCAGACTGCTGTGTATCGCTATCATGTGGTCGTGACTGAGGTCGGAATAACTAGAGAAGCAAGCATCGGCAACATTCATTTATCTCTCGAGGGGCTGTCTAACTCGGTGTTACGGTGTGTTTGACTCTAAATTAATTTTATGCTGGAATATCCCTTTAAGATCAGACCAGACTCTGCAGTCGAATTCACTGCATGGGCTCAAACTCATTGTCAGGAAACACCAGTGACCTCTCCAAGCTTGGGCCTATATAAGGTCTGAAGAGGACCAGATCTAGGTCTTTTAACTTATACTAAGTCCAATCTGTCTGTACCTTTGGGTGCTGCGCCTCTAGAGCCTTCTTTCCATCCCAGGCCCAGCTCCTCTTGGTGAAGTAGTTCACAGTGGCAAACTCAATGAGGGCGGAGAAGACAAAAGCGTAGCAGACGGCAATGAACCAGTCCATTGCTGTTGCGTACGCCACTTTGGGGAGCGAGTTCCTGGCGCTGATGCTGAGGGTGGTCATGGTCAGCACCGTGGTGACCCCTGGAAGAGTTTGACAAATGTGCTGTGATTTTTTTTTAGAAAACAAGTCTCCGTTCTCTTAAAAAGGTAAGCACTTTTAATAACTCGGACTGCCAGCTGCAGCTCAGTGGGCGACTATTATTATTCTCCCTGGTGTGGCAGACATGACAGGCATATTACAGAGACACATAAAAGCGACTAAAAACAGGGACAGGAGTAAACAAGCTTTCTCTTACCAAAGACGGTCCTCGCAGGAACTGATTCTCTGTTCAGCCAAAATGAAACCTGGGACAGGATTACGGTCATGAAACAGGGCATATATGTCTGGATGACGAAATATCCAATCTTCCTCTTCAAGTAGAAGTGGGCCATCATCACTGTATACTGTCCTGAGGGGAAAAAGGAATAAAAAGGAAATAAAGTTAGATAGGGACAATAAACAGGACTTTTCTACTGATGGGAAATTTGACTCTAAGCTGAAACACACAAGAGTAAATTTTATGAGTGCACAGCTGAATTGGCTGCTCGATTATGGCGAAACTCGTATCATGGATCAACTCTGTGTTTCAGTTTAAGAGCTTGGACTTAATTTTGATAACGCTCGATAAATCAAGCGCCAGATTTCACTTTCAGCAAAGTATTTTCACCCTACATCCAAAAGTTGAAGGATTTGAGCTTTTGAATTTTATCCTCTGAGAAGTCACTGAGTCTTTTCAAGCTTTTGTAACATCCTTGGAAGCTTCAAGACTTGGCCTTGTACTTTATTATGATCCTAAATGATGTTTTTTACTTTTAGCCGAGTGTTTGTACGCACTCTTAACACAAAAAATAAGGACTTAAAGGGATATTCCGGCGTAAAATCAATTTAGGGTCAAACACACCGTAACACCGAGTTAGAAACCCCCCCGAGAGATGAATGTTGCTGACCCTTGCTTTTCTAATTATACCAACTTAAGTAACGACCCCACAATAGCAATACACAGTGGTCTATGGATCCACACACAAACCTCAACGAAATGCCACTTTATAGCCACAAATAATGCTCAGAACAGCACCTAACTTCATCAACAGTACATATAAGGTCCCAGCCACAGCACTAGCTACCAAACATCTTTTTACTTACTAATTTCTTTAGCAAAGAGACTAAACACAACTCACCTACTCTCTTCCAGCAGCCGCTTGTTTGCAGCAAGACCTCAGGCCAGTCCATCCTTGACTTAGGCGGGGGAGCGCAGCTCAGGGAAGAACATTTATGATCATTTCTTTATCATTTCCTTCAAGTAATAATCACCATATTAATCACTTTGCACTGCAGACGCAGTAGTTCTTCTGCCTTGGCGTCTCCATCTGATTGCATTTCCATGAAGAATTAATCATAATTGTTCTTCCTTGAGCTGTGTCACCCTGCAGCACTCCGTGATGGACTGGTCGAGCTCTCGCTACAAACAAGCGGCTGCTGGAAGAGAGTAAGTGAGTTGTGTTTAGTCTCTTCGCTAAAGAAATCAGCAAAGTTAAAAGGATGTTTGGTATGGATTCAAATCGTGTGGGATATTTATCAAATGGAGCAGGCTCCAGAAAGCCACCTTCACTAAAAGATGGAAACCTGTACTACCTTTGTTGCTGCAATGACAATATTTATTATGTAAAACCCTTCTGTTGTATATCAAAATGCCGTCATCCTGCCTCTGATTGACATTTGTACCAGTAATTCTATACTCTAGAGTGGACATTACCTATTTATTTGATATTCCGATTGTTTTAGTTTTTTATTTCCACCTTCTATTGCCTATGGATGTTTGTAAAAATACACTTACAACTGAGAAAGAGGAAAGGATACATAACTGTTTTGAAATGTATATTTTGTACTGTACTGTAAAAAAAGAAAAAAAAAGAAAGAAACAATAAAAACTAAGTTAAAAAAAAAAACAAATTGGACAAAATTGAAAAATGGACAAATTCACTTGGTTAGATTAATTTTTTTTTGCAGTGCAGACTTCATTCAATCAGCTGGCTCTGATGCATTTGCAGGATTGCTTTCAGATTTTCAGTAATTGTTTTAACTCTGTAACTGAATCTACATAAAAAAAAAAAAAACAGGAGGCCTTCACTGTTTTAGGATCATGAATTTAGATTATGCTGGGATTTTACAATAGAGCAGTGATGGTAATATTAAATTCGTCATCAGAGACGGTGAGAGGAAGATAAAAGAGAGAGAGGATGAAATTTTCGGTTAAGATTGAATATGAAGCTTTAAAAAATCCCCTTGCCTGCAGCAGTTTGTGGCTGCAGGAGCTGGTAAACTATGTGAAACCCAATGACTCCTTTACTCCACACAGTGGAGCCCACACACACACACACACACACTCTCTCTCTCTCCTCCCCCTCCCTATAACTAAAACACATGTACACACACATACACCAACACACACAAACACACAGAGTAATACGCACGGCTTTCTCGGGGCAAAATCGGATTTTTGAACCTCCCTAATCCCTGGTTACAATCTGCATCCTGCCATCAGTGAGAGAAAGAGAGGGAGTGAGTGTGTGTGTGTGTTGGTGGGGGTGAGAGCTTCCTGTCCTGGGATCCTCACAGAGTTTTAAGCCACGCCCCCTCCAGCCTGCCAATCCAGGCTTCGACACGCACACATGCACAGTCTGAAACACACATGAAGCATGATTTCTGACTGCTGACAGCTACTGCCCACACACAGACAGACAGACACACACACACTCACATACACACATACACACACACACACACCTCAGGACACACTCAAAGCCACAAAGGGGGAACATTTACCGCTGCTAATCACTGGTGGGATGGAGGGGGGCTAACCGAGTGGACATCTTTTTGATCTTTGCTCTGGTTTTCCTTTTTGATATTTGACGGCTCTTTGAGGAAACATGATCAGACACTCTTGATGGATCTGGCTGGCATGTGAAGGGAAGAAGAGGCCTGGTCTGAACATGTACAATGGGAAAGGACTGACAGCTGCCTGAAAGTGAGTGTCATTAGTTTGTTTATTCGCTGAGGGCAAACCGGCCATGCCTCGATCAGGGGATCACCGACACCGTTAGTTCTGTGCTGCGACCCCATCGTCTGGGCCCTCTCTCGCCCTCATGACTCCAGGCTGCCTGGCCCACAACTACCCGGTCAACTGCTACTGCTGTTGGAAACATCCAGGCGTACCCAGGCGCTGCCAACCTGGGACACCCCAGGGTGCCCTCTGCCCTTGATGCATGGATCCCAACAGGACTGGGGGCAAAGGAATAAAGAGGAACATGGTCCTTTGGCAGACCTTACTGCTTTTATCCCAAGGATATCTATTTTGCTACGTCCAAGGGGAACTTCCTTTTATGTCGGGGAACAATGCTGCCATGCTGGTCAACTGGTGAGTACAAACAGTGTCGTTTCTGCCTTTACCTTTTCCTGCACAGTTCCTTGAAGGTTAAGTCAAAACTGGCAATCACTGTTGAGAAACTACCTCAAAGAAAGCAAGGAAAACAAGTCCACACAAGTCCTGCAGGTCCCTTCAAACTGAAATAGAACCGTAGACAGCGTCTTACTTTAGAATGAGGGTTATTTTAGGAAAGATGTTACTGTCTGAGACAGGAGAAGCCAGATCCTTTAAAGACAAATTGGTTGGACTAATCTCCTCCTTCATGTTCTCCAACAGAAGTGTTGTCTAATATTAGATCTGCGAAGTTAAGGCTCATAACAACACATGCATCCAATATTTTCAGCTGTGGACCTTCAGACATGGAGGTTTAAAGATCTTTGGTGTTTATCAGTCAATATTGATGCTGAAGGATGCATCTAGAACTCCTTGCAGGGGCTTCCTCTATATGTTAGTGAGCGGATTCATACCATTACTTACATATTTTATCTACTTTTTTGACTGGCACAGAAGGTTTCGCTGTTTTTTCTTGCAGTATCAACACTAAGGAGTCTCACCGATCGGTAATTGACTGTTGCTTTGAATTCCCAGTTTACAAGTGCTTGATTACCTCGCCTGGACCCCGTAACGCAGCAGGCGACTGTCAGGTTTCTTTTAATCAAGCGGCTGACAGCTTGCCTTTGCCTCTCCTTTTATCTGTTGAATCTACAGGCCTTCAGAGCAAATGCGTCTATTTTTGGGGACATTTTCTCATAATATACAACTTTGATGAGTTCTGATGACTAGCTGCCTCGCCGGATCACAGCGGGCCATGTTTGACTTTGTGTGCGACGTATCTTTTGAGTGTCGCGTATTCGTGAAACACGCAGCATCACCTGAACGAAGAGATCTCGACAAACTTCTTGCGGGTGCTGAAATATTAAAATCTGCTTCTTTTTCACCTTACCAGGACAAAAGGGGGGATTAACAACGTCATAGGAGGCTCCAACTCATAGAATTATGCTGCATCATGTCATCCACGTGACCAGTCGCATTGGCAGCATCACTGATACAGACAGTGCGGCTGTCCATGTGGGAAATATCAAAACCAGACACATAGTGCACGCAATGATACTGATAATTCCTAGATAGTTTGATTCACAGTTTTTAGCACCAGCTGAAACCAAATCCAATCAATCATTTTTTTTACCAATCATATAGCGAGTAAATCAGCAATGAAAGCGACCCCCTCCCTCGACCTATGGAGACTTTAACCCTTTGTTTAAACAGCTGAGGTTTCAGCCGGGCTGCACAAATGAGAGGGAGGGGAGAAAAAAAGGGAAATCCACCCTTTTAATAATGATTCTCCTCCAGGCTGGAGGGAAGTGTATTACAGTTCGGTTTTACATAAGAGTTTTAAGCAGATGCCTTTAAACGCCCCCTCCCCCACCCCACCCTACCCTACCCTACCCCGCCCTGCCCCACCCCCTCTTGTCAGAGCTGGGCTGTCCAATCTGTCCGCACAGACACACACTTTGATGTCTATTTCTAAAACTATCAGTCCAATTTTTTTTGGTCATTGTTATTTTGATATCAAACTCCTCTGATCTGCGGAAAGAAATTATTTTTTTCCGAATATCCAATCAGGATAGCTTAACCAGTGAACAATGAAAACGCACTTATACTGCAGGTTTGCGAATGAGATACTCGGTGATGACAACAGTAAATGTGACAGAGCAAATATCCACCATCGCACAGATACACTCAGGGACAACCAACCAATCCCTCGCTGATCTGTGATGTCATCTTCTTATGCAAAAGCTGATGGGTGGTTGGATGGGGGGATTAACCCTCAGTCCCAGGTTTCTATCTAGCCGTGTGTGTGTGTGTGTGTGTGTGTGTGTGTGTGTGCATGGGGCTCACGCAGGGATAAGTGTTGTTTTACAGTGCTATCCCGGCCTGTAGACAGCTGGCTGCGCGAGGGATAGGCTACTCTCCTCCACTACCCTCCGCTCATTGACTCCTGATAATGTTACCCACAGTTCCTCCGCCTCACATGCTCATCTTTTTCCAGCAGTGTTGATCTTATCTAACCTAGAATTAGTTACGTCACTTTATTCCCTATGAAACTCCTGCCTCACATCATCGAGAGGGACTTTTTTTTTTTTATTTCCCTCCTGAACAAAAAAAAAAGTAGAGAGAAAGAGGTTTTAAAGTACAAATTAAAACATATGCAAGAGTGAGATTTAATCTTGGATAAGTTTGGAACGGATTAAACTTTGACTACTGCTGCATCTATTAGAGGTCGTGTTCAGCCTAGTAAGACCTCAAGCTCCAAGGGGAAACCAGGTAGAGCTCCAGAGAAACATACAGCATGCTGCAACAAACTTTAAAATGAGTCGTCTAAAGCTGACCTGTCCAAGTTTTTGTTTTGTTTTATATTTGCTCCGCTCGTGGCCATTTTTAAGCATTTCCATAAACACAAAAGGCATCTAACCCAGAGGGGAGCAGGGAGAAGACAAGGCTTATTTTACCGGCCCCTCGCTCAAAACAGAAATAAACAATAACGTACAAAGGTTCAGGTTATTTTTCTATAACTTTACAAACAATATTACAACCACATAAAAGGAAATGTATGGATATCACAAAACACTATCCGTCAGCTTCATATTTTGTTATTATACTTTCTTTATACTTTGTTTTAAACTGAAATATATTTGTGCAGCCCTTTAAATTATTCTGTAGGTCAGACCTTGGCATCTTACGGCCCGAGGGCCACATCCAGCCCTTCGTGAGGTCCGTCAATAAATCATCAACATGCTATACAAGTGTGTTGCTTTTATTTTGAAAACCTAGCCGGTGTTTTATTTCCATTTTGACGCACGTGTGCACATCCTAGATCTGCATTCATGAGCAGAGAAGTTTAAACATGGGAAAAATATACGTAGATGCCTTAGAGTTGTCAAGTCTGTGTATTAAAAATGACTTTAGGCTTGTTTTTTCTCAGAGGTCGCTTGTAAAACTCACAGGTGCATTTTTTGGGCTTGTTTTTAACTATTTGTTGCATATTTGGGCTTGCTTTTCTGTATGTGTGAACCCCGCCGATTTGAAGTTGAAGTTATTGTTGGTTCGGCCCTCCAACACAGTTGAGGCCCCACGTAAAAATTAATTGCCCACCCCTGCTGTAGGGAGTTCCACATTTTAACCCCGACCTCGGAAATACACATCTGTCTTAATGTTGTCCGATTAACTGGTGCTTAAAATTAAATCGCCGTCTGTGCTGTTTATCCTCTGAACTGAAAGTAAACATCTTTTGCAGGTTTTCTAGTTACAAAACAAAAGTGATTTTTTAGTCAAACAGATCAAGTATTTTAACTGCAAGAATAAAAAGTTCCTTATTTTAAAAAGTGGGCGACCAGAGCACATTGATAGATGTATTTGACACACAAACACACCCACCTCTGCTTGTGTGAATGTCCTCTACCCCTGCAGTTTGTCCAATAAGATGGTACTGGTTGAGTCTGGAGCCGTCCTCAGCTACCACCACGGATTTAGCAGCTCCCTGAGTCCAAGTGTAGACCACTTCTGATACAGGATAGGCATCTGATGGAGAGACGGAGAAGGTTAGATCCAGCCCTGAGATTGCTTCGCTTTTGCTCGTATTTGATTGCACAATCGGGGTCCAAAACATAGCTTTGCTTGCACAGGCGAAGATCTGGGTGTGTTTTTGTTTAATCCACACTTTTGGGTGAGAGGAGAAACCACACCGAGTCAGATTAACCACATTTTGTTGCATCACACTCCTGATGAAAAAGCAGAGCCGGGACTCTGAAGCCCGTACTCCTGTTTCATTTATTCATGTTGAATCCTGTGTGAGCGGCAATACATCATCCGGCCCCGAGTGTGGGGGGCCTCCGTGTGAGAAAAATACAGGAGGATAAAAACGATGATTTAAGATGGCTGCGTCAGCTTTCTTGCTGTCGAAACTCAATTTAATGTCAGATTTGTTTTCTTAATGCTCTGGGGCGGAGAGCGGTTTAGTTTCTGTGTAAATAATGAAAAGGAAAGCGCAAGCTGTCAGACAATTAGGATCGATTACTTTAAAAAAAAAGTAGCTGTATGCCTCTTAAATATCAACATCATATTAAATGTCCACAGCTTGTTTTGCTGACTGTAACAAACACTTATTAAACCCTTAGTTTGGCCTTGTATAACAGGGTTGGCATTGTTTATCTATGGTCAGCTGATTAGATCTTAACTTGAGTGTTTCTATTCTGGGTCTCCCTTTGGCAGGTCAGAACAGGTGTACAATGACTGTAGTGTTTAAATTTGGGCGCTGACAGGCCAAGGGCCACGCCCTTAATTGTAGGGTAGTTAGATTAGAACAAGGGATTATTGTTGAATTTCATTATGTGGAGGAAGAGCTAAAGAGTTGGCAAACACGACAGGCCACCTGTGCCAACTTCACAACAGTTCACACTTAATGCTTTGCTGCTCCTGTCTTGTGTGGGAGGCAAGCTACAGCGACAACTCGGCCAAACTCATCACCTATCGGACCAACACCGTCTGAAACCTTTCAGGAAGTAACTGCAGAAGATATGCTTGATATTCATAAATGTTCATAATCACGTCTAAAGATTAAGTTTCATCCAGTTAGGTCAAAGTGATCGCAAAGAGTTTTGTTCTTCTTTTAAGAAGGGCTTCCAGACGGGTTAAAGCTACAATATGCATTTTTATCCCATCATAGCCGGGCCAAAGATAAACATAACGGTTAAAAAAACAGCAACAAAGACTATTCAGTTTTATGTTGATTTATGACTATTCAGTAACCCTAGAACCAGGTCTGCCCCTTCCACATGATCATTATTATTTATTTATTCATTTATTTTGGGGGGCACTTTTTGCCTTTTATTGATAGGACAGGGACCTATCAATGGGCTGCACTACAGGGACCGTGGTCCCCATACATGGGGTACGCTAACCCGCTCGGCCATCTGCGCACCTCTCCGCATGATCATTTTTAATGCAAACTGTATGATGCTTCAAAAGGAACCAATGAAAACATGTCCAGTAAAGATAGGAGAGAAATTTTAACAATAAGACCACCAGGACTGCAGTGTTAAGGTCTTACACACCCAGAGTGTTCTTTTCGTGCGATTATTTTGGACGTCAATATTTTTTTCGAACCCGTATCCTGTCAATACAAGCATCCACGTCAGCGACATTTTCTTGTCCTGCGATATTGCGGCATTTATTTTTTCGTATCTACAGTTTCGCATACTGTGTGTCCACTTCTGACCAATCAGATTTCGTGTTGTTGCGATGTCAGATTCACCGGTATATCCAACATGGCCGACCGGCTAATTGTTTACGTGTCGGAGAACAGAGTGCTTTTTGATAAAAAAACACAAACATTACGAAGATAAAGACCTGAAGGACAACTTGTGGAGAGTCATAGCGTTGGATTTCTCATATGACGATGGTTTGTGTGCTTTAACAGTTTGCTAAACGTCTTTGTTTTAACTTTCATCTGTGCTAAGTAACTTTAGCTCGTAAGCTAACCTGTTCAGATACAACATACCATATGTATTTTCACTGTCTCAAACTCAATCGTGTTGCTATCACAGCTCCATTAGGTCTCTGTTGTTACCTTACGTTTATGGATTATAGTTTAATGTGTTTATCTGGTACTGGCCCCGACTCAGTACATGCTATCATGACAGACAGAAATCTCAACACTAGTGTCTAATCAGAACTGAAAAACTGTCAGTCTGCTGTTGTGTCAGTCTTCTCGCTTCCACCCAGGACGCGACTTTTTTCCCCCCGGAAAGTCGCAAAATCACATCGCGCTTGATGTGCATGGTCAGGCGCGTCAAAATTCGCCTCCGAATATTCCGTAATTTCGTGTCATATATTTGTGTCGTTCCCGGTGTGTAAGGACCTTTAAATGCTATTTAGGAGGTCACAGTTTATTACTTAAGGTTGGTTAGAGTCGGACTGTAATTGGTTGACCGCTAGTTTTAGAAATATCAGAAATTAACCACATTAACAAGAGCATCTAAGGTTTGAAGCGCACTCATTTTGTCTTTTTTAATCAGTTCAGTTCCGGCCTTTTAATCTCTAATAGTTTTAACACAGGTAGGGGATCACTGGTTCAGCTCTTGGCCTCGACCCACTCTCTCTACAGCCCTGCTCTGCTAACTCTCAGATGTTGAATGCTTCCTAAAGAGCCAATGATATCCAGGTGCGGCGATGATTTGGTCTGATATTCTTGTGAGTTTGTCGGCGTCTTTTATGAAAGCTCCCAGGTCTGCTCAGGAAAACATTCATCAACGTCTCCGAGCCGCAAAGTCTCCCGGAAAGAAGAGCAATTATGAAATGATTCACGGCCACATACAGTATGTTCAGCAGGGTTTCTGTGGGTTGAAGGCAAGAGGGGCTGCGGGATGACTCATGGGACCATATTCTGTTTTTTTTTTTTTTTTTTTTTTGTGTGTCACATTACACCTTACGTCATCATCTGCAAATTTATGCAACCATTTGAGGAGCAAGCTGTTTCAAATCATCAACACTGATTAGTCTTTTTTCGTTGGACAGGATTCAACCAGAATAATAATGAGGATTTGTAGCATGTAGGTGTTCATCAGCAGCTTGTCTCCTATCCGTCTGCATGAAAAGCATCGACCTGTGCCTTTATTGAAATGTATATTACCTCATATTTGAGCTTTGAGATGAATGAATGTGATGGAGTGGAGTTTAAAAATGCAAAAGAGCATTTGTGGTTAAGAATTGATCCCTGTGTGTTATCTGTAAACAGGGGGTCTTGGGCCCGGTAAGGAGCTATTCTTAGAGGGGAAGTGCAGCTTTAAAAGGTTAACCTAATGCCTAACCTGTCAATATTCGAAGAAATGTGTGTTCAGGCTAAGAGTCTAGGGGTGCAGAGATATGACATAGGGGCTGGTGGTGGCCGAAGTAGGAACTGTTAATCATCTACTGATACCAATGCCATTATTGATTCTGCTTAGTATCAATTGTTAAGATATACGTAAAGGTTTAAGATGGAGATTTAGCCAAAACATTAAAGGGATATTCCGGCGTAAAATTAATTTAAGGTCAAACACACCGTAACACCGAGTTAGACACCCTCTTGACAGATGAATGTTGTCAACTGCTTACTTCTCTAGTTTTACCAACTTTAGTAACGACCACACGATAGCAATACACAGCGGTCTACATCTCCACGCGCAAACCTCAACCAAAAAGCTACCCTATAGCCACAAATAATGCTCAGAACAGCGCCTAACTTCATCAACAGTACATATAGGGTCCTAGCCATAGTACTAGCCACCAAACATCTTTTTAACTTTGCCTTATTTCTTTAGCAAAGAGACGAAACACAACTTGCCATCTCTCTTCCAGCAGCTGCTTGTTTGTGAAGAGAGCTTGAACGAGTCCAGTACGGACTACAGCGGGGTGACGCAGCTCAAGGAAGAACATTTATGATGTTTGTGGCTAGTACTATGGCTGGGACCCTATATATACTGTTGATGAAGTTAGGTGCTGTTCTGAGCATCATTTGTGGCTATAGAGTGGCGTTTTGGTTGAGGTGTGTGCGTGAATCCATAGATTGCTGTGTATTGCTATCGTGCGGTCGTAAGCTGGTGTAACTACAGAAGCAAGTAGTCGGCAACATTCATCTCTCGAGGTTTGTTTGACCCTAACTTAATTTTACGCCAGAATATCCCTTTAAACACTGAACACTTTCAGCACAGCTGTAACATTGGTAATTAGTCTAATTTCTTATTTTTAATCCTTTTTGGGGCGTATTGCAAGTTAGACAACATCTTCCACCATTGCGATAGGTGTACAGAACCTTTATATATATATATTTGTGTATCTCCTCTAACTTTCTTTCAAAAAGCCTATCACCAGAAAAATATCACACGTCCATTCGCACAAGCACGAGCAGTCAGGCTCTCTGCTGCCTCGTTCCCTCGCCACACTTGGACATGTTTGTACTGTACTTTGTCGCTGTTAAAAATAAAGACTTGGACGGAGCACGCTGCAAGACAGTAAGTGATGGAAAATGAAAATTTGTTCTTGGGAGCTGGACAAGATCACACCCACTCCATCCTCTTCACACCAGAAGCCAACTCAACAAATTTCCTACTTCAGAGGACGTATGTCGAAAGAGGAACGTGCTGCACTTTTCTGCTGAAAAAGATTCATCTTCAATACAATTGCCTGAACTAGTCAGTGTATTTCTGTGAGCTGCATGGCTACAGGCCAGCAGGTAAATAAGGATCAGGATGTGTAGGCCAGAATAAAGGATTAGTTCCCCTTAGCCTTAACCAACCTCACTTTCTACTCTAACCTTTACAAATGTTGCCCGAGACTCCGCCCACAACTTTGCCCTATAGAAGCAAATGCTGTGCGATAGGTCAAATTTGCCCATAAACATAATGTGGTCATAAAACGAGTCATAATGAATGTGAAGGGTTTACCATCTGTGGCCAGGTGCCACATGAGGACAAAGGTAGATCGGGGTGTGATCAGACCAGATGGGAACATACAAGAAGAAACACTCATATGGGAGTTTTTCCTCTTTGCTGAAATGATGACACCTGCAAAATGGAGTGTTGCTATTAACACATGATTCCTATTATACACTTACAACTCTCACCTCGAGGGCAATACACCGTAGTGATTAGGTTATAGTTTGCCATGGGTAGACCCAGCAGCTCCTTACGCTGTAATAGGATTGCAGTCAACTGTGTGTCCCTCACATAGCGAGTGTGGGTGGAGCGCGTCTCACAGCAATCTTGGGATAAGAGCCTCATCCCTTTAGCCCAAGAGGCTTCCAAGGTGTGGCTTTTGGCCAGATCTGTCTTTAAATACCCCCAGGGCCACTCAAGTTTCTATACATGTCCTCGATGCTAGGTCACACAAACAAGTTATCTTGTCAAGAGGGTATTCAAGACGAGTGAAACCCCTTAAGAATATTGGATGAATGAAGTGCTGAATATGCAGTTCTGTTCGCTCCTCTTTTAACCGGGACGTCTTTAAAGTTACTGAGCAGGAGCTGCAAGGGAGCAGAGTTTCTGCTGCAAGCTTCTGGATTTGTTCATGCATTTTATGAGTTTTAGTTAGAGTCCTTTAGATATAGAGTGAGAGCTCAGTTGGACTCAAATATGGCAAATAGGGAGTAGGGATGGGAATCGAGAACCGTTTTTTGTTGAGAACCTGTTCCAAATGGTTCAATCAATCGACATCATTTACATGTTATCATAACGATTCCCTTAATGATTCCTTTCTTACAATCGTCAGCCACTGCTGCCCCGCCTCAGCAATGGCATGGAAAGTACGTATGTCCTGTGTTAACATAAGCACAATGCATGCCTAACTTGGACTAACTGAGTTAGAAGTGTGTCGAAAACACTTGACCTGACCCCAAAACCCGTGAAATTTAGCGTGCAACTCCGCCCCCCACTTAGTTTGCCCTCTTTTTGGGGATCCAGAATATGGTCACCCTAATTTGACTTAATACCAACCGAGGTAAACGCTGTACAAATAGTTTGTCGTTTGATTATTTTTAGACTTCTGTTATCAGAGACTCAATAAAAATTTTGAGTTAACGGTGAAAACCTACAGTCCACTTTTTTTTTTAAATCAAAGAAAGGCATCGATAAGGGAATCGTTAAAGAATTGAATCGATAAGCAGAATCGATAATGGCATTGATATCGATAAAATCGTAACAATTCCCATCTCTAATAGGGAGGTAATTTCTTTTGTTTTAACATTTTAGATAAAATACAACATAAAAAAAGGCTTGGTATGCAAATTTGTGTCTCTGCTCACTCTGGACTTCCCACTCCTTGGTGTAATGGACTCATACATAAGCTCTGCACTAAACCTGAAACTTGTATCCTAACATCACTTTAAATCCTGGGGCTAACTTTCCTAATTGAAAATCAAACATGGAGCCAAGACTGAACAATTAATGCGTCAAACATGAACCGATACAGTCCACAGCAATGAGGCTTGTTCAGCAGTGTATGCGGGATGCCAAGTGGATTTAATTGACTTTTTTGGCCCAACCTCTAAAGTCAAACTTAACATTGACACCCTCAGTAAATGGACTGTGGCTCGAAAGGAACGGACTGCCCAATAAGTCAGTAAACCAATTGTTAAACTCCTCAGAACAAGACATTGTTACTTTGGGATGTGATTTTCGATTAAAACCAGAAGACATCTCTCTGGACCCATCCTGGCTGAAGAAGCATGCATCTATTGATTACCATGTCTGGATCATCACTAAAAAAAGTAGATGCCACTTCACACAAACAGCTCACCTGATTCGACTGCAATGGTTCTGCTACTCTGTCCAATAAGGACTCCAGTTTCTCACAGGACCTGATACTTTCAGCTAAAAGGACCACAATACCCAATCGGTCTTTGGTTGAAATGACAAATAATTGAGTTGTTACTTCCTATAGCGACATTGATTGGCCACCTTGACTGGAACATCATTTGGTGGGAGGAGTGTGAGCAGTAAACAGCAGTAAAAGTTAAAAAAGTCTGTGTCAGTAATCCTCCGACTCTTCAGAACTCCTGCGGCAGCATTTCTTTTAATTGTTCCCCATTGTCTTGAGGTCGATCCCATCTTATCCTAAATCTAGATTAGCTCCTCTTTATCGCCATTGTTTATCATGACAACTGGGATTAGGATGGTGGAAAATCAACATTTAGAAAAGTGTTTTTTTTTTATGTACTTACAGCTGCCAAATTTGAGAGGACAGGCGTGCGCATCCATGGGGAAATCCTCCAACTGCATGGGGCATTCTGCTGATATCGTCAGCCTGAGACAAAACACATACAATATATCCATTAACTTTGCGGCACAGTCTCACATCAGCAGCCAGATCGTCCCCTGAGTTACATGAGTTAATGAACCTCACTTTAAAGTCTCTGAAATACGACTCAGACATCATATAAATGGACAAACACTGGGGAGGAAGTTGATTTTCTTCTGTTTGTCATATGATAGTTCAGCTTTCTTTCATTTTGCATGAATAGTTTGACAGCTGCAATACTGCCACCTGGTGGTTACAAGTTTTCTGTGTTGTTTAAGTCTCTTTTCCTAAATTTGATTAACAGCAAATGTAAAGTGGTGTGTGTGTGGATGTGACATATACTGTAAAGGCGTTTGAACACACATCTTCATCATCCTTTTTTGCCTTGAACTAAATCGAGTCCCCCTGGGTATTCTCTAAGCGGAGGTATTACGACGTGAATTCTCTGCACCTAATGGGCTGAATAAAAAAAAAGCAAGTGGTGTGGAAATTGATGCTCAAAAATTTGTTTATTAACTCCAATGTTTCTCTCTTATCGGCCTTAATTTACTGCTTTAATCATTCAGACGTATGATGCAGAAACAGAAACAGGATGCACTGATTTATTTGTGTTTGATTGAACCGCGTCACTGTAAAACAAAACCCTCTTGGGTCATGGTTTGCATGCTTCAAAAGCTTCTCGCATGTATGTGTCTGCAGGATGTCTCCTTATTCTTTTGTTCGAGTGAACTAAAGTGATAAGAAAAGCTACCTTTGGTCCCTACAGATGCAAGATAATCCAACTGCATTTATGCATGAAGCGTTTGAACAAAGCAGAAGAAAGAGTGTCTTTGGGATAAATAGTCATGAGAACATGACTTCTGGCTATTACACCATGCTCTAATTATTCATGTGGCCTTCCCCGAGAAGCAAGGATGCCAGACAATCAGCCCCTTCAAGGTCACGTTGGATGTGTCGTTCTGCTGCAATAATTTAGATATCAGGGGGGGAAAGGATGGCCCGCAGCCAGCGTGGACTTGCAGTGGGGAAAACCCTCAAAAAAGACCAGCAGATGGGCCTTCAAACCTATGGGAAATCTAAAGTCTCCGAAACGCCTGACCTTGCAAGAAAGTACTGAACTTAGATGACACAACGAAAACAGAAACGGCTGAGTTTGGAGTGCAGGCGCTTAATGATGTACAAGACCACGTGCAACCATGAACAATCTGTCTTTTCACACTAACAAGCGTATTTTTAGAGATCTTATAACTTGTATACACACAATCTGTTCAGCAGGAGTTAGGTTTATATCTATACATCCAACGTGTGAAAAATAACAAGTAACTGTTGTGTGAAAGCACAAGAATGTTCACCGTGACAGCATCTTCAGAAAGCCACCAGTCTGCAGGTAATATACCAGAAGAGCAAAATGATTGAATGCACTCAACCTGTGCTAATATGGGGGGTTATAGGGTGACCATATTCTGACTTCCCAAAAAGAGGACACGACTACGCAGGGGCGCTATCACGGAGTCGCATGAAGTTAATTTTGAGAGTTTTTCGGGTCGGATCAAGTGTCTTTTAGACGCTTCTAACTCAGTCAGTCCACGTGACACAAAATCGAAACTTACGTACAAAATCGCAAACATTTGAAGGATTTTATTAACTTTCCCGGACAACCCCCAAAAAAGAAGACATGTCCATGTAAAAGAGGATGTATGGTCACCCTGAACCTATAGATGGAGGCAGATTCACAGAAACATAAAAATAAGTCCCTTTGACACAATCATATTTAGTTGAAAAGAGAGACACCATGTGGAAATGTGCATGAGAGCATTCAAAAGTTTGTACTGAGTTATCAATAAGACACCTTGTCACATTTTGTTCAATTGAAGGGCATCTGTGGGGGGGTTTCATTACCTCTGCCAAGGAGGTTACGTTTTTGGTAGTGTTGGTTTGTTTGTTAGTTTGTTTGTCTGTTAGCAACTTTACGGAGAAAGTTACAGACCGATTGACCTGAAATTTTTTGAAGGATTCTTTATCATTGTAAGATAGGGCAAATTTTGGAATTTTTGCATTTAACTCTATAAAAATGGCCAGAGTCTTTAGTAAAAAATTACACAAACGGATCTCAATGAGTTTTATAAGGTGTCGAAGGTTGATCCTGATCCAGACAAATTTCTGGATACTGTGATCCAGAACACACAAAAATAAGGGTGTCGTTGGAATTTTCAATGCTGAAAGATAACAAATGGGCGGCAGAGTGGTGTAGATGGGCGGCACAGTGGTGTAGTGGTTAGCCCTGTCACCTCACAACCAGAAGGTCCTGGGTTCCAATCCGGGCCAGGGCATTTCTTGTTTTAGGAACATTATGAACAGTGAACATACCAGTTTAAACACAAATAAAAGTTCATAAAAGACACGTAACAGTAAAAGTTTTGGTATGAATCACAATATAAGGGGGGACATGAGCTGCTTGGCGGAGGTCTGCGCTCTCCGAGTGCTTTTCTAGTTACAAAATGTCCACTGGAGGGGCATGCAAAGGGGACTCTGTCATGTGGGGAAGCTTTGGGAGACATTTTTTATGTTTTTTACTGAGAGGTCATTTTACAATATTTTCTCGACTACAGGGGCATCCAAGAAGGCAATTGGCTATCTGACATACTAAATTAATATGTTAGCCTTCGCCTAAATTATATGTTTACACTTTTTATACAGTACTTTGCTGTAAATTACGGGACAATTCTGTATTTTCAAGGGATAGTTGGCAACCCTTAGGGTTCCTACGTGAGTATTAAAAGTATGGAAATACATTTGATCAATGTCCAGGCCTTTAAAAGTATGGAAAATGAAAATAAAGTATGGAAAAATATTTATGTTTCCAGACTATTACCACAGTTCTAAAATACTGTTTTCCAAAATAGAAGAGTTGGTATTTCTAAAAAGTGGAAAAAATGGAAAAGTATGGAAATTCCAACTGTGTAGGAACCCTTAACCCTAGTTATTGATATATTCCCATCTGCAGAAGGGGGGCCCTGCAAAATTAAAATTTGGAAACCACTGAGGTAAAGGATGATTTAGAAGTGGAGGCAAAAGGCTTAAAGAGGCTAGCTAAATGGTCATGTTCATGCATGTGTGTGCGCAGCAAGATGCAAGAAATCCAATCAGTGCTCCCCGCCATGATGCTCCACTCACGGTGGCGAACACAGCAACGTAACAACCTGCTGATAAAAGAAATCTAATGCTGCTTCATTTGATCTGCAGCGGTGAAAATGATGCTTTTTCTGCAGAGGCACGATCCTTGGAAGCCTCTCACTCCCTTAATCAAGAAGAATACCGATATAATTGCGCGTATATATGTGAAAAAAAATCCTATCTAAGTTAAGTTTGATGTCAAATGGTGTTAAAAACACAAGATGTGCGTTCAGTGTGTGTGTTTGCTGCATGTGACGGAGTAGGAACTATAAATAAAGACTTATTTTGATATGCACACATGTCAGTGTGGTTGCATACGGATAATCTGTCCTCCATCCAGTGAATTTCTCCTGTGGGTAGCACTGGTAACAGATAAAGTGCTCTCATCCGTGATATAGTCACTCTTAAGTCCTGCAGCTACAGTAACTCCTGGGGATAAGCTCAGCATTATTTTAATTCTCTGGTCCAAAGGTCATTATGAGTCCTTGCAGCTATGCTGCATTTGCGCCACATTAAACAACAATTCAGCTGCCAGAGTGACTTCAATTCTCAATTTCTTAATCTAGCTCGCCTAATTCTTTTAAAGATCCAATAATGTGTATTCGCCATTCAGTGGAAGTACTCGTGGTATTTCATAATCATCACCATCTGGTTACTGGCCTATTTTTTCCTGAATTTCTAATTAACCAGGACACCACTGCCAAATCTATAGTTCACAAAGAGGCTGCTCTTCATAATGGATGACCTCTCTACAGCTTACAGTTAAAGAGACACGTCACGCTGGTAATCACAGGAGAAATATTTGAATTTTTCTTATTTAATATTTGTGTAAAAGTTTGAAAAGAATAGAAAAAGACCTTTCAAAATGTTCTTTTAATTTGCTTTTTCAATACTGTGGTTGTTAGATTAACTGGCTCTGAGAGGCCACTGGATGGCACTGTTTTCCCACGTTCTGAGTCCCACACAGACTTCAGAGCTGGAGAGTGTTATGTAGGCTTCACTGACTGTGTCCTTCATCTGGATGCACTCTCAAAATCTTCCATTTACCAACCTCCAGTTCAGCTTATTCATCACATGAATTTTTGTCAGACTCATTCAAACACGGCCGCTTGAATCTACCTCTGAATGAGCGAGGACATGAAAATTACAGTGATTAAAAAGAAACAGACCTTGATAACCATGATGGTTTATAATTCGGTTAACCGTTCATGTTGGTGAGTCACCTAAACGAGAACAATACCTCATCGTGTAAAGCAAAGTGCCATCATCCTGCAGCCTCAGCAGCTTGTTGGGCGTTGTCATGTTATGAGCAATAGACTTCTTGCCGTTAAGGAAGAAGGTATCGGGGGTCCAGATTTTGCTGGCTAGCAAGTTATTCAGTGGGAGCATCTCCATGGGACCTTTGAAACACAAGCGCTCATCTTTCCAGCTTTGGCGGAAGAAGACGTCTATGGTGTACTCCTGGAACAAAAGTACATGAAGAATTTATTAGTAGATTATAGTTTCCATTGCATAAAAAACAGTATTTTACCGTAAAAAAAATCACATTTAAGAGCTAAAAAGGAAGCAGCATAAATCCACTCTTATAGGGGACCAACACTGGGGTGAAGAAATTCATCACAAACGTGCTTATGTGTGAAATTTAGACACACTTCGAGCCCTAAAACACAAAAGAGTACGACGGAAATTTCCACAGAATAATGGCGCTGTTAGCACACTGGCGTAAAAGAATGGACCACAAACCATTTAAGCCTGGTACCGCGTTAAATCATGCCCTCTTGCGAGAGATTTTTTCAGGCCAATTACAGGGAAGTAGCAAGTTTGATCACTGCTTTGTCAAAAGTGTGTCAGGGATATGGCAGGTTATAAAAGAATATTTAATAGCAGAGGAGATTTAATGCATTTCGCTACCCAGGTGGAACCATCTACCTCATAAGAGGACGGATTAATAAAGTGATAAATCAGTTGGAACAAATTTGAATGAGTCAGCCAGATTCCATTGTGGGGTTATGTCCACCACTGTTTTCTCTTTCTGCTGAAAACAGTTCAACTTTTGTTTCGATCTAGAAATACCGACAGTAGTGTGGAAACGCTTTGGAGATGTGTGGTTGTGTGGCGCCGCGACTTCTGAACTCACCATCTCGGTATCAGACACAGGGCCAAAGCTGGTGACAAAAATGTTTGTCTTGATCTCGGTGACATTTTCTGTGGAGAGAGCAAAGGCGGGAATGTTTCAGAATTGGAAAAAGCACTCGACCAATTTTGGCTAAATTCATAATAGGCCTATTAGTCAGCAGAGGTCAATATTTCCCCTCTAAAAATACCAGTTTTAACTGATACAAATTCACTTTTTCCTTTTTAGACTCCTTTAATGGTACTTTTTCATACTTGTGCCCACTTCAAATCCAATTAATCCAAAAATCGTTCTTTCGATCAGTTGATTGTAATAAACTGGGAGTTGTTTTGATGAATAAAAAGTTCAATGACTGCTAAGTGGAAAGGTTTGTCCTCATATAGTCCTTGGTATTCAAACAAATCTGGGACTCCATGATTGCTCTCTTTCAAGATTCGAGGGTAATTTACTGTTTTTTTGGTCAAATGCACCAGCAAAGCCGAACAAATCCCCTCCATGTGTTAATATTTAGTCCTGGTGAGCTAAGTGTAAAGGTTTGTCCTTATATAGTCCTTGGTACTCAAACAAATCTGAGACTCCATGATTGCTCTCTTTCAACATTCAAGAGTAATTTACTGTTTTTTTGGTCATATGCACCAGCAAAGCCAAACAAATCCCCTCCATGTGTTGATATTTAGTCCTGGTGAGCTAAGTAAAAAGGTTTGTCCTCATCTGTTCCTCAGTATTCAAACTAATCTGAGACTCCATTATTGCTCTCTTTCAAGATTCGAGGGTAATTTACCGTTTTTTTGGTCATATGTACCAGCAAAGCCGAACAAATCCCCTCCATGTGTTAATATTTAGTCCCTGTGAGCTGTGATTGGCTAAGCAGTTGCGAACAGCTTGTTGAATGAAGGTCCTGTACGTTTCTCTGGTACGTATTTATAGGTCCGCTTGTCAAGGGTAGCAACTGTTACCAGGATGTGAGAGCAGGGTTTTGCGTAACACATCAGACATTCGGCATGAAAAAAAAAAAAAGCCTGGTTTCTTCCTATTATGGGGAAAGTACTGCATGTACGTGTGAAACCAAGACAAGGAGGACTGGCTTTGATGGGAAAATGGAGAGCTGGTTGAAAATTAGAGGAATAAATGCAGCAAATTTGACACGACTCAAGAACAAGTCATCAGGGTTGGTGGGCACATAATGAAAAGCTTTCAATGCAGTTACCTCTGAGAAAAGAAAATATCCACCTTTGAATAGCAATTGTGAGCTCAAGGTTATCTCCTGTTGCCAGGGTGAAAAGCATAAATAAAACACCACAGCGCACTGAAATCAGGCTGCGTTCAAGGCGGCTTGATTGATTTACTCTCTCCGCGACGGTGCATGCAAGGAAAGGCTGTGTGCGTTTGTGATCCTCGCCATGACTCAGAGAGGAACGCGGCGTTTGGCGACATGTGTGCGTTCACCTTAGCTGACAGGGAAGCAAAATCAACTTCTCCTTGCAGCTTCTCCTCTGAATCTGCCAGTCTGCCATACATTTCCCCATGAATCAGAGCGTGAAAGCACAGCAGGGAGCGGGGAGTCCAGGTTAGTGGGTTAAGTTAGCATGCTGCCGGGCTTGAATATTGCGCTAAAACATAAGGCAGCTGACTGGTTGACATATAAGAGGAATCTGAAGGTTCAATTACGAGACTGAAATGAAAAAGAGTCATCCCCCCCAGCAAACCTCCGAGCCCAGGACGGAGCCTGTTGTCATAATTATCCAGGAGCCCGTCCAGGATCCTAGTAAAAACGGTGCTGTCATCGTTGGCAGCTGGCTCTTTTGGAGTCTCTGAGGACAGGCAGAGTCTAGAAGAGAAAAAAAGAAACAACAGTAAAGAAACCCAACAAGATCCGGGTGTTTTATTAACGGCAGGGTGCTAAACACGACATGGTTATTGTGATTGATTAGCTTCCCGCTTTCAGGGCGGGCTTCTTATGATTAATTACTGTTCATAAGCACTGCTAACAACGAACAGCAAAGACAATGAAGGCGTTGACATGTGATCTTAATATAAATAAATGACTTCCCCTTAAAAATAAAGCAAGAGTGAAGGCATATCTTGACAATGAGAAGAAAAATTAAAGGAAATTTAGCAATTTTTGAGGAGAAGGCTGTTCATGTAGAGGTACTGGGAGGGCGAGACAGATAAATCAAAGGTCCAAACTGGATTTGAACATGTGATCTGGAAGCCATTGATCGACTCTGATGAGAGTGGACAATTCCAGTGATTTACTGACAGGCATTGCCAAAGATCTTTTTAGCTTTCTGAGTGCAGGGCAGCCACTTAGGCAGTTCTGCAGGAGAGTGCATTGAGGGTAAGTGATAAATCCCAGAAGTGAACAGCAAGAACGCTCAGCAAAAAAAACAAACAAACAGGGATTTAATTTGGAGTTTGATTTTCTGATCAGCAGTTGCTTGCGACTGGAATTTTACATTTTTTATATATTTTTTTTGTATGAAAAACTGCAGTTAAAGCTCCTGTTAGGAGTTTTTTGATGTTTACAAAATGGATTGAAATTCATATTGATGTCTTTTTATGACACACAAAAGCAAACAAGACCATTTCTGGCAATGTTTGCATGCTCTATGTTGTATTTTTCCGGTCTAAAACTAGCGTGAGAGGGTAGGTGTCAGCTGAGCAGTCCTGTTTTGACAATTTTCATGCAAAATATTGACTATAAATGATGAATTTACCTGCATGCAAAAGACAAGACATGCAAAGACTGACAGTTCCTTAGAGGAGCTTTAAGAAAAACACCAAGACCGACTTTTGAGTTGAAAACAAACAAAGTTCTAGGACATCACATTCTGTTCGTTTACCTATTCAGGAGTCCAAACAGGAGCAGGAGGGAGATGACAAGCTTTGCCATGACTGAAACTCTGCTCACTTTATCGATTTGTACATACAGAGACAAAAAGCAAAAGAAAATTGCATTACAGATCAGCAAATACATAAACCATAATAAAACACTTGGAGAAACTCTTTGTGTATACAGAAGCAGACCATTACTGGAATCACTGAATCAAGCAGCAGGACAGTTTCTGCTCAATGAGGCGTCCAAAACATCCAACTCAGTCTTTGTGAACAAGAAACGCTCAGATATCATAAAGGCAGACAAGGGCAAATGCTTTTCTGCAGCATAATCCCTATTGTATAAAGCTTTCACTGCATTTCATTCAAGCGCATCACAATTCATATGGGCCACCCTTTACCTCCTTTACCTCCCCTACCCCCTTCCCCACATCTATTTCTTCACCACCCCCCAAAAAACACAGGGCTGATCCCGTTGATGTTTAATTGTAAAAAGGGAAAAACAGGTGAAAGGGTGGCTACCTGTGTGCAGATCCAACCTCAGAAAGGTTTTTTGTTTTGGCCTCTTCCCAAACAGCAACTGGAGGCTGGTGATCTTCGTCTGCGGTGCTGAAGCCGGACGATCAAGGATCCAATTACCAAATACCCGAGCGTGTCGGTTGTCTCCCTCCCTCTTCTCCTCAGCTTCTCCACCATGGGTGTTTGACTCTCTCTCTCTCTCTTTCTCTCTTTTCTCTCTCTCTCACTCTCACTCACTCTCGGTCAGCGGTCCCCCATCAGGCGCTGTTGTAGTACTAGTCTGTCTGGTCTTCTCCTCCTCCTTCCTTCTCTGAGTGCCTCCTGCACCAAGTCCAGGGGTGTCGCAGAAGCAGGGACAGCATCACACGCGCTGTCTCCTCGGTCTTGCCCGCCAGCCAGATTCACACCACATTTTCTCCCCCCGTTTTCTTTTCGCTATACCGCCTACTGCTGGTGCGAGAGACTGGCGTGCTGCAACAGAGGCTAATAATTTTATAGTAGGTGCCTCCCATTGGTGGGTCTCGAGGAGGAGGGCGCACAGGCAGATTGGGGGTGGGGGACAGCCTTAAAAAAAAGAGAGAGAAAAAACAATCAAGTGCAGGTTTTACCTCATTGGTTAATTTAAAGTGAGGCTTTTAACGCAGCTAAAACAAGAGAAGAAGACATCTGAACTATTTCCTCAACAATTTTCTTAAAACTTTAATCCTCAATTAGAAACCCAAGGAGAAACAATCTGCTCATTTTCGTGGATCATCATTTTATCTGTTTTCACATAGGCTAACTGATAGTGATGTGTCATTCACAAACGATTCGTTCAAAAGAATCAAATCCTTTGATTGAATGTACTGAACCGAATCACTTCCTCGAGTGATTCATTTGTTTCTCAACTGAAGTGAGAAATGAATGAGGGACCACATGCACTGATGCCTGAATCACTTGGTGAACGAATCACGCATTGAAGTACACTCTCTGGGATCATTTTTGTTGGAGAAAACTACCTTTTTTTGCACCGTTCAGCTGTGTGTCAGTTCAGGAGGCTGGAGTCACAGGGCTCTCCTGCTAAATGATTCAGTGATTTGGTGAACAAATCTTTTGAACAAATCTTTTTAGTGAACCGGTTCTAGTGATTCAGTACATCTTAAAGGACTGCCATGCCCATCACTACTAACTGGAAGATTTTAAAGCTCCGGTAAGGAACTTCTGGAATTCCCATTGATGCCTTTTTATGATATAGAGAAGCAAACAAAGCTATTACTGACTTAAACTTGGTTATTTTTAGTGTCTCAACCATAGACTGTTTATAGAATGGACACTGTCTGCCTCCTGGCTCCTACTGAGCATTTTTTGGTTTAAAAGAGGTCTAGTAGATGTGTAAATGTAGCCTTGACGACTGGTCTAAAATCAGGCTACCACAGGTCTAAAAACAAAAGTTTTTTAGACGTCTAAATTTAGTAAACTTGGTTAAGACTAGACAGCTATGCTATACTACACTGTATATTGCTCCATGGCTGTCATAATTATTTTGGTTAAGTACTTGGAGATCAGTTATGCAACTCATATGAAATAAATAGTTATCGAATAAAGGGTTCAAGTGCAACATCTAAATTCTGTCTAAAATGACACAGAATCTAGGTGGTTGAAATTAGAAGTCTAATAGCCATCTATTGCTCAGAGGGCTGGGTGAAGCCACTCCGAGAACAGCACCCTCTGTTGACGGGCTGCAGAATAGGTCATAAATCCCGCCTCCGCCAGCAAAGCTTACGGAGCTGTGGACAAACCTAAGGGATTTATTACACGGAATATAAATTTTTCTCCCCCCTGGTTGTGATGTTGACATGTAATAATAATAATAATAATGATAATTAAAAGTTATTAGGGGGTTCATGTTTTCTATGATTGACACTTGACACAGCCTATGGGCGTATGAAGATTGCGTTGCTCTGCCGGGGAATATGCTGTTTGAGCCGAGCGTCATCACAGGGACGTTGCTGCCGAATGCGTACAACGCTACTGTGCAATGTTGGTTTCAGGAAGTGGCGAAAAAATGCGGAATTACCAAAAGCTTTTTGACTTCAAATCCGTATACTGGTGTAAGGCAGAACCAAGTTGTCCATAGTATATGCAGTCTATGGTCTCAACCTGCGTGAAGGGGTAGGTGTTGCCAGTGTAGCAAACGAAAGAGCCCTGATTTTGCAGTTCTCACTTAAAGCTCCTGTAAGGAGTTTTTGTCAGGACATTAAACAGACAGAAATGAACAGTGACGTGTCTCTATGGTGCTCAAAAGCAGATAAGGTCATTGGTGGGAAGATTGACAGTGCCTTTATTGTAAATTTCAATGCCTGTATCTGCTGTAAGGGGGTAGGTACACTGACAAAATCACATTTTTCCTTTTACCTTTTTCACTTTTGCAAAAATTCGTAGGGAGTGAATCACAATGAATTAAAATTAATTCAATTACAATTGGTGACCAGCACTAACACAAACTGAAAGTAACCAACACTCTGTTTTGATAAGAGTGTTGATATGCATCAACAAGCTTCTATCAATGGCAATGCATTTTTTTCAACAGCCATGAAAAAGGCCAAAAAAAGCTGTTTCTACAGCCTGTTTTACTCATCTGGTGTGACACCCACTCTAGTTATACCAGCTTTAGTAACAACCGCCTGATAGCAATACACAGTGGTCTTTTCTTTAGCAAAGAGACTAAACACAACTCACCCACTCTCCTCCAGCAGCTGCTTGTTTGTAGCGAGACCTCAAGCCAGTCCATTATGGACTGCTGCCGGGTGACACAGCTCAAGGAAGAACATTTATGATCATTTCTTTATGAGAATGCAATCAGACAATGCGTCACCCCACTGTAGTCTGTAATAGACTGGCCCGAGGTCTCGCTACAAACAGCTGCTGGAAGAGAGTAGGTGAGTTGTGTTTAGTCTCTTTGCCAAAGAAATTAGGCAAAGTTACAAAGATTGTTGGCTAGTACTATAGCTGGGACCCTATATGTACTGTTGATGAAGTTAGGTGCTGTTCTGATCATTACTTGTGGTGACAGAGTGGCTTCTTGGTTGAGGTTTGTTTATGGCTTCTCAGACTGCTGCAAATTGTTAAGGTGCGGTCATTATTAAAGTTTGAACACGTTTGTAGCAAGTGGTCGGCAACATTCATCTCTCGAGGGGGTGTCTAACTATGTGTGACAGTGTGTTTGACTCTAAATTAATTTTATGCCGGAATATCCCTTTAAAATCCCATACGGTGCCTTTAATTTGGCTGTTCAAAACAGTGAATGGATTTGTGCTTTCAGCCTGCAATTGCTATGCAAAATTTGGTATAATTTGTGTGTTATTAATAAAGACGTATCCTCATTAATAGGAGGAAGGTAATAAAGCGTGTGTATTTGTGCTTGGATGGAGCTCAAACAGCTTATGAGGTAATGAGGTTAATTAAAAAAAACATCAAAAATGACGATTTCTTTCTAGTCAATGAAGTAATTTTGCTTTTTGAAGACACCGTCCAAAGATAGTTTGCTGTAAGGTACACATATTAAGCCAAAGTTGTTATCATCCTGGCGTTTGCCATAAGAGGGTAGCCGAGCTCTATGTTTCGTCGACGTAATTAGTACCAGATATTTATTATTCCTCCACTTTCTTTGATCCGTCTGAAGATGCGGGAGCTGCAGCCTGGAAAATGTGAGAAACGTCATTCTGTTCCCATAGGAGCCGGAATTCAGTACCACGCTGCGGACAGCTCCACAGAGTGATGGCCGGTTTGCACAAGTGTGTGAATGTGTGTGTGAGTGTGAGCTCGCAGATGAAAAGATGGGGGGTGCTGGGCTCTCCAAAGGCATATCGATTGCTTTTCAATAGTTGCCCCCGCAGGCGTCCGACTGTTTTATTTCTGCCTTACTCCGGGCTGAAACAGAGGCAACACAAACCCCTCAGATCAATTAACTCACACAACACATGAAGAAGGAGCAGAATTAACTGTATCCTTATTTTAAGGTGAAATGTTGGTTAAAAGTCCCCCCCCTCCCAAAAAAACAAAAAACAAAAAAAAAACAAAAAACGAGACGATTGATCAGCTAATCACCAATGCTGATCTTGATTATTGTCGCGCGTAAAATCACGATTTACACCACCAGCTTTTTCTCAATAATGACGCCACCTCCCCTTTTTTTTCAGGAATGCTGTTGACGGAAACAAGAAGTTGTTCGCCATCTATGACACGAGGTAGGAAATGTCACAACAACACAAACACGTACACGAAACACACTGTCGTTTCCGTGGCTCCCCCCCCAGCTGTGAGCGTATAACGCGCGCGGAACGCACGGGGGTCCCAATTATCCACGGGAATCTGAATGACTCCAGTGTTTCCCCGACCTCAATAATTTATGGTAGAGCTGTACATTTTCGATAAGGAAAAGAGGCCATTATAGACGATTAACAGGCTAATCAATCACAAACATCGATCAATAGGTTGATAAATGCAGCCTGTCCCTCCTCGATATTATTCAGGTCCCGCCATTTTTATGGGAAACACAAGGGAAGTGGATTGGTGCAGATGGTGTGAGGAGCACTGTAAAAAATATCCATTTGAGCAAGTCAGTGGCTGAAGTATGAAGTTATGTGGAACAGTATTTCACACTTACTCCATACTCACCACAGTCAGATTAATGAGTTTTCTATCTACTAAATGTATCATTAATCTTTTTTAAGTATTTTTAATTCCTCCTATTATTTAAATACTGGCTATTTATTGAAAATACCTACTTTAAACGGTTTCAAGTAGCCTAAAAAGTCCTTTTTTGGTCCTTGGGATATAATAAAAAAAGAAAGCATGACTAAGCAAGAGTAAAAAATTAACACATAAGCAAAGTTGATGGCGGCTGCAACACCAGGTAAAAAACAAAAACTGTATAATCACTGGTTGCAGCGCAGGTGACTTCACCAACTTGGAGTATGTAATCTGGCTGTTTAGTTTCTGATAACACATAACTGAAGTGTATGAAAATACATGAATTCAGACTACATCCATTTGCTGATTATTCCCACTAATGAGACTTGTACAGGGGTGGCCAGGTGTCGTAAACTTTAGGCACTTTTATTTCCACTCATGACATGTACTATATTTTCTGAATCTAAAGAGTGTTTATTTCTGTATGTTTAAGTTAAATTTGAAAGGAAACTCATGAAGTGTACAAAAAAGCCAATTATAGCTTTGGAGTTTAAAGGGATATTCCGGCATAAAATTAAGTTAGCGTCAATCACACCATAACAGAGAGTTCAAACACCCCCTCGAATGATGAATGTTGCAGACCACTTTCTTCTCTAGTTATACCGATTTAAGTAACGACCGTACGATAGCAATCCAGAGAGCCACATGCTCAACCAAAATGCCACTCTATAGCCACAAATAATGCTCTGAACAGCACATAACTTCATCAACAGTACATATAGGGTTCCAGCTACAGTACTAGCCACCAAACATCTTTTTAGCTTTGCCTGATGTTTTTTAAGCAAAGAGACAAAACGCAACTCACCTACTCTCTTCCAGTAGCTGTTTGTTTGTAGCAAGACTTAAGGCCAGTCCATTAAGGACTACAGTGGGGTGACGCAGCTCAAGGAAGAACATTTATGATAATTTCTTAATGGAAATGCAATCAGACCAAGACGCTGAGGCAGAAGAGCTACCATGTCTGCAGTGCAAAATGATTAATATGATGATTATTACTTCAAGGAAATGATAAAGTAATGATCATAAATGTTCTTCCTTGAGCTGCGACACCCCACTGTATTCTGTGAGGGACTGGCCCGAAGTCTCACTACAAACAAACGGCTGCTGGAAGAGAATAGGTGAGTTGTGTTTATTCTCTTTGCTAGAGAAATTAGGCAAAGTTAAAAAGATGTTTGGTGGCTAGGACCCTATATGTACTGTTGATGAAGTTAGGTGCTGTTCTTACCATTATTTGTGGCTATAGAGTGGCGTTTTGGTTGAGCGTGTTGCTCTCTGTATTGCGGTCATTACAAAAGTTGGTATAACTAGAGAAGCAAGCGGTCGGCAACATTCATCTCTCAACAGGGTGTCTAACCCTAAATTAATTTTACGCAAGAATATCCCTTTAAGGGGGGCATGGCCACCTCTGACTTCCCCTTAGCCACGCGCCTGAGACAAGTCAGGCTTCCTTCTCTTTAACCTTTTATAATTTTAGGACAAACTGCAGGGCAATTGAAATTCAGACAATTCAACACAGTTCAGTTTAGAGAGAGAGAGAAAAGAAAGGTTTATTTGCATGAAAACAGATCAAACTTTGCCGGCCTGCATGCTCCCTTTAGGCTGATTTCTTTAGATCTTTAAAAAAATAATCAATTTTTCCCCCACACCATAGCGCAGCTACTGGTGGGTATTTTTTACAGTGTGAAAGTGAGCTTCGTTTCCCATTTGAACGCGCCGACTGCCTTCAACGCCACCACCAGCAGCAGCAGCAGCAGCAGCATCCCTGCACACCCTCCTCATCAATATGCGCTTCAGCTCCTGAATGTATGAGCCTCTTGCACAGCCAGAGACGGCAAAGAAAAGCGGAGAGCCAGTATTCATGCCGCGAAGACGATGTCAGGCAATGTTTCATATCTGACCCCATCCAAACCAAACTACTGACTCCCTCCCCTCGACTTTCTTCCTTTTGGGCAATCAATGGATTTACTCTGATTTGTGGAGAGCGTCCGGAACCATCTCGACTGTCAATTGGGGGGCTCTTTGCTGCTGTTGCTGTTGTAAACACGGTTAAGACAACAGAGAAAAGGGTGATGTTGCCTTTGCACAGGGTACGCCAATTCCGCGTCTTCTCCGCACTAGTTGTCGGTTCGATTGTGTGTTGCGCGAAAAGGTGAGTGGCTCCTGCTATCCAGTCAAGTCAAGGTTATTGGGTTGATTGATACATGAGTCAAGGTGATGTTTTGCTCTGATTTTCTTTAATCATTCCAGCGTCAATGAACCAGGCAACATGTCTTTCGTAAAGGAGACGGTGGATAAACTACTGAAGGGATATGATATCCGACTGAGGCCGGACTTTGGAGGTAGGTGCCTTATTTACCCACATTATTCCACTTCACGCCGCAGGCAGGCAGCTTTATTTTTGGCGCCATTTACAGTGTTGTGGTCAGGTGTAGAGGTGTAGGCCTATATATACATAATATGCTGTTAACCTCTTCCAGGGGCCCCTGTTGCAGTCGGGATGAGCATAGACGTGGCGAGCATAGACATGGTGTCAGAAGTCAACATGGTAAGTAAATCCACATCTCATAGCCCCCCCTCTCTGTTTACTCGACCTCATAATGCATGCAGCCTTTCCCCCCTTGCTTCTGTGCATTGGCACACACACAACGTGATTTTCTGGCTTTCTTGCTGTAGTAGGAAGTGCTGATGCAAATCCAGTTTTTCCCTCACAGGCCATTATGTGATGCCGAGATGGATGGGCTGGGTTTCCTGTAAGCAATAAAACATCTTTATCTTGCGCGCCGCCAATGCATTGTTACCTTACATACACAGAACACTCAGCCTGGGTGTAAAAAATAAACAGAGTACAGCTTCATCTCTATGCTGATCCGTAGTCATCGGCATCAGAGACTAAAGCAGCAGCAGAGGGTTTACATCCAATATTTGCAACGTAGTGTTTATCCTCACTTTTGCTTTAAATCCGTGTGCTCTGATTGTTAACCTCTCCAGCCACAGTTAACAGTGTTTCTGCAGTATCCTCCCAGGAGGCCCTCTTAGCAGACAGCTATCAGGGAACTCTGATTGGATTTTCTAATTCTTGAGCTGGATGCTGCTATCCCCGTGTTGACACGTGTCCCCACATGCAGGGAAACTTGAGGCGTTACTGTATCTTAAAATATCAGACGAGAATGACCCAAATTACAGCCCGAACCAGCCTACCCGTCTTGCCCCAAAGACCACCGAAAAGGATCATGTTCCGACTCTATCATGAAGCTTTAATCTTGTTTAGGTGGAAATTGTAATTAGTTTGGATCCGAGCACTTGAAATCCACAAGTCTCAGATCAACACATCTCACAGTTGCAGACACAGTTGCTAAAGCATCGAGGCCATTAGGAGTCAAATCCAGGTCATTCAGGAATGCAGGAGTTTGCGCTACATCAACCCAAGCATCGTCGCAGTGAAGAAAGTGTCATTTCCCACCCATAACGTTGGCTTTTTATCGACCAGATCCAGCACAGTAGAAAAGGGCAGATTTTTACCGCACCACACCGGTGAATGATCACCTTTCTTCTGGTGGGAGGTGTGGGCGCATGTGTGGGTGGGCGCCAATCAATAGTAATGACTCAATCATTTCTTCTCCAGGTGACTCTTGGCTATTTTTCCCAGCCTGTGTTAGAGTTTAAAGGAGTATTGCTTGTCCTTTGGCATTTCACAATCAAGGAAAAGCAACAGTTTTGAAATCGGCACCTTTTATTATCGTATGTGATTTCAAGAGAGGGCACGCAAGATCCTTTCTCCTGATTTTCGTGTGACCGGATCTCTCCTCCTGAGGTTGAAGCTCCAGCTTGTTTTTCATGAGTTATTGATCAGTTTTTCCACAGTTAATACTACAGATCATCCAGTATTGGATCTTTAGAAGTGGATCAGTCTCTCTTACTGAACTCCAAGTTACTCCATCAGGCTGGGTCTGGGTAGCAAAACATTTGAAGTGTGAATGTGTGGGAATAAATTAGGGTGGATCCCGATGAGCAGGTTGGCACTTCGCACGCCAGCCTTGCAAGGTGCCAAATATGTGTGAATTTGTGGGTGAATAAGATGACAGGCGGCTAAGGCAAGTGCAGCCTATGCATGAACCATTTGTGTATTGCTTGTTTTTCGTGCATCATCGTCTGATATGTCAAGGTGAGCATTAGTAACACCTTTGCTTCGATTCCATATCAAGTTCCTTGTGGCGCAACTCAACAATCTCTGGCAAAACAGGAAAGTCACATTTAAGCGTGTCTACCTGACAGTGTTTGGCATATTTCCCAATCAAACCTTGCGTCAGATCCGAGGCTCCAAGCTTTGTTTGCCAACAAATCAGCTGCGAACATTAACTTGTCGACAACAAGGCCATTCTCCAAAGAGAACATGAAGGCAGATAATCAACCGGGGAATCAGACAGCTGAGATCACACTTAAACTGATAATTAATGAGATCCTGTTCTGATTGCTACCACTGCACATGTGCCTCTTCTTGTTAGACAGACAAGTCCTGGCTATTATCCAGCGCCCAAGCCAAAACAAGACCGGTCAAGCTGTTTGTTATTTTCACACCCGCGTTTGACATTTGGTGGATGCTTTTATCCAATGCTGGGACCGTCTGAAGTTGAAGCACGGGAGAGTTTCTCTTATGGGAAATGGATAATCAGCGCTTTTGTCCATGCTGTACCCAATGCTTTATTCGATGTGCTACACTAAACAGCAAAGCTGCTCTGTTTGTAAAAATATTCCATTTCAAGTTGCGAGGCTTGATCCTGTATGAATTTGAATTTTTAATCCAAATTCAGCCACTAAATCCACTTCATCAGCCCAGTGGGATGACCCACAGGCATAACGAGGGAACAAGTTTTAGAAGTTGAGTGTTTATAGAGACACAGATACTGCTTGCTTTGCTGAAATGAGACCGGGATCCAACTCAGCATGTTTCTACAAGGAGCACAGCTTTGTTGCAAAACAATGATGGAATTTTTCAGGCTTGAAGTGACGTTTTCTTTCAGGATGAGGAAAAAAATGCCTGTTTAATGCAGTTTGTGGGAAAACCAAAGCAGAACTGAAGCATCTCCTCATTGAAGTATCATGTTCAGAGGGTAATCATGTGGACTAATCTTAAGGTCAAAGAACAGCAGAGGTTAACAGGGTTGTGGATAAATCAGTGCACAGGGCTAAGGTTAGGCATCAAATTGGAGGTTAGAGCTGAAATGAAGAGGTAGCAAAATGAGTGTAGATCAATGGAGTGTTTTTGCACAATAACAAAGTGGCATGAGTGCACACATGCAAGACTCATATGGGATCGCACAGCCTCTGATTGGTCAGCAGACCATAGGATAGTCAACTTACAGCAGAAATCACAAACATCCAAATCCAAAATCTGATTTCGAAGATCAAATGTGTCACTCAAACTACTCTCAAAACACCTTTAGTGGTTTAGTTTAGTGACTTCTCAATTTAGTTCGATCTGACCAGGCTGCGTATGCCACAATAGCCAAGTCCTTTGAAGGTTGCAGCCATAGACTCTATCTACTATAGACAACTTGGTTCCGCCTTTCGCCAGTATACAGATTTGAAGCCAAAAAGCTCTCGGTAATTCAGCGTTTTTTTTTCTCCACTTCCTGAAACCAACATTGCATAGTAGTATTGTACTAATTTGGCAGGAGAGTCGCCGAGAATCGCTGTGATGACGCTCGGCTCAAATCTTCGTACGCCCATAGGCTGTATCAAGTGTCAATCATAGAAAACATGAACCCCTTAATAACTTTTAAAAACAGAGCTGTACAGAAAAAAAAGGACTTGAGCACAAACCAGTCTTATCATAACTACATGTCAACATCGCAAACAGGGGGGAGAAAAATTTATATTCTGTGTAATAAATTCCTAAAGTTTGTCCACAGCTCCATAGGGATTGCTGGCGGAGGCAGGATTTATAACCTATACTGCAGCCAGTCTGTTCTTGCGGTGACTTCACCCAGCGAGGAGGCAGACAGCGTCCATTCTATATACAGCCTATGGTTGCAGCCCCTGGATTTTAGGGGTGGGAGAAAAAATCGATTCACATAAATATTGCGATTTTTTGCTTTTTAATTTATAAATCCAGTTTTTATGTTCGAAAACAGATTTTTTTTTTAAAATTCATTACATGAATTTAAAATTCCTTACATGTTATGTGTATTTTTGGGGAAATAAGATTCCTAGAATAGTCAGAAGACAATCATAATCATTCAACTGTTTCACTGGTGTTAAAAATGCAGACTAAAAATTGAGAAAATCTACAATATCGTAGAGTTGCAGTTTAAACTGAATCCAAAAAATCATAGAAGAAACTAATTGGGAGAAAAGCAAATCATCCCAGCCCTACTGGATTTAGGAGGCCAGTATGTAGTACTGCTCTGTTTTTAGAGCTGATAATGGAGGCACAACAGTATTTAGTTGTGTACGGCAGCATTTTTCCTTTGACACATGATGTCAAAGCTGAAACCAGTTCTGATCTTGAACTAGTTTCAGCCCTGTTACCATGTTGCACACCAGCGAGGTGTTACTTACAGATAAATGTGTTACGAAGAAATTGGTCCTCTGACAGTTGCAAGAGTGCAGAAAATGGGTATGTGTTGCTGGGCAACAGTCCAACAGTACCATATATTGTACATACTTTGGCTCCATCCTAGTTTTAGATGCGCGGCGTGAGTCCATCAACTAAAACTGGAGCAGGGATCTGTGCAGACCTTAGACCATCAGACGTGGGACATATATGAGGGCTGAAAACCATGAGATCTAATGATTTATTGAGTCACTAAGCGAAACAGAAAAGAGCAGAGGGGATCGAAGACGTTAGACTTTGACAGAAAGGTAAGGGATGAAAGCGGGTAGGTATCTGATCGAAAACGCGACGCCAGCCCGCTTGACAGTAAGCGAATGTAGCATCTGGCTCGCCCGAGAATCCACCTGGCAGGGCAGGTTGTCCAAGTCAGTTACTCCGACGCCTTCGCAGCGAGCGAGCTCCCCGCACTAGCAGATGCTGGAGCGTCTGAGAAGGCGCACTAATTACCTCGGAGGTTTGTTTGTGGTGTGCCGGGGGCTTTCACTGATGAGAAACACATACAAGGACAAGATCAGAGCAAGGCGAGATAGATTATGTGAGTTCTGAGGGTGAGCTGACTTGGAAACTAGTCGAAACATTTAAGTATAGATGTGTTTAAAAAGAGATGTGACAGTTTGCAGTCTCAAATCCCTTTTGAAAAGTTCACAGCTCATTAATGAAGTTTACGACCAGCATGGAGGCATTATGTGTAGGTGTGCTCTCCTCTCGCTGCGACCGACTAAGAAGCTTGATTCTCTGTTACAGTAAGAGCCATCAAGGCCTTTATGCCGGCCCATTATCCGTGCTTCATGAAAGTCATCATCATTTTGGGAAATTAAATTAGTGCACAATGAAGCTAGCTCTGCTCACACTGGGAAATGGTCAGAGTTTTTTAACTGCGAATGTAGTTGCAGTAACAGACTGAGCAAACTAGTCATCCATACGCCCACGACTGTGCGTGGGTGTCAAAGAGAAAAAAATCTGTCATTATGTAGAGGTGAAAAGATCTCTCTTTCTCCAAATGTTCCTGCTGCTGCTGCCGGGTTTGTTTTTTCGGACTTCTTCTGCAGAAACTAAACTTGTGCACCAGTAACACAATAACAAGCTGCGTGTGTATCTTCACTGTCGTTGTTTCATATTGTGTGCCGGTGTCTACATGTCCCCCCGAGTGACCTTATTTGGTCCTCAGGTTAATTAAGTTTCAATCACAAATCCTACTCTGACCCTGGCTGTGCCTCGATCGCCAAGGTAACCACACGTGTGCATAAATTAAACCATCAGATGTTGCCTGGGCAGGCGCTATGTCACCCTAATTATCTTATATAGGTCTTCTAACTATGCAAAAAAGAGCATATCTTCTCTGTGTGCTCTGAGTGTGGCTTAATATACCCCCATGTCTTTTATCCAGCATCCGGCTTCCTTCCTGATGGAATGTAATTGGCCTCAGGAGAGAGCACGCTGTAGGATGAAATGATTATCACTAAGATTTAGAATAAGCAGAGCAGGCACTTCCTGGTTCGCAGTGCCAACCCGTGCATGATATGAGGAGGCATTGTCTGTTCTTTACAGTCTGATTCTACAGCCCTGTCATGATAATAGCCGCGCTCTGGGCTGCATACACCTTTAAGATGCGGCACGTATTGGCCTGGGGATTCTAAAATTGACAGACGACGACCTCATTTCCTTTATCCGTGCCACTTAAGCAGCTGTTATGATGTGGCAAATAAAGAGGGGCAGGCGAACTACGAGCTGGAGTTACGACAGGGGTAATTGGAAGGATCATCAATCAACAACCTGATCCCAGAGTAATGGTCACAAGCAATAGAGTGGCTATAAAAACTCAAGGACTCGCATTAAAGCTACTATAGGGAGTTTTTGAGTGTTGACGTTATGAACTGAAATTTATATGGATGCCTTTTTATAAAGCCCAAAAGCAAATGAGAGCATCAGCTGCAAAATTAATGACATAACTATGTAATTTTTAACGTCTAAAAAGGGTGTGCATGTAAGGTGAAGAAAGTTCGTAAATTAGCTTAAAGCTCCTGTGAGGAACTTTTCAGTTTGTCTTTGAATATCTATCCTTCAAGTACCTAAGTTGTTTTCTAATGAATAATCACGTCCCACTGACTTTTGACAGTCAAATCGATCATTTATTAAGAATATTCAATGCGTAAAATGTAAAAATAAGTTTCTTTTTTAAGCAGGTTAGCTGACATCAATCAACAGCCTGTTTCCACAGTAATGGTTTCAGGCAAAAGAGCGGCTATAAAAACTCAAGGACTTGCATTAAAGCTACTATAGGGAGTTTTTTAGTGTTTCCGTTATAGACTGAAATTTATATACGGATGCCTTTTTATAAATCCCAAAAGCAAAAAAGAGCATCATGAATGACATATACCTGTAATTTTTAATGCCTGAAAATGGTGTGCATGTGTGGTGAAGAAAGTTTGTAAGGTAGCTTAAAGCTCCTGTAAGTAACTTTTCAGTTTGGTAGAGTCTTTGCTTATCTGTCCTTTACACGCCTAAGAAGTGTCTTCTGATGAAAAATCTCATCTTGCTGACGTTTAACAGTCAAATTGATTCAGATTCAGACAACTTTATTAATCCCCGAACGGCAATTCACTTCACAATAAACCCTGCCTTGTTGTTAAACGATCACTGAACGGACAAATGCCAGACATTCACAGCAGCATATGGCCCAAACATTTCCCTGTCAGCACCACAAATCAGCGATACATAAATAACTAGATAATAAATACATGTGCAATACGATCAACAGTGGAATGACTGAAATGCAACAAGAAATAATGTGATAAAAGGAGTAAAATAAGAACTGAAACAATTCTGAGACCCCAATTTCAACACCCCAAAATCCAACACTGGCCACCAATCAGCTACTTCTCTGCATTAAGCAGCCTGATCACTGAGGGGATAAATGAGTTTGAGTACCTATTTGTTTTTTTGGGGGGAGCATAGTAGTGCCCCTCCAGAGGGCATGAGAGAAAAGTCTGAGAATTTATCGGCGAGACGATCTAATCGGCTACTTTTAGCCCGTTTGAGACTAATCGGTCATCGGCCAAAACTCGCCGATATTTTCAGAAATAAAATACGGAGAATATGATTCGGTTTCACTTCGAAAATGTTCCGCCATTTGAAAAGTTCCCCGACTTATCCTGTAGATGGCGCAGCGACCTCATGACAATCTTCATCCACTAACTACCTCACAGCACAGCAGAGTGACGGATCTAAAGCAGACAGCTCAGGGACGCACGGAGAAGAGTGGTCCGCCTCAACGGTAAATAAACCAGTTTGTGAAATACACAATAAGTCAACAAGTTTCAGTTCAACCCACTTCACGATGTTCCCCGCTGTGCTGGTCTCGGTCACGCCGAGTTAACGGTGAAGCACCATGTAATATGCAAGCTAAAGTTAGAGTTAGCCATCTGCTATTAGCCTTGCTACACTGTTAGCCGTGCCAGTAACGGCAGAATAAACAACAGTACACATTACATGATCGAGCTACTTCTCTTACTGAGGCAGCTGCATGTCTCCAGATGAGACCGGACCAGAAATAAGTAATGTGAGTTAAGACGCGGAGGCATCGATCACAGTTTTTTCGGTGTCTTTTCTGGTCCGAGTTTGATCAGTCGGACCACTTGTTTCTCCCAGAGAGAGCTCAGGTCCATCAGCTGTACCCCGGTGATTTTGGAGCAGACTTTTACGATCTGGTTCAGGCTGTTCCTGTCTTTTTTACCGATAATCCATGAAACCAGCAGATAAAAGAGAACGTTAAAAGACTTTCAATAAAAGAATGATAAAAACAAGACAAGATGCCCTCAGAAACACTAAAAGATCTCAGTTTCCGCAACAAGTGAATCCTTTGTTGACCTTTTTTAACTATTGTCTCTGTGTTCTGAACAAACTTCAGGCCAGAGTCAAACATCGTTCCAAGATACTTGTAAGAGTCAATAATCTGTACATCTTCCCCATGGATGATGCTAGCCTCAGGTAAAGGCCCACGGTCAGTCTGTCTGAAGTCGATTATTATTTCCTTGAAATTGATCATTTATTAAGAATATTCAATGTAATAAATGAAAAATAGGGCTCTTCCTCCTCGCAGTTTCAGGCATAAAAATGACCATATCTTGTCGCTGATGGTTTTGATTGCTTTTGTTTTGCTTAAAAAGGCATCAACATGAATTTCAGTCTGTTTTATAAACATCGGGAAACTCCCCACAAGAGGACAAGATAAAAACAGCGGTCACCAAAATCGACCCAAACCAAAAGTTTCCTACAGGAGCTTTAAATAATTGGACACCTTGGAGAGGACTTAATGGTTTCAGTCAGAGTTACATATGGTAAAGGAGGAAGCGACAATACTCTCTAAGGTCATATATTTTATTTGTGATGAAAAAAACAACACACTGAGTAAAATATAGGCTTGTTTGGAGGATGTGCTGTGAAAATCAGGCGTGTTGGAGATGCATTTTGTACAAACATGAGTACTGATACATTTCCTTCTGCGTTCAAGCCTGAATTTAATCCCAGATGCTGTCTTAATCCAGAGTAAAACAACAAGGGTTTCCAGTACATGTTTGACTTGTAACTGTCAACATGTCCCTGTAACTATGGAAACAAATACACCCAACAAATGCTCAGTGTTTCTCATTCAAGTGGGGGGACTGTGGCTCACGAGTATGGAGCAGTTTCTTAAAGGGAGCCTGTAATCAAACCGAGCTGATCCAGCCTCATTGGTGGAGAAAGGTTCAGGGTTTGATCCCAAGACTTTAACGCTCATTTATGCTGTATGTTAGATAGGCATGAAGTACAAAAGTACAAACTCACACGACAATAATCTCTGTGCATCCGTTTGTAGATGAATATCACGAGGGAGTACGAAATGTCCAAAGTGAGACGTCAAGCTGGTCGAGCAGCTGTTCGACATTCCTGGGGGACTTTTTTCTCCCGAACCTCGGACAGTCCTGTAATTTCCAGAGTCTATATAATACACTGGGAGTCTAATAAATTCCCAGTGTAGTATTGATTTTCCTCAGAAATACTGGTCTACTTCTGGTCTCTGTGGATCTGCAGCCATTGGTTTAAAGACAGAATGGATGTGATTTTAAGGCGCTAGCAGGGGTAGATGATGAGAAGAGTTTGACATGGAGGTGTCTTCAAGGTTTATTTTTGGCAAAAGTTTGCAGATAACTCGTAAAATAAGTTCTCCTCTATAATGAGGGGAATAACAGGGTTTCTATTTCTTCTGATGTACAGTATGCTGTTTTACAGGCAACATTATGCCTTACATGTATCCCACATCGGCAGATGTAGTGTATCTGGACCAGTTGAGCCTGAAAACGTTGTTTTATCTCATGAAGTGTGTCACAGACACCTCTGGGACAACCTCCTGACAGAAAGTCTAGCACGTTTGATTTTTCTCTCTGCCTTCTACAACTTGATCCGCCTTGATCTGTCTTGATCGCTCTGCAGAAGCGAAAAGGAAACTACAGAGTTAGTGCTGCAGGATGGATCTATGAGGACGTTTGACATGCCTGTCTTTATGAGGCTTTAAAGCTCCAGTAAGGGATTTTTTTATTATGTAATAAAGGGAAATTGCTTTTTTATGATATCCAAAAGCAAATGAGACCATCAGGGATAAGACTGATGATTTTCAATGTAATGTTCACGACAAATGATAACTTAAAAGTCAGAGTGAGAAGATTTTCTGTCACAGGAGCTTTAAGTTTACAAGTTCCTTTATTTATATCTTTTTGCCTCTTTGTGCATGTTTTAGAGCTCACAGTCTTTTTATCTGAGGCCTTGGTTTGTTATTCCTACTTGTAGCGGCAATCTGTCTTACTCCCCGTTGCCACCACTAATAGGCAGTTTTCTGATTGACTTATAAAAGGATCTTCCCAGCCAGTAACTCTGTTCCAAAACTTTACCGAGAATAGCACGAATGAAAAAAACAAAGTTACAAGATTCACTCCTGGTATTTACTACTGTCAAAAAACCGTATTGCTCCTAAGTAGGGTTGCAAAATTCAGGGAATTTTCAAAGTTGGAAACTTTCCATGGGAATTAACGGGAATTAATTTGAGCCCAAAGCACAAGACATTTGAGCCCACGGACTATATAAAGTCAAGGAAGTTTTGATAATATTATGGGGTAAATATATTTGATCTATGACAGTATTAATATTTAATTTGCAAACATGAAATAAAAATAGGTGTTAAATGTAAGCTATTTTTCATTTCATTGACCATTTAAGGGGCTATCTTATTATGGTGGTGGTAGCGACCTCAAATGTGATGCTGTTACTTTAATTTTACAATAATTTAAACATCAATTATTCATTATTTTGAAGACCATTCCAGTTGTTTAGCCAACTATGTTTCTATTCATGCCACTGCATTAGTGTTTTTACAAGCTTTTTTGTTTTTTTTATTCTACAGAAAAATGCCACGTTCGCCATCGCTACTCAAATAAATAGATAGATAGATAGATAGATAGATAAAGAACTTTATTAATCCCCGAGGGGAAATTCGGTTGTTGTAGTAGCCGATACAAGCAATACAAGAGAAATACAAAAAATAGATAAAATATACAAGACTATACAAGACTATACAAGATAATGAATGAATATGAGTACTTAAATAGTATGTACTAAGATGAATGAATCTGTAAGTGTAGATGTGCAAAGGAGAAATGTGCAAAAGTGATAAAAATATTGTATGATACTTATATGTGCTTAATATAACTTAATTACAACCTAAGCATGTGTACCCGTATTTATAACAACAATGTAGGAATGGCAGGCTAGTCCATGTAAGTGACTGAAAATCTGTTGACATGTTTTTTAATTGTATTATTTTTGCATGGATGTCTGCTTATGTCAAAACAAAAAAATTTACATTTATGTTTGGATATGATACAGTTTGTTTAAATTACCCCCAATTTCCAGTTGATTCACATAAATTTCCAATAATTCCCATGGAAAGTTTCCAATGTGGAATATTTCCTAAATTCCCCAGCTTAACTTCCCATGGAAAGTTTCTGGAAATTTACCGGAAATTTACCGCCCCTTTGCAACCCTACTCCTTAGGCTGTTTACCCCGGTCTGAGAGCCAAAATGCCATGACATCAGCAGCAGCGCGCTTAAAGGGGCAGTTCAACATTTTAAAAGAAAAATTTCCGCACTCTCAAATTAACCAATGTCAATATGGCTCTTCAGGCGAAAACATACAGGATCCATATTTGGAGCCAAAGATATGCGGCAAGTCTATTTTTGCTGCTCTACGCTTCCATTGCGCGTCAATCCACACAGAGAAGATCATTCAAGACAGGAAGTCAAGCATGAAAAACGCACACGTCATCCGATATTTCAAAATAAAACACCATATGCGAACTCCTGACTGTGTATCAGTTGGTGTGGATGAGAAATACTTCCTGGTTATGGATTTATCAGCAACAGAATAATCAAATGGTCAATCCCTGATCCATGTGGACCCCAACAGGACTTTTAACTGCTAACTCTGTCTGAAGGTAACAGCACAGCATAAAGGAACATAATTACTTTATTAAACACGAGTAAACCTGCAAAAACTGAAACTGTAAAATCACATTCCACATACAGTAGAGGCTCAACGGTCACTAGATAATATCCAAATTAGCAGGAAATAAGCCACAGAATAGCAAAACAACTTGCACCATGCTGCTGTTATGCTCCAAATAGGCATCCTGTATGCGATGCCCAATGCATCTCTACGGAGCAAATAAGGAACGTGCTCAAGACGGATCCTGTATGTTTTCGGCTTTACACAACTGCTTGGATTTGCCTTCTTTATAAAAAACAAAAAGTTCACACACTCTTGGTAACATTTATCCAGGCCTCAAAGTCATTCAATGTTTGTGAATATGTCACACAAACCCTGTTTACGTACAACAAATGTTCCAGATGTGCGACAAACATTAGGCATGCAGCGCTAATGACTCATTCTACCCTTGTTATGAGGCAATACATCAGGAAACATGAGACAGCGAGGATATTATCCTTCAAATTGCAGGCCAACACTTCCATTTGTAGGGGAAAACCCCAATTCAATCACCTCCCGGTGTGTCCTCTCAATAAGGGACAGAGCTATTTTTACCATTCTATAGCAGCAGGAGGGAACTCGCTGAGGGATTCCCCCGCACTGCGGTGATATACTGCCTCAGGGAGGTCCCCAGGGAACGCTCCAAATTACATTGAAGAGACTCAGATTGCTTGACTTGAACAGGAGGTTCATTTCAAGTACACAGTGATTACATATCATATCATCTTTTATCCTCGTTTCTTTATGCGGCCGGTGGTCATTTATTTGTTTTACTGCTGTTATGAATCCGGCATGTGTCACCTGCAATGGTAATGAACACATTTATTCAGTGTGAAAACGAGTAGCATATGCTTCAGACAGAGGGCGTACACTATGTGGATATTTCCTAGATACTGGGGGTATCGCAACATAGCAGTCAGTGTGCTCGCACTGCAGAGAGAGAAAGAGAGAGAGATTAAATTGAATATGGGTCAGTTCACAGCCAAAACTCTGCTTATCTGAATTCTCACACACCCTGAATGAAAGTGATTATCCAGTCGAGTTAATTGAATAATTGAGGCTTGCTGGAAATCATTTCCACTGGTCAGTGTCGTTATCGTGGCTGAAAACATATGCTAATAACCAAACAGCAGAGGCGAAGCTGTTGCGTGCTGGGAATCGGTGTTTGTTGTGGGAAATGAGAGAGTTGTCAATAATTCATAATCCATAGTCCTAGTTCATCGAGATTCTTGAAGAGAGAAAAAAAAAAAAAAGTTCCAGGGCAGGTGATGCAAAGCTGCAGCAGTCCTCATCAAGAATTCAATCTGATTGTCTCCATGAAATATTGATGAGGGCTCCTTGGCTGTGTGTTTGTACAGGCTACATGGTTAATTTAAATCATTTATGTCTTACGAGGGGTGTGTGTACACTGGAGCCACATGCTGGGGCCGCCCACCTGCTGATCCTCTAGCGGAAGATGGAAACGCATACCTCGAGCGCGGCGCTGCCGGGGCGAGGGGGGGGGGGGGTAGAGGAGTGATGAGACAAGGGCGAGAACACGGCGGCGCAAAAGAGAGTTATTTGTTAGGATTGATGGAGGGTAAGGTTCCCGTGGTAATGGAGGGAAGGTGTGGGGAAGCTAAGTCTACAGCACTCATTTTCACAACAAATGTAATTTTAAATCCACATACTGGGATCAATCCACATTGACCGCTTTAATGGGACTATGATTGATAACAATTGTTATCCTTCATGTCACAAAATGCTGGAAAATGACAGGGATTTATTTTCCTGTCTGCTAAAGGAACAGGAGGATGATTAATGCGGTAATATCAGCACCACGGCAGCTTTCTGATCTAGGTGGGTAATTCTAGGGGGGGAAGATGAACCGACGGATAAGAGGTTGTCGGGTATTGCCCCATTAAGCTTAGAAACTTGAAAATAACAGATTTAGCAAAAAGGGTAAAAAAAACACACATCTGCAGTGTCTTTCATTCCTGTTATACAAGGCAAAATTTGTTCTTGTATCCTGTCTGCATTGCTTGTGCAACTGATTTCTGCAGTTTTCAATAACCAAACTTGGGATTTGGTTTCTGCCTGTGATAGCAAATATTAAAACCATGAAAAGAACCCTAAAAGTGCTGTCTTTTTATCCAGAGTACATATGTGCTGGCTCAGATGTTGACACAGCTCTGACCTAGCCTGGCCCCGTCCTAAAACAGCGTCTCATGAATGACTCGTTTTACCCTGAGATTTCGAAGAAGTAAAGAAGTCTGCTGTTGCATCATTTGGAAACCCTAGGAATTTAAAGGGCCAATCCCCATGCTTTAGAGGCACACCTTTGCAATTCATAGGGACACGCTAAATCAGTACAAGAGTATCATGAGGGATGGATGTTAAGTGCTATTTTTAAACCTGGGCCTTATATTCCAATGTGTCTGTGTGTTTGGGTACTTTGGCACAACCAGAATGACTCCGTCAATCGATGCCATGGTTGCACCACTACACTGTATATTCATGGCTGAGTGCCAGTGATCTTTCCTTCCCATGCTGTGTGACCAATCTGGATCCTGTGCTGACTAAGATCTCCCTGTTCACATCTCTGTGTGCTAACCAAACGTGGTAAACACATTCATGGGTTAGACAGAAAGAAAAAAAAAAACAGGATATAAAGGAGATTGAGTATTTTTTATTTTTTTGCTAATCTCTAAAATTTCATGCAGCGTTCAGCGGGACACACACACAACAATGTCGGTTATGTAACAACACGTGAAGCCGCGCTCGTTGCTTCGGCGGTTGTGATTTATTTGTTTATTGCGGTCGTGAACCTTAGAGCTGCAGCGCGGCACCGACGGACATGCGCGCTTTTGCCACTGCCAGCTCGGTGCAGGCTGGTTTCATTTCAGCACCACAGCAGGCAGAAGGGAGATTGTGGCATTGCCCTGAGAGGAAGAGAGAGGAAAGGGGGGAGGGGTGCAGGCAAACAGAGATAAACACAGAAATAGAGAAGTTAGATGTTGTCTTTAAATCGTTCAATAACTGAGCTGGATCCGTCCTCGACTTGACTCTAATTGACTTGCTTGAAATTTGTATTTTTTTTAACCCTTGCCTGGACTTTGAATACCTCTGGCCATTGTTTTTTTGGCTGTTCTCTGGATGGTGAGGGTTTGCCACACTAAGAGAGTCAGAATTTTACAATTATTATTTCTTGTTTATTGTTTCTTGTTCAAGATTGTTTTTGTTATAAGAGGTGGTGATGGAAACATTATCGCACACCTTTAAATGAAATTAACTGGATATTACTGTTCAACTTTTGGGTTTAGGACTTTCAAAACCGAAAAAAAAATTCACTTTTCTTGTCAAAGTTTTATCAACAAACCAAAAAACCTTACTACCATCTGTTGATAGTAAAGCATCAAAGCGCATCTGGTTGCCTGAAGTAGCTTGCTTTATGATCCAGCAGAGGGCGCTGTGATTGTAACCTGGCAAATCTGTTTACTCTTGACAAACCAAAAAGCAAACTAAAATAGAGATGTAATTCCAAACAAAATGGAGGTCATGGTCAAGCAAAGCCAGCATGTCTCGTATGACACCTCTTTAGAAATTAACGGTTCACTACACCAGTGCCTGAATCAGGCCTGTCGCGGATATAGCAAATTAGTGTTGTGTCAGTTGCGAACGATTCGTTCAAAAGAACTAAATCTTTTACGTGAACGTACTGAACTAAATTGCTTCCTCAAGTGATTCGTTCGTTTCTCACTTCAGTTGAGCTGTCAACAGGGCAGATGCTATAGCACGCAGCATTGCCAGGCAAGCAGCTGGCGAACAAGGGATCGCATGCAGCGATGCCTGAATCACTTAAATGATTCACGCATTGAACTACACTCTCTGGAATCATTTTTGTAGGACAAAACTAACTTTTTTAATTTTCACTGCTTAATTGCCACCACAACAACTTGCATACAATAGGACACAGCATGTAACAAGTAGTTCATTAAACCCGCAGCATCCTATCATTGCAGCGGTTTGTGAGGGAACGGTGCATGTTCAGTGTGAATTCTACTAAACGTTCAGTGAACGAATCACTCACTGAGCCCAATTTACCTAGCCTGGCTGGGACATCCTGTTGCGTGAATCACTTGCCGTTCCTTCCCACAACAGTCTGGACTTCGGCCCATTGGGAGCGTGTATTCCTGATCAGAAAGAGATCATTTAGATCCGCAAAAGACGTTGGATATAAACGATTTCTGCCAACTTTGCAAAGTCAACTGCAGAATTAATGGCGTTCTGAATGAACGGCGCATTGAAAAGTCCCGAAGCATGTGTTAGACGTCACCATCTACACATGGACCAATCAGGGGCTGCCTTTCCCTGTTGTCCGGGGAACAGTGGAAACACAGTCACTGATTGGCCCAGTTATTTTCTGATCGGGAATACACGCTCCCAATGGGCCGAAGTCCAGACTGTTGTGGGAAGGAACGGCAAGTGATTCACGCAACAGGATGGCCCAGCCAGGCTTCAATTTACCGAGCAGACCTGATAAATAGCATACCATAGCACAGTACACTTTAAACATCATGATTTTTAAACAAGTTGTTACAAACCTGTTTGCCAAAGCAACACAGTCAAACACTCTCATCTCCTGGTCCCAGAAACTATGAACTGAACTGAATCCTGAACCTCTCAGCTGTGTATCAGTCCAGGAGATCGGAGTCACAGGCTCCTCCCGCCAAGCACTGAATGATTCGATGAACAAATCTCTTGAACAAATCTTTTTCCTGAACTGATTCTAGTGATTCAGTACATCTAAAAGAACTGCTGTGCCCATCACTACAGCAAAGCCAAAAGGCTTGTAAAACTACATACATTGGTACTATATTAGCTGTAGCATGTAAAAGTGACAGTGCCGACATGAATATTTAGCAGTTCCATGTCTATTTTTAACCCCTTTTAGCTGGCAGCATATGCTAATTAGGGTTTAACACAAAATACAGCGGCAGATGATGGTCATTTGTTTTCTAGGTACAGAATCGTTCTCCCTTGGAGGCGTATTGTTAGCGCGCCTAAAGGTCATCGCTTGATGAATCAACGAGAAGGTGCTCATTAACATAGTTACCGCAGAACATGGAGTAAGCACAGCAAGACTGGCATAAATTATTCAATATAAAACTGTTATTAAAAGCGAGATCCGCCATTGGCCAGCTGAATACATTGCGGTTTCAACAGTTTTGAGTGCGCATAAGCAATGACTGGTTTTTGTTTACTTGACCTAAAGTAGATGTAAGACAAGCATGTTGTTGAAACTAGCTGGAACAGCAGAGCGTCTTTATAGAAAGAACTAAATGCCAAAGCTTCTGTATAGTGCATCCGAGCAGTTCAAATTTGTTCCTCTTAAATCCAATTTGATTAACAAATTGGCACTTACCTCTGAGGATAATAAAATAAAGTGTTGCTGAAGGCGGTTTATTTTGTTTTGGTCCCTTATGGAGAAAGAAATGTAGCTCGGCAAACAACAAAAACCACTCAAGCCTCCTCGGTGGCGTACAGTTGAGGGTATTTTACTGTTATTTGTGAAGCTGAAGTCTCAAAAGACAGCCTTTTAATACAAATGAAAGGGAGCATATGCTCAAGAGGCAATCTGGCTCCATTATAGGTCAACTTGGACTTGTGAGTCACTGTAACTATCATGGCGGTGCACTACTGTTGATGTATTTGATGAAATTTTCTATGAAACTTTCACTCATGCCACATGAGTCAGCCTGCCCACGTAGCTGTTGTAAAATGGCACATCACTGTATGAGTTACTGTTTTCCAGAAGGGAAGGTACATGCACTTTGGAGAATTTGGCTGCAGTGTGTGAACCAGTTGGCCTGCACTCCTTCCAGCTTGTAGGATGCTGTCAGATAAATATTAGGAGCGCTCACAGTGGGGAACAGGCAGAGCAAACATTTCAGAGCTGTTAATATTTGCTTCTGTGGTCTGCAGCAGCTTGTTAAACGCAGGGGTGACTTGCAGTGTCTGGAAACTGAAAGTTATTAGAATAAAAGGTGGAGCATGTTTGTGTTTGTGTTTGTTTGTGTGTGCGCCTCATTCTTATTGTGTTTTTTCTTCTGCTTGTACCCGTAGGACTACACGTTGACCATGTATTTCCAGCAGTACTGGAGGGACAAGCGCCTAGCCTACATAGGAATCCCCCTTAACTTGACCCTGGATAACAGGGTTGCTGACCAGCTTTGGGTCCCCGACACCTACTTCCTCAATGACAAGAAGTCTTTTGTCCACGGAGTCACCGTTAAAAACCGAATGATCCGCCTGCATCCAGATGGAACTGTTCTCTACGGCCTCAGGTGAGTCATTTCATACCGCAGACACATGATGTCAAGCCTACGTTCAATGAAACATGCAAGTGAATGCGCCGCAGGAACTTTCGCGCCAAAAACCGTCAACTGGATGTAGGACTGGGCGATTATATGATTGTGATCGATGATCGTGATAAATTTCTGTTCGATCACAGTGATCAGCTGTTAGCATATTTACTCGATCAAACATAGCGGAAATGTGCGTAACAACAGCCAATCAGAGTCGAGCTTTTCCTGCTCACTTCTGTAAGTTGCTGGAGAAGTAAACAGAATGACCGAACGTGGAGCAAAACGCGGAGCCGAAGTCAGCCGTGACTTTGAGTTATTCGCCGAAGATGTTAATGTTGAAAAGTTATTCAACGTCGGTTGTGTGGCGGTGGTTTGGGTATCTCCAAAGTGACGTTGAGCAATTCAGCCGATGTGTAAGGTATGTCATCGATCGGTGTCCTCAAAAACCGGCTACACAACAAATCTATTTAATCATTAAAAGAAGTACTTCCTGAGTGATTATGCGGAAAGCGTGAAAATGTGAGTGGAGTCTGTACAGCCTATCACTGCTGACGGCACGAGTAGAATTAGTAGTTTAGCTACAACTAGCTGTGCAGCCACCAGACCAAACCAGCAATCAATCGTATCAACTACGTTTACATCATCTAATGTTTACATTTTAAGGCGTCTTCATTATCCCTGAGGGGGCCATTTGTTTATTTTGGGTCTTGCACAATGACTGTAAACTAGTTCACTGTATGATTTAATATTTATCTACATTTGTTGTACTGTTGAGTTAAAATGGTTTTTATATTTTTCTAAGTTTATCTTATTCACTTTGCTTTGTTATTTATTTGTATGTTCATAAAATGTTGAACTAATCTCTAGTTTCTTTAGTTTTCAGTACTGATACTTTATAACTGGCTGTGTAAAAAAAATTGGGATAATAATCGAGATCGGACGATACAACAAAACATATCGTGAATTTTTTTTTTTTGCCAAATCACCCAGGTCTAACTGGATGTGATGTGACCTCAGGTTGTCCTGCTGGTTGAGCTGATGTCCACCATCGTTTATTATGAATGTTTTTATGAGCGGCCTTAAGCTTGTAATTAGGAGCCTTTCGAGTGGGAGCAGGAAAAATAATGGCCACAGGGGAGACTTTAAGAGGAGGAGCAAAGAGACCCAGTGGAGCAGACATGAAGTGAGTGACCAGTGTTAGTTAACCATATCTAACGCTGCGTCTTTGCATGCTTAACTTGCAAGTCGCACTCGTAAACATATTACAGTGATTCCAGGGGTAAAAAGACTTCTCACTTGCGCAGTTTCAAGTTAATTCCTTATGTTTAAAGCCCAATTATGGCACCACAGTTGGCCATGCTGGGAACTTGGCAGTTATCTGCTCTTGGCTACTGAACAGCCAGAGGATTACAGTATGTGTCAAGCTCAAGGGCACAGTGGCATTTAATTTTTAAGGAAGGGAGTGTGCAGTCAGAGATCAGCGATCAAACGGAGTGATGAACAGGCCAGAAGGTGCATTAATGCATTGTAAAGCCTGCAGCTGGTGTTTGATATTTGTTTCATAAAGCCCTTGTTTTGAATTTCGATTGATCTTTCGGACAAGCGGGTTCAGAAGAGTAAGTGCGACCTATGAATATGGATGCGTGCTTTGAATAAAATGAGCGCAAAGTGAAGAGTGCGCGTGTTTGCCAGCATGCTTACATGCTTGTGTTTACTGTATGTACTATATCTGTCAGTCTTTATACTCGACAACAATGCCTGATTATGCAAGTAGAGTTCAGAGCACTTAGCATTGTGGGATGCTTATAGGTGCTCAATGAATACAAGAGATCAAAGAGTGGGGAAGATGTGGTGTGGTGTTTTTAAAAGGAGCTGTTACATAAATGTATGTCAGGTGAGGCTTAATGGCATGCTGGATACAGATTCCTTTTATGGGATTAAGAAAGGTATGATTACCTGTGCTGGTGAGCGTTTCAGGGATCATGGAACGAATTATAATTTCAATATTTTTTTATCAGCTACACATTAAATTGGCTGGGAGTCGTAAATAATTTACATATATTTCAGCTGCGCAATAGAACTGCAATGGATTTCTACTCTTAGTAATTCAAGTTACTCTAATCTCTATATCAAAGATGGATTTGCCCTGGATCAGCGCTGAAAAAAAATGTGCTTTTTATAATGCTAATTAGCAACTCTGGGCTTGATACACAAAAGGACTGCGCAGCGTTCGCACCCGCTAAACCTGTGCAAATGAGCCAATTAGACATTGTCTAATTCACAGAGCATGGAGAAAGGGTTAAATGTCCAACAAATGCACTGCAGAGCAAACAGCATCTCTGTGTGCTAGTGTTGCTTGCAATGAGCTATTATATATTTATCCAGGAAATACAAGCTTCTTTGTTCCAAGTGACCCACGATATTACTTCTGCATTGCATTTTTATAATAATCAAGGGCTATCAGGATGAGAGTGCACAGTGCAGCCGTGTGCAGTAAAACACGGAAATGCTTGCAGCCGAAAATATGATGCAAATCATGAGCAAACTGCACAAAGCTGCAAAGTTGGTGTCATTGGAGCAATGTGTTTGGCAGCAAAGAGTGCACAAAAATTGGGATGTAACGATATGAAAATTTAACATCACGATTATTGTGACCAAAATTATCACGGTCTTGTTGAAATATGTTCAAAATGTTGAAAAAGTACTTATACACAACAAAGTAATGTGCCAGTGGCATAAAATCTAAATCTAAATAAAATGACATTCCTTATTGTGCAAATTGTAAGAATCTTCAGTGCTCATAAAGATCTACTCTTACAAATATAAAACAGAGCAACACTACTATATGAAACAATACAACCACATGTAAACACAAGGGGGAATGCAGGTGTTAAAAATAACATAAAATATGTAAACTAATCAGATGAACCACACCGATTGTCCGTTTTCTTCTGCTGCTGACTTTGTTCACTACTTGAGTTTGATATGGAAAAATGTCAGCATATTTACTTTACTGGTTTGAGTCATGATCTGCGAGGGGAAACGATGAATAGCCTCTTGGATGACACGCTGGTTGCCGGGATGCACAAAAGCTTTCTGGCAATCCTTGCAACCCTTTGTAGAGGCCGAAATACGCCCAGACTTCGGACTTTGTTTTCTTTGACAGCGGAAAAATCTCAGCAATGCGGTTGGCAGAACTGCCTGCAAAATTGCCCTCCACCATGTTTACAAGTTGTATACTGCGATGCACTGTGTCCGAAGGACTGCTGCGTGCGGCTGCTCTTCTCAGCACTGAACAGTGTCACTGTGAGCTTTTCCAGAGTGCGGCAATCAAACACGGTTTTAACGGTAATTGAAGTTTGAAACGGTGGTACTAACAGTCAGACATTTTACCGGTGATTGTTACATCCCTACACAAAAATAATGTGCAATCCGTGGTGCTATTGCTATTGGCCCTCAGTCTTGTTTTGTAATTGCATCAATAGTGCTGTGTAAATTTTATGTTGCTTTACCATGCAAAAAAATCATGGTAAGTGTTGTTATCCCCCAGTGCTAGCTAACAGTGATGACAACAACAACTTTGTTTTCAGCTGATTCCTCTTACACAGGGGTGGGCAATCATGTGCCATGGAGGGCCGAGAGGCTGCAGGTTTTCTTTCCAACCCAAAACTTCACCAGGTGATTTCACTGATTAGTCTCTGCTCTCTGCTTGGAGGTAAGGTAATCAGTGAAATCACCTGGTGGAGTTTTGGGTTGGAAAGAAAACCTGCAGCCTCTCGGCCCTCCATGGCACATGGTTGCCCACTCCTGCTCTTACAGATAAGCTCTTTTTCATCAACAAAAAAAAATTCTCATTCTTAAAATTGAATAGCTAACTGGCACATTTGCCAACTAATACGTCTCACACATCAAAGAAATATAATTCATATCAGGAGTTAACAGAAAATGTTAAAGATCTGAGAAATAAAGAGAGAGATCATCTGCGTACAGCAACAATCTCTGCTCATTCACAAGTCACTCTTGTTGTTACAAACCAGAGTTATTCCAAGGAGGCCTAACCATGAGTTTGTTTTCAGGTCATCTGTCTAAAACCAAAATAAACATTTAGCTAGCCAGCTATCATCACTGATAAAACCAGCATCTTTTAAGCTTTCTCCTCGTGTTTTACTTTGGGATTCGACTCCTCTGCTGGTTGAGTTGAAAGTAAACTGACTCTGTTTGCAAGCACAGCAGCTGTTTGTAGAGTTCAGGAGAAGGTGATGATAAGTGCTGCTAATCCAATTACAGTATAAGTTGAGATAGCTCTCTAATCGTTTCTGCTATTTTCGTTAAAGAGTGAGCTAATCACGATCAGGTGACCACATGAGAATGCTGTCAAGGTTTCTCAGTGATAGTAGACATGTTTGATTTTGAGTTTTCCTGCCAAGAGACAAAATAAAAGATCGCCGACCTCAAGCTACGCTAATGCGAGTCGAGTTGATATAATAAACAATGAGTTCATCATTACCTTTACTAAAGCATGGAGAGGACAAGATGAACAAAGACTGTTTGTCCACAGGGGGCGCCAAAGTCAACACAAACCAAAAGTTCCTTACAGGAGCTTTAAAGGTCACCACATGCAAACTAGATTACATGTTGCTCTTGTTTATACTGACCCTGAGTTTTGGTTCTCTCAAAGAGCAGAGAAGAGCAAGTGTCTGCTGGCAAGTGAAGGAGTCTTTGCTTGCTGAAATAGATTAGCCGTCACTGGTGACGTTGGATTGCTAAGCTGTATGTATATGCCAAGGTTGGATAACTGATACCTATGTAGGAAGACCGTAGAGTTGAATTAAAGGGCACAGAGAAATTAAATTGGCGCTGATTCATATTTGAAATAGTCATGATTTGATCATTGCAGTAACAGACAAACCCCTATGTTCACAGATGCTATAAAAGCATAAGTTTGCTTGTATCAGACGTTCAAGGTTAAAATGCAGTGTGTGTGTCAAAAAAAACAATAGCTCTTTTGTTGTTGCAGACTGAGTGTTTTGTTGTAATTTCAGCCGTATAATTACATGTAATGGGTTTCTCCTGCCTCATCTGAGTCTTACTGAATCCTCACATTCAGTGGCCAACTGCCAGGCAGCCAGCTTTTAATCAGGCCAGACTTAGCCTAAATCATTTTAAATTTGCATTTTCACTTTGCTGTGTGTTTTAACTGTCTGAGTATCATCCGTTCGAGCTCAAACATCTGATAAACAAAGGAATACCTCCTCATGACCCAGTTCAGATGAGCAGGCTCCAAACTCTGTCAGAATATTGTGCCTTAATATGATTTTTATGCGCAATCATTGTTACTTAATCACTGCGTGGAGGGTTGCCAGATTTGTTGTGGGAGACATTAACCGATTTAAAAAACAAGAGTAAGGACTGCATGTCAGCCTGTGATCTATCGTCTAATTATTATATTATTATTATGTTTGTGTTTTTTTGCAGGATAACTACAACAGCTGCATGTATGATGGATCTCAGGAGGTATCCCCTGGATGAGCAGAACTGCACTCTTGAGATTGAGAGTTGTGAGTACTGAAACCTTCCTGTTGCACCAACTATCAGCACCCTTCATGCTGTCTCTCTGACGAGAATTCAAAATGAGCATCTTGCAAGTTGAAAAAGTCGTCCAAACAGATTCACAGCAGTAAAGGCGTTCAGTTGGACACGGATTTAATCGTCAGTGTTCTTCGTCTGCAGCGCTCCTGTCTGTATTAAAATGTCTAAAAGTAGCGAAGCTCTCAATGACACGAAAATCAGCTCATTTGAAATTATTTTGACATTTTTGTGAACTCGAATGAACCTATTAACTTGACTTGCTTTTCAAAGCAACGTCTGGTTCTTGGAAACAACTTCAAACAAATCTCTTTCTCCCCAAATGACAGCCCAGTTGGATGATGAGCAACGCTGCATATCTCGGTCTCATATGATGGCTAGACAGATGGTTACACTTTGGTGTGTACGTGTGTGTCTCTTCTTATGCAGATGGCTACACCACAGATGACATCGAGTTCTACTGGAAAGGCGGCGAGTCGGCTGTGACAGGCGTGACACGGATCGAGTTGCCTCAGTTCTCCATTGTCGATTACAAGTTGGTGTCCAGAAACGTTGTCTTTTCCACAGGTAACTAAAGTTGTGTTTGTCCGCGGTTCTAACCGGGTTGAAGCGATGAAATGTGCAACCTTTCGAGAAGCTGATCCATTGATTCAAGGACGGTGCTTCGCCAAATTGTGCTGCCTCACGCTGTGATTTACAGCGCTAACTGTGTCCGTGTCAGGTGGTCCTTGACCCTTACATGGATGCTAATGGTGGCGCTGGATTTATCGGTCTGATAATCCTGCTGACGATAGCGAAAAGTAGCTGACAAACCCCAATTGATTCAATTTGTCCACACAATCAATCTTTGTGACTCTGGTGAGTTGATCTTAGAAAAATGATATTGCACAAGTGAGTAAATCAGCTCACAGGGAATAGATGTCAGCACTCGGAGAAACAGGCTGACAGTTCGAAGTGTGGCTGCATGATCGTGAGGAAGCAGAACGCATGATGCAACTTATTTTTTATGCAAGGGAGGAAGGAAATAACCTCTGTCGGCATTGTGCACCAAATCAAGCCAAAGTACCTGCAAAGAGGAGGAGCATAGGAGCTGCCTCCACCTAGTCAACAAGTTGATTGATTGATTGATTGATTGAAGTTTATTTTGAACATATAAAAAAAGAAATAACAATAAAAAAGTAAAGAATACAACAACAAATGACAAAAAGTTATTCGAGTTCAAAAAGGAGTGGGAAGAAGTCGAGACTTTTCTCATCCCACCCCTTTTCTACACTAATGGTTTAAATGTATATCATATATATCATTATGTAATAATATTAGTCATCATAGTAATAATAGCAATAAAAAAAAATCACCACAGTGAAAATAGAAAAACAACAACAACAAAACGATGATGATAATGATAATAGTTACTATGAATGTACATCCCTGTATCCCATGAAAACATATTCTTTATATTTTGTTTTAAACTGTTTTATGTTTGGACATTGTTTTAACTCCTAACCCATACCCTTCCACAGTCTTTTTGCAGAATGAAATGCAAAATTGTTTCCTGCTTGTGCGGATTTTATTAATTTTGAAGTTATACTTCCCTCTTAATTGATAACCCCTCTCTCTCGATCTCCAAACAAATTCTGAATATTTTGTGGTAGAAAGTTATTTTTAGCTTTATGCATAATTTGTGCTGTTTGGAATTTCACAATGTCTGTAAGTCTAAGTAATTTTGACTGTAAGAAGAGTGAGTGAGTGTGATCCAGATAACTGACATTATGAATGACCCGTATTGCCTTTTTTTTTGAAGAATAATCAGTGAATTGATTGAATTCATACAGTTATTGCCCCCAATCTCTGCACAGTAATTTAGGTATGTTAAGACAATGGAACAGTAGAGGATACGGAGTGATTTATGATCCAGAACCTGTTTTGCTTTGTTTAAACCTGAAATGCTTCTTGATAGCTTGGTCTGTATATGTTTGATATGTTGCACACGAGGGCTGAAACGATTCCTCGATTACAAATAATGATCAAGGAATTTTCTCTGCCTCGTTTATAAGCTCAAATCGTCACTGTTTCGCACAGATTCTTTTGAAGGTGGCACAATGCGCTTACGTCACCACGGTAGAAGGCGGAGTAAGCGCTATTTAGGTTTTGAGGAGCTGAAAAAATAAATAATGAGAGGGGCTTTTCTTGCAGTGTTGCCAACCTAGCGACTTCTCTTCATGCTAGCTTGTAGCCTAACACTGCTGGTGTCGTAGGAGCTACTCAGCTCTCGGACACTAATGTTTTTAGGGGCATGATGAAAGTTAATATCATAATTAGCTTTCTTACAACCATTGCAATCTGCTGACGCACACACTTCTTCCTCCACCTATAGGAAATCTAACTTTATGTGAGTCTGCCGTTTGGGTCCAATTACTCGAGTAACTAATAGAATATTCAGTCTATACTTGGTTACTAAAATATTCGATAGCTGCAGCTCTATTGCACACGTTCTCAGTTTACCTTCCATAGTGTTGTAGTACTCGAGATCGGTCTTGGTCTCGAGACTATTTTTTGAGGGTCTTGGTGTCATCTCGGGATCTAAGGCATTTTCACTCGGTCTTCTCTCGGTCGCGGTTGGTGCGATCTTGACTACAACACTAACTTCCTATTATTGGGCAAATGTCTTCTAAGAGTTGTTGGATTTCGTTTTAAAAAGGCTGATAAGTTACATCCCAAACACTTCCCTTCATATGCTTACACATAAAGACGTGTACACTCCCTCTTTTTCCCGGCATCACAATTAATTGGTGTTGAGGAAAACATCAATCAAACGTTATTTATAGGTTCACAATAGACCTTATGTGCAAAGCTCTCCATCTCTCGGGGGCAGTTAATTAGAAGACACGGCGACACGTTAACGCAATTTGTCAAATGAGCGCGCATAGAAAACACTTGCAGGATCGTATCTCACCTTGTTCGTTGAGTGTGTTGATAAGTTGGACAAGTGTAGAAGATTAATTTGACAATCCTATCTGCATCGGAGGGGTTTCTTTCTGATTTATCCGTGGCTCGTTCATTAATCAAACTTTATGTAAACATTAGGACCTAGATGCAGAACTTTATTGATGCTGTAATCTGGTGCAACACCCAGTCTGATGCAGACTGAAGTGAACTGGATTTCTACACTCTTATTTCTATAATTGCATCATAGTGCATAAGCAGCTGAAGTCGCCACATCCTCACCTTCAGCCTCTCTGTGTTGTGCAGTGAGTGTGTTAACCTCTCCGCTGTGATTCGCACATGAAGTACTTGTTTTTTAGAGGGGCCAGCTCCCTGTGGGCGGTGACTATTAAAGTTTAGTGTCCAGTGGTCTTCTCTGGTGCCCCTCGGCCGCATGTGTGAAGCACATTACAGGCTCCCCACGAGGCTCGCTAATGACCAGTATTCCACCATTACATGTACCAGCGGTCCGCCTCTAATGTCCTCCCTATTTTTGTCGTTCTTATCCCTCTTTCTCGGCATCCCTCTCATCTTCTGTTGCTCTTTTCACCTCTTCCCCTTTCTCCACCCTATCTTCTTGAGTGTATCATTTCCCTTTGCTTAAAAGAGGCGTGGTTGATGCCAATTATCCTGCTCTCCGACAGATACAGCCCGGGATTCAGGCCATCATATATTTATATGAAATGAGGCGCACAACATCAATTATTCACCTCTAAGCATATAAACAAACACTGCCTGTTTGTGTGCGTAAACTAAGAGTATACATATGCAAATACATGCCTGACCAGACAACACTGCAATGAAATTTGAATTCACTCACTGCGCTCGTATTGCTTTCATTTTGTCTTCATCTGTGGATCAGCTTGATGCTCTCAAGACGGCCGCCCCGGCATTTTTTAAATATCCAATTTATATTCATATTTTTCCCTGTAATTTGGCTACACTCTCCCTGAAAAGTCCTTTAAGTTTACGGTTTCAGAAAATGTGAAATGCTCGGTTAATAGCTTTTGAGAAAAAGCAGAGAAAGTCAAGTTTTTCTGAATTTGAATAGCAATGAAATTAATCATCGTACTTTCTTTTAAAGTTGGCTTTTCTGCTAAAAAATTGGACTTCCTTCTTTACGGGAATGATAGTTTAAAACAACTTTAGACAAAAACTGTAAAAGGTGACTGATGGATGACATAAAAGCTCCCCAAAAGTAAATCCAAAACAGTCTTGAAATTTATCTCCTCTTTGCTAACAGATCAGAGAAACAAAAAGCTGTTATGACTGCGAGTCTTATGAGCACAATTCAAAACTTGACTTTGCAACAACCGGCGGCAAAGAGACAAAAAGAGAGACAGCACGCCTCCTCGGCTTCACGACTCCCGTCTACCCCAGACGGCCTCCCAGACACCATTGTTGCACCGCCGTCATCCACACGACTTTTATAATCATCTCTGTTTTCTGACTTCTCTTCTTTGTCCCTCTCCTCCTTGGCCTCACACATGGTGTTCCTCCAACTCGCGCATGTTTAATGTAGCAGTTACAGCCAGTGCAGCTCTACACCCACACGCCAGCGAACCTCAGCCTACACTTTTCTGAAACCACTTTTGCATTCGCTCCTGCAGAGCTACTCCGCTCAGATTTAGGCTGGAGAAGCAGCCATTAAGGATGCATTAAAATAGGTGAATGGGATATTTTAAGACCCAAGACAGTCTGTTCTTATATTCACACTGTAATGAATTGTATTGACTTAGGTAACCTCTGCCAGACTATACCATTAGCCAACTATAGGAGCGTCAGCTAATGTGAGAAAAAAGGAATAGTTCGTATAATGTCTATTCTAAATGATGCGAATCCATTTATGTTCTACAAAATTGGTTGCACAAAATAAGTAAATTGGATACAATGGGTTAGACAACAGTTGTTTCCCATTTAAGTGGTATTCAAGATGTTACAAGAGGTATTCCCTCATGCAAACCAACAAAAGGCCTTATGTGATATTGATCAGTTTAGGTCTTCTTGTCATTTTGTATAGGATTGTTCTTGTTTTTCCGTCCTCATCACCCCACATCTTAAAGCATGCTCTATTTCTAAGGGACTCGACGGTCTATTTGCTTTTTGGCACACTACTTTTCCCTGAGTCATTACCTTGATTTTTCCTCTTCCTGTTCCTTTGTGCGTCTCTCTTTGTTCAAATGTGTCAGCTAGGCTGCTTATTCAAACAGCTAATCTCTTTCTATATTTAATCCAAACAAATTCCACTCATAAAAATGTAAAACACACTGATGCACAGTGCATTGTGTTTGTCTTTATGAACCTTACCTGCACTGGGTATTGCCACTATAAATAAGAACTTTTCAGCAATAGGTCCACCACTGATGTTTGGATTATCAATGGGATTGATGTTTGGATGAGCTGCTAAAATTTGAAGTATTAGTTTAACCTTAAAGTTGGGGTAAGAACACAGCAAGTTTAGCAAGTTACAGTGTCGAGGAAAAACCTCCCTTAAAGGGATATTCCGGTGAAAAATTAATTTAGGGTCAAACACACCATAACACCAAGTTAGACACCCCCTCAAGAGATGAATGTTGCTGACTGCTTGCTTCTTTAGTTATACCAACTTTAGTAACGACCGCACGATAGCAATACACAGCGGTCTGAGGAGCCATAAACAAACCTCAACTAAAACGCCACTCTATAGCCACAAATAATGCTCAGAGCAGCACTTAACTTCATCACATCCACATCACTAGCCACCAAACATCTTTATAACTTTGCCTGATTTCTTCAGCAAAGAGACTAAACACAGCTCACCTACTCTCTTCCAGCAGCCGCTTGTTTGTAGCGAGACCTCGGGCCAGTCCATTACGGACTACAGCGGGGTGACACAGCTTAAGGAAGAACATTTATGATCATTTCTTCATGGAAATACAATCAGGCCGAGACTCTAAGGCAGAAGAACTACCAGGTCTGCAGTGCAAAAGGATTGATATGGTGATTATTACTTCAAGAAAATTATTAAGTAATAATCATAAATGTTCTTCCTTGAGCTGCGTCACCCCACTGCAGTCAGTTTGGACTCTCCCTACGAACAAGCAGCTGCTGGAAGAGAGTGGGTGAGTTGTGTTTAGTCTCTTTGCTAAAGAGATCAGGCAAAGCTAAAAGGATCTTTGGTGGCTAACACTATGGCTGTGACCCTATATGTACTGTTGATGAAGTTAGGTGCTGTTCTGAGCATTATTTGTGGCTATAGAGTGGCGTTTTGGTTGAGCGCGTGGCTCTCTGTATTGCTATCTGCGGTCATTGCTAAAGTTGGTATAACTAGAGAAGTAAGCGGTCGGCAACATTCATCTCTCGACGGGGTTAGGGTGTGTTTGACCCTTACTTAATTTTACGCCGGAATATCCCTGTAACAGGCAGAAACCTCGAGTTGAACCAGTCTCACGTTGGACAGCCATCTGCCGCTGCTGGGGGTAGGACCAACGTTCACCACAAGTATCAACCCACAGATTGAAAATAGCAGAGCGATGGCCCCCACTTCTCCTCTAACTCAAAACAAAAAAGGAAAAATATCTAAGCACCCACATAAACAGTCTATATTTAAGAATATGCTGAAAAGCCCAAGCTGAGTAATGACAGACATGCTGCATCATTAGGACTGTGGTGAGAAATACAGGTTGATAAACAACACAGGCACAGTTACATTCATTTATGAAGCGTCTATTCTCTTCTCCCAGTTTTGCTGAATCCCTCTGAACCACTGCGTGAATAATGTAGGTGGATGAAATGTTTATCACCATTCTGAATATTGTGTCACATCATCACCAAAAAGGGAAAGGGTCTGTGTGTGTGTGGTTGAATATGTGTATGTGTGTGTGTGTGTGTGTGTGTGCGTGTGCAAGTGAAGGGGGTACTTGTTACCATGGCAATAAATCCAACCCATGCTGTTGGGGTTGTCATAGAAACTGAAACAAAAACACAAGGTATCTCCGTGTGCTCCTATGAATAATATAAGTTTGAAATTTTGCTGTTAACATGTCAGTGCATTTTTAATTGAATGTTCCCTGACCCTTAACATTGCCTTTAAAATGTAATTACCAAACCAAAAGACCTAAACGCACTGCTCCTACCCTTATCTCCTCTTTCCTTAGGTGCCTACCCTCGACTGTCTCTCAGCTTCAAGCTAAAGAGGAACATCGGCTACTTCATCTTGCAGACGTACATGCCATCGATCCTGATTACCATCCTCTCCTGGGTCTCCTTCTGGATAAACTACGACGCATCAGCAGCCAGAGTGGCTCTAGGTGAGAGGCAGCGGCTGTTTAAGGAGCAGATATTTGGCTTTCTGAGATGAGGCTTGGGACTGAAACGAGCCACCACCTCCCTGATGGATTTCCAAAAGGACGGTTTATTCATGAACAGAGGCAGGGGCTGAATTTCTCAAACCGTCATGGCTTGGAAGTTGATGGTGGAAATAGATTTGAAGGAGAAGAATAATGGATCATGTTTAAAAGCAACCTCGACTCCAATCAAACTAGGCTGTACCTTCTGCCTGTTGTTGCTGTAGTCCCCGACGGTCCTCCAGGAAGCTATAAAAACATCACCTCTCTAATTAGCATAATTACACTTCTTATGAAGACTACTTGTGTGGGTGCAAAGGCCCACTCACAGTGGGGCTCCTGTGAGCAGTAAACAAAGCAGAGGTGCATGCAGCAGGTTATTATTTTGTAATCATTGTGATGTCTCGTAGGAGGCGTCGTTTTTCCGTTGGATTTGGATGACACACGAGGAGAATACAGTTTGATTGATTAGGTACTTAAATACAGTTTGATTGATTAGGTACTTAAATACAGTTAAAGGTCCTTACACACCAAGAGCGTTTTTTTCGTGCGATTATTTCGGACATCAATTTTTTTCGAACCCGTATCCTGTCAATACAAGCGTTCACATCATGAAGTATGTCGAATTATCTAAAGTTTTGCATACTGTGTGTCCACTTCTGACCAATCAGATTTCGTGTTGTTGCGACGTCTGATTCACCGGTATATCCAACATGGCCGACCGCCTGATTGTTTACGTGTCGGTCTGCTGTTCTATTAGCAGCAGCAGACGTTAGCGTCTGTGGGTGGAAACGGCTAACGTAGTTTCTCAGATAGGTGGTATTTCCATGGTATTAGATGCGTCTTGTAAAGTTCTTGCTTTCCAATAAGTTTGTACAGTCTGTAATGAACCCAGATGTCCGCTTTGAACATACCAGGAACATTTTTTAATCAGCTGCTCTTAAATTTGGCCACTCTCCGGCATCTTCCTTGTTTTGCTATCGCTCTCTGCAGTAATATGTCCCTTCATGGTTACCATCAGCTGCTTAAAGCTGTTGCTGTTTTTGTTATCTAGCTAACGAGATTCACCGGTATATCCAACATGGCCGACCTGCTGATTGTTTACGTGTCTGAGAACAGAGTGCTTTTTGATAAAAAAACACAACCATTACAAAGATAACGACCTGAAGGACGACTTGTGGAGAGTCATAGCGTCAGATTTCTCATATGACGATGGTTTGTGTGCTTTAACAGTTTGCTAAACGTCTTTGTTTTAACTTTCATCTGTGCTAAGTAACTTTAGCTCGTAAGCTAACCTGTTCAGATACAACATACCATATGTATTTTCACTGCCTCAAACTCAATCGTGTTGCTGTCACGGCACCATTAGGTCTCGGTTGTTACCTTACGTTTATGGATTATAATTTAATGTGTTTATCTGGTACTGGCCCTGACTCAGTACATGCTATCATGACAGACAGACATCTCAACACTAGAGTCTAATCAGAACTGAAAAACAGTCAGTCTGCTGTTGAGTCAGTCTTCTCACTTCCACCTAGAAAGCGTCTTTTTTCCCCCCGGAAAGTCGCAAAATCACATCGTGCTTGATGTGTATAGTCAGGCATGTCAAAATTCGCCTCTGAATATTTCACGTTGTATATTTGCGTCATTCTCGCTATGTAAGGACCTTAAATATGGCGGCTCATATGTTTTTTTTCTTGTGTGGTATTGCATTTCAACAAGAAAGGAACCACCCTCTAGTGGACATTTGAAAAACTGCAGTTTATGGCTCAGTCTGACGGACTCACAGCTTTCATTGGGGGGTCACTATTTGAATGTGACATTTAATGAAGGGGCCAGTCGGCCGTGTGGAAATTCAAATTAGAGGCTAACAGGGGCCAAGCAGCAAATCTTCGCCGCAGGGCCTCCTAACAGTATAATCTAGTTTCGCCGGCTCATTGCTGCTGTTGTCCGTAAATCTGTCCTGTCTCATATGGATAGAAAATTTATCTGGAACCTCAACACATCCTAATGCATTTTGTAAATCATGCTGTAATCCATTGCATGTTATCCTCAAGCATGCATCTGGTTAGAGACTAGGAAGGATAGTATGTGTGTGCACAAATTTATGTGCACCGGTCTACCAGCCGTCTTTATTTCCCCACTGGAGCTGGTTTTGTTAAGACATCCATGCAATATCCGGTCATTACTGCTTCCTCAGAGCACGGCTGCCTTTATAAGTGTGTGTGTGTGTGTGTGTGTGTGTCTGTGTGTGTGTGTATGTGTGACGTCCTGCAAGCTGCAATATTCAGCTAAGAGGCAACCGGAGGTCCATTCACTTCTCTTGATGGATCGTTACAAGCTTTCAGCAGGTATCTTGATGGAAAATGGTGTGTGGGACCGCGCATGGGTGCGTGCATGCTCTAGTGTGTGTGTGTGAGCAAACCTGCCAGTAAGAGCAGTGTAATGATCAGGAGGAAATCAATTCAAGGAGACAGCAGGCAAACAATTGAATTGTTGGAAAGAGAATCTTGTTTTCCTGAGCTATTTCCAAAGGGTTGCAAAGTTACAAGCGACTGGCTTGCGCCGTAATTTGGTTGCAACCCCCCCCCCCCCCCACGATCACGCCCTTTATTAATAATCTCATCATGAACAGCCAAGGTGTGGGCTTCAGGTGGAATCAGCGCAGAAGCACTTTTAGTTTGAGGTCAGGGCATTTTCTTGAAACAACTTTAGTTTCTCCTGAATGCGTCCAAAATGACAAGTCCTGAGACGCTGGGCATGCTAACTAGATCTTGACAATTTGTGCTGTCTGCCAGTGAAAAATGGAAGTGTTCAATTAACGCTGCTTTGATTTACCACCTCTGCCTCTGTTCTCGCAGTTAACATTCATTGCTGTTTCACACGCTTTATTGCATCCTACATGATACCTTTTCCATTTCATAATGTTGAGCTGTGTTGTTAATGGCCTATTGGCTTGTGATTAGAGGAGATTTGATTGCTGTGTGCCTTTGTTCCACGGAGACTCAGGAACATATAACAAGAGGGGGGAGGGCAGAAAGAGGTGCAGTATGAGCACTGAGGGAAACCACCACTAAATGATGGTGAGATCTGAGGGAGGAAAAAAGATACAGGATAAATGGAGGGGGAGAGGAATGAGATTGAGGCAGAGGGAGAGATAAGAGGGAGACGCAGGGAACAATAGAAGGAGACAGAGAGAGGGGGGAGAGAAACGGAAAAAGACAGACAGTGAAAGAAACCCTATAAAACTATATTTCTCCCTAGAGAGTTTAACAGTGTGATGAAAAAGGAGAGAGGCCCATGGGCGCATGGCCCCTTGATTAAATTGTCCGAACAGGAGCAAGGGAGGGCGCAAAACCGAGGGAAAAAAGGAGGAAGGGAGGAAGGGAGGAAGGGAGGAAGGGAGTGAAGGACGGAGAGTTATGGCACAGCTGAGAGAACACCTATAAAGAACAAGGCTGTCGTTAAGCAGGAAGGGGAGGAAAAAAAACAGAGATTGCACCATCCAGCAGGCGTGGAGACATGGAGCGTGTGCGCGCGCCACCGCCGAGCTCGCCCGCAATCACACCTGCTTCTCACACCAACAACACACACATGCATGCACACACACGCATGAGCGGTGTTAGCCTTGTAATGTGCCAATAAATCACACTAAGGGCTAGATTGACCTTAGCTATCCCACTTCCTCCACCCAGCCCCTCTGAATGTACCCGTCTCTCCAATGTCTCTCCAGTGTGCCTTATGATTCATACGCACACATACACAGGCGCACGCACTCCTAAAGCCGTGTCTGTGTGTGTTATATGAGCATCGTGGCTACTGATAGGCTCCATTTATTTTCAGCATGGGTAGATAAAGCAGTAGAGATATATCTGCCATATACGGTAAGATGTAGTGTTATGGCGTGGCAAGAGGTCAGGGTTTGCATGGATATGAGTGAGAGTTATGTTTATTTACAACATTCGTTAAAATGAAGAGTGGCGTTGGAAGACGAATAGTCCACGCATGGAGGGACATCTTTGAAAACCCGACAAAATAAATAAATAAAGCTACAAAAAAATCTATACTTTTTAACCAGGCTGTAAATGTGCTTATTTTGGATTAGTGTGTATGTGGTTTTTTAGCGCTTCAGCAACCAGCCTCAAGTGGACACTCAGGGAACTGCAGTTACTTCTGCACTTGTTAAAATTAAAACTCATGGATTGATCTTAAAACTCAAATGCAACACAAGAGCTTGTGCCCCTCTAGGTTGCCAATTAATTTAACAGTTTATTTTTATTAGGGCCCAAGCCGGCAGCAAAGCTGTGGGTGAAGCCCTATTGAAACCCAAGGGGTTTTCTATTATTATTATTATTATTATTATTTTTTTTTTTTTTAATTATTATCATTATTATTATTATTTTAATGCCTCTGAAAACGCAAATTTGCCCCCCTTAATGACCGCAAAAACTGAAAATTTGCAGGCAGGTCAGGCCCGGCGAAAATCGCAATGTTTTAAGGTGACACAAAAAAGCGATTAAAAATGGCTCACTAGCGCCCCCTACAGAGCGCCACGAATGTTGACTTTGTCCAATCTGCACGAAATTCTACAGGCACGTGTATCTTAATGAGATCTTTCATTTTGTGCGCTTGGACTTTTTTCTCAGACATACGGTTAAAGAGTTATTCCGCTGTTTTCAGCCCATTTTGGCCATTTGCATATATAACGCCAAACGTATCTACTTTTTTACTATTACGTCCTGGTTTCGTCCAGGAGGTGGGGTATCCTTCAAAATAAAAGCATAGTTTTCCAATATAGGAATAAAACAGTGTCAGTTACACAGTTGGTGATGTGAGCAAATCATAAATTTAAAATTGAATCTGTTTATCTGTACAATTTATGGACTTGTAATATACATATGAGCTAATGCAGTATGTTGCTTTGAATTTCAATTTTTACATAAACATCGCAATAGTATTGTTTCAGCGAAGATGGTCATGAGGTGAAAGTCTGATATCCATACAGCCGTACTTTCAGTCTTTTTCTGAATAATTGCTCAGCCATGCATTGAATACTGTTTTTTCCATGTATTGTTGTGTTTTTTTTTCCCTGTTTTTATATGTACTTAAAGTGTTTAGTTGGGCTCTATTATTGTTTTGTTTTGTTTAGTTTAGTGCATGTGTTTTTTTGTGTGTTTGGGTTTTGTTTGATTCAACTTTGGACTCAAACCTTTTGCCGTGCCTAAAAGCCGTGCCAATTTAATTTCTTCTATCTTTAATTTTGTATGTGTCCGTCTCTATCTGCTGAAACAGATACACTTGAAAGGTGCCTTTACTCCAAGATGAGAGAACACCACACCATCCAGTACACCTTGTGGTTAAGGTTACTGGAGGCTGGGGGCTAGATACATGCAGCACTATTCTAATGAGTTATTTCTGTTTGGTGACCAGGGGGCAGTTGGAGGTTTCAAGGCAGACCTTTGAATTTCAATGAAGCAGAGGTTGTGCTCTCGTCTCTCAGTACATGTGTTCATGCAGGTGAAATAAGATCGAGCATGAAAGTGAACAAGAAAGAATCGCTGGTCAAAATACTGTACATGAAGTGTTTGCCAGTCCTCCCCCTCCCCCTCACTCCTTATTTAATACTTCAGTGAGGCAATCCCACAGCAATCAAATGCTCCCTTTTTCTTTTACCACATCACTCCCAGCCAAGAGAAGAAATAGCCACCGAACAAACATGTTTTCTATAAAAATACCCTTGTTTCTATAGTAACATCTTCGACATCTGTTGGAGTTTTTATCCAATCTGACCTTAAGGTTATTGGCAACAGAGCAGCATCTGCTTCCAATGGTAGGTTGCTCCGTTTCAAGAGGCTTATACCAGACAGGTTTGGACTAATTAAGTGTCACATCTAGTACTTACACAGATTGCCTGTCGAGATAATTGACGAGGAAGAAAAACAATGTTTGTGTCACATTTTTGTTCCCAAGTTGAGAGAATTGGACAGATGGTTTACTAACGGTATGAGTCTATTTTCGGTTTGGGTGATAGGTGTTATCTAGTCCTTCTACTAGTGGTACATAACAGCAATTTACAAAAGGGAACAATAATTGAAGCTTACAAGTAGACAATATGGAAGATATTTTCAACTCTACTCTCAATTTACTCATCTTAACATCAACAAATTTAAATATCGCCTGGTTATAAGTGAAAATCGACTATCTACTAAGTCTACACATTGTGATACAAACACCCTGTATTTTGATGATACTGTGGTTTGTAGTAGTAAGAATGACGCCTCTTTCATTCCCTGTCTGTGCTCTGGATACCTGATCTTGATATATGTCGCTTGGGTTGAGTGGGTTGAATCTCCAGGGTGAGCTGTGGCGGGGTTCTCAAGCAGAGAGCCCTGAAGGCAAACTTCCCCCGTCACTGATCTTAGATTGGTATTCCCAGATGGACATCACTGTACAGCTAAGAGGGGAGAAACTCAGAGGGCTCAACAAGGATAAATCTGGAACTTATTTGTGGGAGGGTGAATTTGTAGACTTCAGCTTTGTAACAGTGTTAAAAATGGCGGGACTGATGCTAGGCTTCGTAGGCGTCAGTAGCAGGACGTCTGCGAAAGCGATCAAGAGGAATCTTCAGGATCAGGAAGCTCAGGGACTCCTAGACGAGGCTTTATGATCTAGTTACACTCAAAGCTAATCTACAGCTAATCTTTCATGTTTAGCACTAAGCCGTTGTATAAAAACAACTCCAGCTTCCGTTTTTTAATACTCTTAAGTAGTACTTTCCCTCCGTGACTGGGCTGACCATGTTTTCCTTCTTCTCATTACCATAGGGATCACCACGGTGCTGACAATGACCACCATCAATACCCATTTGAGAGAGACACTGCCCAAGATCCCCTACGTCAAGGCCATCGACATGTATCTGATGGGCTGCTTCGTTATGGTCTTCCTCGCGCTGCTGGAGTACGCCTTCGTCAACTACATCTTCTTCGGGAGGGGTCCTCAAATGCAAAAGAAGCTGGCGGAGAAGGCGGAGAAGGCTAACAACGAGAGGGCAGCCAAATATGACGCTGCAAGGGTGAGTTTGGATGAGATGATGTGAAGATCAGACTGAGTTTGGTTGAAAATGCAAGTGAAGTAAGTTACTCAGAAGATCAATTGTACTGTAGGGGGAGACTGTCAAATGTAGGGAAGAGGATAAGGGCCACTAAAAATGTACATATAAATAAAAGGGTCAAGTAGATTATTAGATATTTTTATTATTATTCTTAGGATAAAGTCAGAATTATGAGATCAAAGTCAAAATAATGGGAAAAATGTAAGGACTGACTTTTCTCTCATACATCTAACTTCAATCTCATAATTCTGACTTTAATCTCATAAATCTGAATTTTTTTTTCAGAATTTTGATTTTTTTCTCAAAATTATGAGAACAAAGTCAGAATTATGAGATTAAAGTCATAATAATGGGAAAAATGTAAGGACTTTGACTTTTTTCTCATACTTCTGACTTTTACCTCATAATTCTGACTTTTTTTCTCAGAAATTTGACTTTTTCCTCAGAATTATGAGATCAAAGTCTGAATTATGACATTAAAGTCAGAATTATGGGAAAAATCTGAGGACTCTGACTTTTTTCTCATACTTTTGATTTTAATCTCATAATTCTGACTTTAATCTCATAATTCTGAGATAAATCTCAAAATTCAGACTTTTTTCTCAGAATTTTGCTTCTTCTCTCAGAATTATGAGATTAAAGTCAGAATTATGAGATTAAAGTCAGAATTATGGGAAAAATGCAAGGACTGACTTTTTTCTCATACTTCTGACTTTAATCTCATAATTCTGACTTTGATTTTTTCTCAGAATTTTGCTTCTTCTCTCAGAATTGTGAGATTAAAGTTAGAATTATAGAAAAATGTAAGGACTCTGACTTTTTCTCATACTTCTGACTTTACCCTCATAAATCTGATTTTAATCTCACAATTCTGACTTTTTTCTCAGAATCATGAGATCAAAGTCTGAATTATGAGATTAAAGACAGAATTATGAGATTAAAGTCAGAATAATGGGAAAAATGCAAGGACTGACTTTTTTCTCATATCTCTGACTTTTTTCTCAGAAAAAAAAAAAAATACACATTCGACCTTTTTTTTCTCTCAGTGGCCTTAATATTCTTGCGTACAAATGCGATGTTGCTGTTTTGAGTAGAATTGTTTTCTGTTTTTCTGACTGGAAGGTGCCAGAGGTTTTTTTTTAAGGGGATCAGTACCAAGTCAAGTATAAATCTTGTATAACATTCGGGTAACTCCACAGGAAAGGACGCAGGACAGCCCTGGAGAAAAGGCGATCAAAGTGGACAGGCTTTTCAGTTCTTTTGTTTCAGTTCCAGCCATCATGAATAATTAAAAAGCCTTGACACTTCAATAGTCCAAATCTTATTTCTTCTGGCACTTGATAGCACAGGCATCGAAATGTTCTCCTCTAGCTGAACTGTGTAATAATTATATATAATTCAGAAGCGTCTGTTTACACGGGAGTCCAGCAGTAGCAAAATGTTTGGTTTGTGCAGGAATCTGTTTTCAGAAATTTGTCTCCTACATGTGGTTGAATATTTTCATCTCTTCAGGAGGCAGGTAGTAGGACCGCATCCCTAAAACGGTCCAATCAGGTTAAAGGTCTTCGCCACTCACGTTCGGTGAGTTGTTTGTTCAGTGAGACTCTTCAGTATCCCTGAGTCAACTTTGCCATCGCCATCAGCTGACATGGGTGTCTTTTCGTTTCTCTTGCCGTGGTGCAAAATATTTTCCCCCATCCATGGAATGAATCAAGCTCCAATCGACATCTTCATGACATCGCCATGCTCTCTGGAGTTTTCATTTTGACTTTGACTTTCACATTGCAGTTTTTCTACATTAAAATGGTGCTCATGCTCTGTCTTGCATCCTAAAGGTGATGTTTTAGATGCGTTTCTCCCTTTCAGGGCTCATCCTGAATGCATGCTTTCTGTGAATCTTTCCTCATTCGAATCACCATTAAAAGCCACATTTCTTGCAAAGTGTAGAAAAAAACAGACATGTCTGGAAATATTTAAATATTTGTAATATTTTGAAAATATTTTAGGAAACTGAACAGAGGATTTTTTTGCAACTGCAGGCCAAAAGTGTTATCATTCATGTCAAGTAACATCCTCCTCAGAATTGTGATGGATGTGTCAAATGTCACACTTCGGCAAACATTTTGATGTCAACATTGAAAAGTAGTGATAGATCGCACACCAAGTGAGGCAAAATATGTTTTTAAAGGTACGTTTAGACCAGGGGTGGGCAATCATGTGCCATAGAGGGCCGAGAGGCTGCAGGTTTTCTTTCCAACCCAAAACTCCACCAGGTGATTTCACTGATTACCTTACCTCCAAACAGAGAGCAGAGACTAATCAGTGAAATCACCTGGTGGAGTTTTGGGTTGGAAAGAAAACCTGCAGCCTCTCGGCCCTCTATGGCACATGATTGCCCACCCCTGGTTTAGACTAATAATTTTAGACATGGGGCGTTAACTTTAGTGGGAATAAATATAGGCAATCATTTGTATTGGCCTGTAAGAAAACTAGTAAGGTCTCAAGGTTTTTTTTTTTCCTTAAGATTTATTTATGGGCTTTTATGGACTTTATTGACAGACAGATAAATCAGGAAACAGAGAGAAGGAGAGCAGGGAATGGCAATTGGAGTAGGGGGCAACAGGGTGGGCTCTAGGCTATCAGCAACCCCAATATCGCAATGTATCAATACACAAAAAATATAATTTTATAAATAATTGATTAGGTCAATAAAGAATTTAATTAATTACTGAATTCACAAAAAAATAATAAGGTAATAAGTAAATAAATCTATAAATAAGTAAACAAATAAATTAATAAATGTTTTCATTAATATATAAACAATCAAATAAATCAATAAGTTAACTAATTAATTTATGATAAATGAACAATTAGACAAATAAAAAGTAAAATGGACATTTAAATAAATAAATAATTACATTAACAATAAAATTGATAAATATGTAAATGAATGAATTGATTAATAAATTAACAATTAAATGTTTTTAGATGAAAAACAGAAATGCCTGTGCTGATGATTTACCCTCAATAGAGGGAAATGTGGGGCTTCAACAGTTGCTGCATTTGCATGAGTGACATCAACTGCTGTTGATTTGTTTCGTGTCACAAACATCATAGGCATGGAGTATGATGTGTTGTCTGTGTGAGAATGGTTATGTTGGTTCATACAGCCTCTTATGAAAATACTCTGGGGTTTCACAGCTAGAGGACCTGCCATCAGTCAGATCAGTAGATGTAGATGTAATGGATGAAGCTAGAGTGCCACAAATTCGTCCCCCAGGTGTTTTTCCAGTCGTATTTTTACAAAGTTCATTCCTTCTCTCAACAGGCGGAGCCGCCCGGCCACGGGAACATCCTTTTAACCACCCTGGAGATCCACAACGAGGTGGCAGGAGGTGAGATCACCACCAGCGTTGCAGACATTAGGAACTCTCAGTCCATGGTGCAGTTGGATAGCACGGCCTCAACGCATATCCAGTATCGCAAGCAAAGTGGAGGGATCGGCCCGCGTTCCGCCAGCCGCCACTCCTTGGACCGCTCCGCCCAGATGAAACGCAGCCGCCTGCGAAGGCGATCGTCGCAGCTGAAAATCAAAATCCCAGACCTGACGGATGTAAACGCCATCGACCGCTGGTCAAGGATCATTTTCCCTTCGGTTTTCTCACTGTTTAACCTCATCTACTGGCTTTACTATGTCTGATTGGACTGTTTTGTTCAGATGTTTGTTGTTGTTGTTTGTTCTTTTTATCATTTTGTTCCTTTCGTCCTTTTTTTTTTCTGTTGCTTTTATACGTGATGGATTCGGTCGAGTTAAAGACTGGAGCACAAAAAAAAAACAAAAACAAAAAAAAAAACAATGACTGAGAAGAGACTTCTGAGTTTTGGACCAAGTACTCTGCACAATTGTTTTTATATTTGCAGTCCTTGAACCCTTAGTTCCAAGGTATTTTTATTTTCTAAAGTATGTACTGTAATCGGGACTTGTGACATCATTTCCCAACATTTGCCCTCTGAGTGATTTGTAAATAGAGAGATACAAAGCCAGCAATTGAATAAATAATAGAGTATTTGCAAAAACCAATACAATACGGTTGACACAAGATTTTTCTAATCAAAGCAGAAAATATCCAGAAAACTTTATACCACACAGAAGTTGAGATAAGTGACGGCATTTCCTAAAAGTCAATTAAACAAGCTCATGTATGTTTGACTGGTACCCTATGCACTCTAAATGCATGTCATGATCAGCTGTAGTGGAAAAATAACGACTCCTCTTTTGCCTTTGGTGTGTTCGGACTTTTACAGACTGTGTTTCTTTATAGCATTGAAAGTCTACGCTAGATTTCCTGTTAACTAGATCATGCATCGATCCGGTAATCCTTTACCCAAACTCAATAACTCTAAAGTGAGGAGTCTTTCCTCTGTTCAGGATGATTGCGACTCAGGTTCTGAATCTTTTTCTTGACACAAAAAAGAGGACGCTGTATTTCTCCTTTTTTGGTAATTTGATAAGCAAATCAAAAGCACAATATCGAACAAAACTGCCATTTTTTCACTTCTACCTTTTCTCGCAAGTGACAGAATTGCACTCCAATTGATCAAACTTCCTCGAAAAACTCTTTAACTTTGTTTTCAACCACTGCCAAGGGCCGTTTGGGCATCACAGTTACGCAATTTATGAAATACGATGATATTTTTGTACTGCGTCATCAGGTATTCATTTGATTTCCCTATCTGTCTCGTAATCTTTTTTTTTTTCTTTTCAACACTTACTCTGTTGTTATGAGTTGAGGATGGAACCCATTTTTTGTACATAAGTACATAGGCGTGTATATACATAAATGTGTATATATTCTGTGTGTACAACCCAAAATGAAAATGATCAATTATTGAGCATTTTGTGATTGTTACCTGGGGAATAACTGTCAGAATATGTATTGAAGAAAAAAATAAGAAAAAAGACATATTTAACCACATGACCAACAGGTCGGGTTCGAGCATCAGTTCACTTTGTGAAGCTCTCTGAATACATGTCTTCTCAAACATCCAACCATCGTCAAGTTTCACGGTATGTTTGCGCACTCTGAAATTTAGAGATACTGTATGAAAAGCCATACAGCAGCAAGTGGTGGAAATGGATTTCATTGATTTCTTGGCCAGACCGGGATAAGTGGTCTGCTAATAAGCACATACAAAGCACTGAATGTATCAGATCCATTCTTCAGGGAGAGGATAATGAGCCATGGTCATCATTTCTCCATCAGAATGTAACACGCCCATTTTTAAGTCGCGAGTGACACCGAGAGAAGGGGAGTGTATTCAGTTTCCTGGAGTGTGTGCATGTGCATGTGTGTGTGGATCAAGCTCAGTCAGATACAGGAAAGGCGTGGGTAGGCCATTCACTTCCTGCACTGCTCGCCCAACTATGGACAAACGTCACGGTGTTTAGTTTTTTTTAGGGATAGAAATAGCTTTCCTGTTCCACTCTTGATAAACCGTGTGCCATTCCACCGAAGGTCGCGGAGCAATCGGCGGGTTACAACTCATGGGCAACGATGTAAATTAGACACAAATACATGACATCACTACACAGTGCATGTAAAGTACAACAAATGGGATCAATTAACTGTAAAATTCTGCGTGTACAGATTGATATATGACTAAGACCTGAATGTATTGTACTTGGATTGTTGCTGCACAAATGCAATTCTCTTTATAGAAATAGGATCGACCTCAACCCTGATTAATTAGGGTTGAGGTGATTCCAAGTGGTCCCGAGTTGTCTTGCTGGTTTCTTGTCCTGTTTTCTACTGTGTAGACGGGAGGCACGCTGCACATACGGCCTGGGTTCGAGAAAGAAGAAGCTAGGTTATCTAATACTTATGTATAACGAGTCAAGCATTCTGCTAAAGGGTGTGTTCAGAAAGAAGGCGAAACAATTTCTCAACGTGAGCCATTTGCACAAACTTTCCTTTGACCCCTAGTGTTCCAGTTTTGTCTTAGCGAGTATCTAGAAATGGGAGCCCTGACAGCATGTATGAGAGTGTTGTTATCCCTTTTGTAACAAAGCTCTGCCTTTTCAGTCTTCTACATCGCTTCTGCAATTGCGCAGCGATTTAACATCCAAATCCACATTCACTAGCAGGTTGTTTAGCATTCGGTTTGAACACACGCCGCCAAAGGATGTCTTGACTTCGGTCTTGGGCACAAAGCTATGTTTTGTGATCTCATGCATTCAAGACGGAGCATTGTTTAAGTCATGAAACCAGTTTGTCCAAAGATGTTTCATGCTCTTTCGGTGTCGTGTAAATAAGATAACAAGACGGATGAATGGAGCGCCGAAGCTAGAAAAATGAGTATCTTCCTGGCTTACTGGTTTGCTTTGGTTTTAACAAATACTTTTGACTCATCTGGTGAGATAAAAAGAAAGCTTTTCTTTCCGTATGGTCATTGTATGATCTTTTTATTTTTTAAATAACCAACCTTATTAGTGTAGCTTAAAAGTGAAAGAGAAAGTACCTGTAACAAACTTTAGAAACTTGCTTATCATGCATGCAACTCCAATTCATATCTTGGGAAGATAACTGAAAAAAAAAAAGATATTTTGCAAACTTACTTAGAGCTGCCAACTGCTCATTTTAGAGATGACATTATGCTATGTGAGCCTACATTTAAAAGAAAAAAGTAACAAAAAAAGTCATCAAAGACTTCAGGTGTTGTATGGCCTTGGTCCCATAATGGAATGTGAAATGTTCTGTGCTGCCACAAAATGTATTTAGGCTTAGATTTATACTGTATATCTCTGTATGTTTCTCTTCCTTTTTCAATAGATTATCATGTTAAAACATCAAATAAATTATATACACTGTACCCGTCTACCTGGTATTGTACGCTTGCATGACACTCCGAAAGGAATCATATCAAAGTTGTTCAATTATGGGGAAACTTGGGGATAAATCCACACATCATTTGTTTCATTAGTTCAGTTGTCCACCTGCCTGCTTGAGTCTTCCCTTTTTAATTGGATCGTGAATATGAATCCGAACTAGTCCACAAATCTGTTCCTGTTTTCCTTCCAAAGACTTTTCCTCACTCTGGCAGAGGCTTTAGAGGAAGAGAGACGGGCTTTAGAGGAAGCCCTCAACTTTGATTTGTCATTTTCACAGAGACGGTTTCCTACTAAGGCTAATGATTATAATGAGGCCGTTATAAGGGGTCAAATCCACCAAAGGGACCTACAAAGAGCTAATTTTGGTTTCATCAACACTCACAGCTCATTTGCACAGAGTGGAGTAAATTATACGGTGTTCCGATGTAACTGTGGATGCTCAGCAAGGCATCATATTAGAGCGAGGCGACGACATCTACATACTGGAAATGAACACATTTTCCTACCACAGAAAGGTGATAAATGTATTTATAGTTTGGATTCTTCCAGAAGTGATGCACAAAGTACAATCCTTCATTTGTCGAAGCTTTCACCATCAAAATTATAAACACTAGGGCTGTTGAAAATAATTATTTTTCTGATGCATCATGATGCAAACATGAACGATTCTGCATCGATGCAGTGAAGGGACATATTTTATGATCAGTAATTAATGTAAAGGTCCTTACACACTGGGAACGACGCAAATATAGGACGCGAAATTATGAAATATTCAGAGGCGAGTCATGATAGCATGTACTGAGTCGGGGCCAGTACCAGATAAGCACATTAAACTATAATCCATAAACATAAGGTAACAACCGAGACCTAATGGTGCTGTGACAGTAACGTGATTGAGTTTGAGACAGTAAAAATACATATGGTATGTTGAATCTGAACAGGTTAGCTTACAAGCTAAAGTTACTTAGCACAGATGAACGTTAAAACAAAGACGTTTAGCAAACTGTTAAAGCACACAAACCATCATCATTATGAGAAATCCGACACTATGACTCTCCACAAGTTGTTCTTCAGGTCGTTATCTTTGTAGTATTTGTGTCTTTTATCAAAAAGCACTCTGTTCTCAGACACGTAAACAATCAGCCGGTCGGCCATGTTGGATATACCAGTAAATCTGACGTCGCAACAACACGCAATCTGATTGGTCAGAAGTGGACGCACAGTATGCGAAATTTTAGAAAATTCGACCATGATACGAAAAGATAAATGCCGCAATATCGCAGGACAGGAAAACTAACTATAACTATAGTGAGCTAGATAGCTGTTTTTAGCTAGATAACAAAAACAGAAACCGCTTTAAGGCAGCTGACAGTAACCATGAAGGGACAAATTACTGCAGAGAGCGACAGCAAAACAAGGAAGATGCTGGAAAGCGGCCAATTTCAAGAGCAGCTGATTAAGAAAAGCTCCTGGTATGTCAAAAGCGGATATCTGGGTTCATTACGGATTGTACGAACTAATTGGAAAGCAAGAACTTTACAAGACGCATCTAATACCATGAAAATACCACCAATGTGAGAAACCACATTAGCCGTTTCCTCCCAGTAAACTTAATGCTAATGGAACAGCAGACTCAGCCCGAACAAATTGTGATAGATCGAATCAGATCGAATCATGAGACCAGTGACTTAATACTAAAAAGGCTTTTCTTAGAGGTAGGCCTTTTTTTCGAACACTCCCTGTCACTAAAATCGTTTATATTTCTGTACAAAGCTAGGCCCCGATTCTCTTAATCTAGTAATCATATCAAGCTCCTTCATACCCGGGTAAGGCAAAGTCAAACCAGCCTTCCACGATGGTTCGATGTATCCATTTTCAAACCCCATTTGACTTATCTTGTCATGTTCGAAATTAGAACCGGTGTTGACAAAACCTTTAACGTGATAAGTCTCTGGCGCTCCCCTCTGAGAGGAAACTGCATAATGGGAATCCCAGTGTGGGATCGCCCCGTCCTGCGTTCAGGTAGAGAAAATATAGATTAGCTATATTGCACACTATTTATGCAAAATGGCTTAAGGAAACGCTGAGCGTGGCTTTTCGTTTCCTCCTGCCCCTGTACAATCTAGAAGTCCCTTGGGGTACATATGATAGACTTTTAATCTCTTACCTTTAGAGCCTTTGTGATGTATATAAGCGTACCCACCCTAAGGTATAGTTTATCATTAAAGTAATCATTAAAGAATATCATTGTTCAGCAGTTTAAGGGGCGCTGTGTTTGTTAAGGAGACATTCTGTCAGTGGTGCTGTTTCAGATTATTAGGTGTGGCCAATTATGGGGGTACAAAGGAACCTGGAGCCTGGTTAGTTCTGGGATTCAATAATGACGACGTCTTGAAAGAAAAAGTGGGTTAAGCATCTTGCTATTTTTGCAACTGGGTGTCAGAAGCTTCGCAAAAAAGTTTAAAATAGCACATCAAGTCGATATGTTTGTTTATCCAGCCGTGCCTACCTGCCTAACTTCCTACTCACAGTACACACAGTTCTCGCCTCTGTACCATCCCAATCAAAGACACCAAAGCACAGAGCTGCGACAGACTCCTTCTGCTGTCAGATAGTTTCTTTCTCATCATCTCTGCACTCAGTCTGACTGCGGAATAACTTTAACTATTGGAAAAACCAGGACTAGGTTTCACATAAACAAACAGACGAATGAAGGCCTGGAGGCTGGAGCTGAGCTACAACCCTACTCGCTCCCTTGCTTGGGAGTGATTAGGTCCTTGCAGGGTTGACAGAGATATTGATAGATAACCTTGGGCAAACAAAATGCCAACTCACTAATAAAAAGCACACGCGGGGGCCGTAAAGCAAAAGTCAACCAAAGGTTACTGGAACAAAAAAAACTGTAGATTTTTATGGGCAGCAGTCTCGCTCTCTGGCTTGTTATCCATCATTTAGATCTTCTGTGCTCAGTTTGTGGACTTTAATTAAGAGCTTTTAAAATCCATATCAAGTAAATAAATGAAGGCGTAACATAATTATTCGGCAGTGTAAGGTAAAGACTAATATCTCGTGACAATATTATTGATGAAGACGGTAAAAAACAGTCGCATTACTCTGATGGGAAATACAGCTGATACATAAAAAGCTGTAACTGGAGCATTTTAGCACATTTCTGCTGCATGAGGCTTTAAAAGTTTTCCCAGACAGGATAAAAAGTTCAGATTGATCTCAGGGGAAAAATTTAGGAAACGCTGCTTCTTGACCCTCAAGGATTTTTTACATGAAAGGGAATTAAAATTCTGTCCTACATTTTGATTTTTCAGGGGACCAAGACGAAGAAGACGCCTACAGGTGCACCTCAACTAATTAGATCATTATAAAAAGTTCAATATTTTCATCACTTTTTAAAGAAAAATGTCCAGATAACATGTTCTAGACTCATTGTATGTGAACTGAAATGTAGTTAATGTTGATCATTATGGCTTACAGCAAGAGAGGTGAGGCACAGAATCCAAATTCAGAGAAAATTTATCATAATTAAAACAAAAGCGGCTTGAATTTGTCCATATCATGAATACAGGAATATTTTTAAAATTGAATTATTTAATATATATACATGTAAACGTATTTATCAAGATGCAGCAAGATGAAATAAATCAACTTAAACATCACACAGCCAAACTGTATTCCAAAACAGGCCCTCAGCGGTTGCATAGCAACAGCAGCTTCCACAGCCTGGGCTTTCTACAGACAGTCGATGTGTTTGGAGATGCTTGTTGGCATCCCATGATCACACTGTGTCAGCGAACTTCTGATGGAAATACGAAACCGTGTGACACGTGTTGTCTGTCATTTCTAATTCTCATCACTCCAGGTTGAAATTGCTGAGTGCAAAGATCGAGATGGCTGCTCAGCCCTTAATGGCTGACCCAAATAACCGCCTTCAAGCCCCGAAAACCCACGAGGTGGTGAGAATCAGCCCGTGTTTCTTGTTGCGAAACTCACTGAATGAATTCTTTCTGATGTCTTCTTTCTTTCTTTTCTCCTCTCCCTGCCTGCCAACTGACATACTTTCTTTTAATTCACAAGCAGCCTGGCGAGCAATGGAGGGAGCGTGGGAGAGAGTGGGAGGGAGAAGGGAAGGATGGAGCGAGAAAGAAAGTCTGTTTCACCATCAAAAGACTGTCTTGGAGACTAGGGGGAATACATCGACTCTTCAATGTACTTTTTGATGATGCCTTTCTGTTTTATAGAGTCAATGATACACAACAGTTGCAACAGTGAATTAGCCTACTTCTCCCTTTTTGCTGTTTTCAGCCTCTGTCTCCCTTGAACTCTTTCCATCATCCTAATTTTGTCACCTATTCATCCGTCTATTGCTTGCCCATTTTCTCTTGCCTCTCATTATAACCTGCCTTTTATTTTGTTAGACAGGCTGCCAGGCAAAGACATACCCGACAAGACAATATTTTGACGGCTCATCCTTCCCGCAATGAAACCTTTCTGTCCCCAGACATTAAAGTTTTCTTGAAGAGGGAACTGCATATCCCTGAATCATTAAACATTTAAAGGGCTTTTCCCAAGTGTTCGATACTACAGAGAACAACATGTCCTATTATGTATGACCTAGAAACATCTTACTCATATCTTAAGTCGCATCTGCTTACTGCAATAATTATTAGGAAAAAAAAACACAACATCTTTGGAGATAAATCAAAGAGAATACTGTCCACTGTTATGTCTTGTCATGCTGGAGAGAATGGGGTATTCTGTCAATTCATTTATGTTTCAGTGAGACTTTTAACATCATTTTATTATTCTATATACCGTTCTCTGTCAAAGAGGCTTTCTCATTGGCCAGAAAATGCTAAATTATGGCAAAACTCATAATTATTTAAAATGACATTGCCATCACGATTATCAAAAATGATTATCCATGATTTGATTTGTGCATCACGTTTTATGCAACTTCAAAACCTCTCTAACCCTTCATAATTAAAGAAAAATACAATAGGTTGGAAAATACTGCAGCTCATACTGCTCTTCTTTCTTCTTTTGTGGCTGCCTGTTAGTTTAACTAATTAGATAAGCCTTGGTACAAATTCAGGGTAAAGACCGATATAAGGATAGACAGCAACATACTGTATAACATGTCCATTATGCTTTCTTCATTAAGGACTGAAGAAGAAGAAGAAGTGAAGTTTACAGACACAAAAAGAAAACGGAACTCCATGAAAGGTTTGTGAGGTTAACGCTCATGTTTACAGTCATCACCATTTCAATGATTAATGGTATGTTCATCTGCTGCATGCTACTGTCAAGCAGTCACGGTCTTGTAGGACATACATGATATGTGCTTTTTCAGCTTGTAATCAATAACAACATCTAAAGACTTGACATAAAAGCAGACCCATAACCAGACCTCAATCTATAGGAGGGCATGATTATCATCAGTCTATTTGTTTTTTTTATCTCACTCTATGTATCATCATTGACACACATTAACTGAAGTCCATACTAATTAAATTGGTCTCAGATTTGATATATAGCCACACTGATGATATAATTGGCACCACAAAAAAAAAAAGGATGCGAAGAATACAATATTTCACAATACAGTAGAAATACAATGGCTCGCTATGGCCTGCCTTTAGCAACAGGTGTACTTAGGAGCATTCTCAGGTACATTGCTAGTAACGATAGTGGACTGGATTTGATCTGAAAGAGTTCTATCTTGTTTTTTCTTTTTTTTTATGTGGAGAGATAGTTTATTGTTTTTCAACCAAGTGTTGTAGCAAAATTTGTGTCATCTGCAAGCAAAATGAAAAGAGCTTCAATAGATATCAAATGCAAGTCACTGGTATATTTTTGAGAAATAGAGGGGGACCGAGAATTGAGCCCTGTGGTACACCACATCGTATTTGGCTATAATTTAAGACTTACTGTTTCCTGTTAAAAAAGAAGCTCTAAAACCAATTAACCCCCAATTTCCACTGCATCCGGAGCATCTACGAAAAGGCTGTATCCGCCAATCGTAGCTGATAGTAACCATTCAAGTCAATGTGTGAATTTCCACCGGCTTCTTTCCGTTCAGCTGTGGATCGCCAGACTTCGCAGCTGATCGCAAGAGTTTTTTTTTTTTTCCAGACGCCAGAGCATGCCGGATAAATTCAGCACAGACTAGTCCGGAAGTCGGACACAAAATAAAACATCCGTCTTCTTTTCAAAATATAACACTCAGTATTTCAGGCGGATCGTATTTCACACCATGCAAACGGGCGGGGACTAATAAGTGAAAGGTTTATAGACAGCATTTCATCCTGACAACACCATGGATGTGAAGATACTGATTTTATAATTCTAGAAGTAGATTTACTCGTCTGGAAACACAGCTTACTGCTTATATGGTTAGCCTATGTGGCTAGAGACAACTTGTTATCACACAATTGCACGTGAATCAACGGGTTCTCACGATTCTTGCTGTCCATAATCCACCGGGAAATTCGCCTCACAAACGGATCCGGTAGGAATTGGCTTACGGCGAAAATCACCACCATTCCAGATCGGAGCCATTCCGGATGCAGTGGAAATCCTGGGTAAGCCCGTGTACCAGTGACACAGTATTAATATATGTTTGATTTTGTACGTCATAAAAGGCATTAACGTGAATTTCAGGGTATTTCATAAATGTAAAAAAACTCTCAACATGAGCTTTAATTCTCAAACGTCTTCCAAACAGGCAGCTTGTGACCAGAACGGAAAATTAACATAAAGCACTGATTCATTAACTCACTTCAATTTCATTAACCTCTGTGAGACTAAGTTTATTTGGTTGTGTAACCACCCAAGGGAGATTGCTGTGGATTTTCTTTAAAGCTTCAAAAGTAAATGAACAAATGATCAATTAATGAGTGCAGTTGTTTGGATACTTGATGAAAATCCCAACAGCTTTGCAACAAAAAGACTCTGATTTGGACAGCTTTATTTATTAAAAACGCTCAAGTCTAACTCAAGTTCTCTCACACTCAGCTTGATTAAAGCATTTTCTTGAGTTTCATCTTAGGTTCAGTCCTTACATGAGCTTCTCTTAGCCAAAAATGACCATGTTTAAAAAGGTTATTTAATCTCATAATCAACTCAGACGGATGCGATGGAATAATTTAAATCCTAACCCTCTACTCTTTCTCTCGGTTCATCCCTGTCTCCCTGCAAATCAAGATCCAAAAATAACGCTACATGTTTCATAACTTATGTCTTTACTAATTAAAGACACTATCAGACTTCACTTGTTACACCAGAAGAAAACACTTGTTACACATCCAGTTTTTAGAGTGCACATACCCATTTCCTTTGTTCGGATATAATCAGCCTGTCCTCCCATTTGCCCCTCGCCCCTCCCTCCCTGCGACAGAAGCCCTTCTATTCCCTGTGCTCATTATGATCAGAACAAAGTGAGCCGTGGCTGCCAGGGAGAGGCTGAGTGTTAGAGACAAAGGTATCTTTGTTTTTAGGGGCTCCCTGGCAGCTCACCTGAAAGACTGCGAACGATTAAGAGTGTGTCTTTGTTGGCGTGGTTTGATTCCAAAAGCTGAGCCCTTTGCTTCACAGCCCCTCTCATCTATGCTTAGCTATAAAGTGAAGGTGAAAATATTATAAATCATTCAGATAAAATCCTTTCCAATGTTATCCCAATATACTCAATAAAAAACAGGTCTAGACTGTACTCTATGTACAAAGACCCAATGCAAAGATGGGATAAGGTTGACCCCCAACTGCAGCCGCGATCCAGAGATATCTACAGCATGATGGAGTTCAGGGACTCCTTGAAAAGACTGAATATTACTGACTCTAATGGGACATAATGATTCAAATTTAATGATAAATACATAACTAAGTATAAGCTTTATCAAAGAGGAAAGTCTCGAGCCTACTCCTAAATGTAGAGAGGGTGTCTTGGCAGCTGGAAATCTTCATTATCCTACAATTAAGTTCGACGAAGAGGCATCATTCTGTCAAAAAGCTGCCACATAATCAAAATATCATGTTGGACAGAGAAGAGCATGTGCCATTTAAAGTATTGCTTTGTGTTTTCTGCCCTCTGCTGGACACTTTGAGTACACACAGTACATATGAGTAAAGTAGACGCTCCACTCATGGAAAGAGGGGGGAAAAAGATTCACACACCCACACACTCATCTGCAGACACAGAGAGGCGTGTACGTGTGATTAATGCTTTCTGTTTTCACGTTTCCTGCTAATTAGCAGCTGCATGTTGCCCATACCAATGGTTATTTAGGGGATCTTTTATATAGCGGAGTACATTGAGCCATAGACACCATAATTACGCATTTAATTATTCCATGTTTGTACATTGTACTGTGCAGGGGCCAATTTTATGGATAGAGCGAGTGCTTATTCACACTTTCACTCTATCCTCATCTAAAGCCAAGTTGATTAGGCTGAGAATATAGTGGGTAAAAAAAATGAGGCTTATTCAATTTTTCAACAAAATGTGATTTGTGAAAATTTGCTGTGTCATCGTTCTGAAGTTAAAGGTGCAGTTTGTCATTTTTGCATCACTTAGCAGATCAGACCTGGTAGAACTAGAATATGACATTCAAAAGTGTTTGATCACTTGAGCTTAAAAATCATTTTATTGCTTTTGTTTGTAGAATGAGCCCTTTATATCTACATCAGAAAAGGGTACTCTTCATAAGGGCAGACATCTCGCACCACAGTGTTTCTACGGTTCCACAGAATGGACAAACTTGTGAGTTAGGCCTTATTGTATGTGGTAAGTGGCTGTGCAAAATGCACAGGTCGAAAGAGGAAGACGAAAGTGGTTGTTTTGCGCAAAATGGTTTGTATTGATAGTTTCCTAAAAGCCACCATAGTTTTACAGATGGGAGGGGTGAGCAAGGGAGTGTTTCAACCTTGAATCTGACAGTCAGGGATTGGGTCGAGGGTGCAGCAGTCTAAGCGAGTCAACCTAATCCTCCCTCTCCCTTGCAACCCTCTCTAGCTCCTCCTCTGGGGTCCCAAGCTCTTTCCAAGCAAGGTGGAATATCCCTTCTTTCGAATGCAAAGGAAAGGATGCAATTAATTTAGGGTCAAATCCACTGTAACACCGAGTTAGACACCCCCACTCCCCCAACCCAAGAGATGAATGTCGCCTACTATTCGCTTTTCTAGTTTTACCAACTTTAGTAACGACCGCACTATAGCAATACACAGCGGTCTAAGGAGCCATAAACAAACCTCAACCAGAACGCCACTCTATAGACACAAATAATGCTCAGAACAGCACCTAACTTCATCAACAGTACATATAGGGTCCTAGACACAGCACTAGCCACCAAACATCTTTTTAGCTTTGCCTGATTTCTTTAGCAAAGAGACTAAACACAACTCACCTACTCTCTTCCAGCAGCCGCTTGTTTTTAGCGAGACCTCGGGCTAGGCCATTATAAACTGCTGCGGGGTGACGCAGCTCAAGGAAGAACATTTATGAT